AACAACAATAATAGTAATTTACTAATGACCTAACTAGTGTTTACTATGTGCAAGGCATATATAGCCATTATCTCATTCAATCTCTATGTACTGTTAGAATTCCTGTTTTGTAAATGAGGTTCAGAGCGGTGAAGTAACTAGCTCAAGGCCAGCTAGTAAGTGGCAGAGCAGAGAAAGGCCCTGGTGTGAATCATCAACCACAGGCAAACAGACCCGGGCCTCTGTATTCTCAGACCCACCACGTTCCACCTGGGTCACCTTGGGTATGCCCCCAGGGAGGTGAGCGAAATAGGGGTCTTTGAATCTGACCAGGGGATTCCAGAGAACCTCTGACAGTTCAGTGGTCCTTGTACTCTGGATCTTTTATTAGCTTCAGGAAGAATACATTTTACAAAACAGATATGAAACTGAAGAAATCTGAATAAGATCTATAATTTAATTAGCACCATCATACCTTGGTTAATTTCTTAGTTTTGATGTGGATATGTAAAATGTTAATGTTAGGGGATGTTGGACAAAGAGTCTATGGAAATACCATTTTTGCAACTTGTTCAAAAATTTTAAATTTTTTCAAAATGTAAGGCAAAAAGAATGTCTTAGAGATTTTTTTTTTCTCACAGGGTCATACATTTGGTTTAATGTTTCCACAAAGGTCTACATTCTCTTTTTTATTCATCTCAATCTCCAGTTCTAATATGTGTCTTTGGTGAGGGAGGGCAGTCTCTGGAATGCTTGCATCCAACACATGAGGCATCTACATGGACTGAAGTCTGTCCTGGGGACAGAGGGACCCCAGAGTGGGCTCACCCTTCCCTTCCACTTGGAGGAACTGTTTGACCCTCCTTGTTCCTCCTCCCACCTTGCCCTCAGGTGTGCCTCTACCTGATAGTTGAGGTCTTGGACTTCCAAGGTATTGGAACGGCCAGTGTAGGTGAAGTATAGGCTGTTGTCACTTTCAGAGGAGAACAAGCTGTCCTGGAAGCCCTGATGGGAGACATCACAGGTGAGGGGCTCCTTCTGCTGAGGACAAAGCAGAAGACAGAGATCAGAGATTCAAGAGAGGAGAGTAGCAGTCAGCATCATTGACATCCTGAATTAGCAAGAGATGGGTCTTGGCAGATGCAACCCAGAAAGTAGAGCATTTATTTACTCTTCCCTGCAGAGAGAGCTTTGGGGCTTCCCTCCAATGTAGTTCATGACCCAGAGAAACTCAACCATAGGCTGGTGAGTCCTGAACCCAAGCCACCTATGGCAAACAAGACCCTAACTCTGGACAAAAGAGAGTTTTGTGGTCTCTGTGCTCTAGGAAGACATGAGCTGGGGCTGGCCTTCAACTTTCTTTTCCCTGCATCTGGCTTAATATTAAGCCTATGGTTGAGCTTTATGTGAAAATAACTTTACTTATAACTTATGTAAAAATAACGTTTGACCATGGTTGTCAAAGTATTGCCGCAATGACAGAAATGAATGGATCTTGGAAAGGACATTCCAGGCCAACGGAAATGGAGGGAAGTAAATGCAGGCTACTGCCTGCTGCAGGCCCATGCAAATAGTCCCCAGAGTGCAGGGAGAGGATGGAAACAGCAGACAGTAGCTACTTAAATTGTTTGATGTTTACTTTATTACCACAAACATCCTAAATGATCCAGAAAACATGGGAAAGACAGACACCTAATTCAGCAGAAGGACTATTTCTGAGGAGCAGGAGGGCTAGCAGAGGGAGGGAAACAGATGACGCAAGAGGGCTGCTAAGCTCTTGGGCATTACTGGTGGGTACATGGCAGCTCACTCCATTTAACCTGGTTTGTCTGAAATATTTCAAGCTATCTTTTCAACTGGGGAGAGTAAGCCTGAGAGTAGAATGTCAGTTATACTCCCACTTCACCTTGCCCTCCAGGCTGCCATGGCCACCAAGGTGAGGCCAGAGGTGGAGGCGGAAGTGGTGAATGGGTCTCTGCCCTCAGAGATGGAAAGTGAAGCGCCTGGGTGATCAAGGGCAGATCAGAAAGCTGTTGGTTCCCAAAGGTCAGTCTCTCACCGCCCCCCCACCCCACCAGCTCAGGCACAGTCTACCAATTGCTGAGAGATCTATTTGTGCAAACATGCTTCTTGTTTATTTTTTCAAAGCAGATATCTGCAGGAGAGACAACAGTCAATTGCAAGGAGATGAATTAGCTCAGAAATTGTTTCTTCAAGAAAACACCTGACCAAAAGTCCCCCCAGTTAGATATCAAGGTAAAGGGACTGGTGAGGAAGGAGGGTTGAGCCTTTTGGTGTCTGGAGCAGTATGTGGAGGTGACCTCAAATTCAGGTGGGTTCTGATTTTTAGGAGGGTGCTGGGGCCCAGGGGAAAGTGACACAGAATGGGAAGACAGAGAAAAGGCAGGAAAGAGGGCCATGACCCTGCTCCTCAGCTTCCTCCAAGGCCCCTTCACTGTGGCCTAAGCCTCATTCACCACCAGGCACTGGTGCCTCCCTGGAGCTGCTCAACCTTAAAAAAAAAAAAAAAAAAAAAAAAATTCGTGGCTGGGTTGGAGACAACCTCTGTCCCATTTTGAAATATTTTCCTTGGCTCTCAGGAAGGATTTGTTAGATGCTTCCTGAGGTTTTGACAAACTCCCTGTATTTTTCAAATACTTAAATATCTATTCCACTGACATCTTAATCAGCATGACTGTCAGAACATCACTTGAATTTCTGACAGGTGACACCCCAAAAAGCAAAAGCAGGTTTATTTGTAGGTAACCAGCTCAGCTCCTGCTGGGCTACATTGTAATTTCTCCTTGTATTAACTTCTGATCAAATTCCTGAGTCAGAAGCACAGACTAGAAGGAAACTCAGGGAGAACAAGTTCCTTGTTCTAAGATGAAATGCCCACGTCCCAAAAAAATGCAGTGATGTGCTGAGGACTGGTGCCTGGCAGGAAGCATATGGGGGATGCTGAAGTGTTGGGGGCAATCCAGGCTTTTACTAAACTTTCAGTACAGCTCTCACTCACTGCCTGAGGCCTGGTCCCCTCTTATTTTTCTCTGGCCATGCTTTTGCCTATGGACTGAGGAGTCTGTGAGCTGAGGCATTTGCTCTTCCAGATACCCAGGACCCCAGAATTCCCTGTGCAAATGGCTGCAAGCCCATTCCCAGGGCCTGCTGGGGCCTCATCCCAGATCCAGCCTGCTGTAAATTGACAGTATGTCCTAACTAGTTGCCCCAGGCCGCGAGGCCTGTGGATGGTATGGATGAAATGTGAGTCGCAAGATGGGGTGACCTCACAGAAGTGTAAAAGGTTGTCTTCCGAGCTGAGGGTGGGCAGAGAAGGGGGCCAGGCCATGACTTCAACTGCATACTGATTCCCAGCATCACCATGTCCTAGCCGCTGCTTCAAGAAGTTCTAGAACTTCTAAAATTACACCTGGCCTTCCATGTTGTGAGAAAGATATGTCAAGGGGGTGGATAGAAGCTATTTTAACAGTTCTTAGGTAGATTGCACACAACCTTGTCCTCTTATTTCCTGCCCAGTTAGGGGCAGACCTTCACTTGGCACTTCAAGTAACAGGATTGGAGAAAAGACATGGGAAAGGGCAGGCATTCCTGCAAGCACTCCTGGTTTGTAGTTCTCAGCTGTGGAGGCTGAATTGTCAGACCATTCAGAGAGAAAGTGTCCCCAAAGCTGCCACTGACAATGTTTTATTCAAGCTGCTCCAGTTGTGGTGAAGGCTCCTAGGACCCATGTGGGGATTGGCCCCATGTGGCTGCAGAGCTAACTAGTAATGGCAGGTTCCTTGGGCCTGGCTGAAGTAAGGTCCCAGAAACTCAAAGCCCAACAAGGCTCCCTTGTTGGGTATGGAGGGCCTCCCTTTTTGGGTGTGGAGGCCTTAGTGCTTGTCTTTCTCTCCATCCTTGTCCCCATAGCAGGCAAAGACAGAAAGGTGGGGTGGCGTGTGTTGGGGGTGGAGGGTGAAAACTGTTTCCTGTTTTCCAATTTAGCCTCCTGCCTCAAACCACACCCAAAATGAAATTTCAGGCAAAGGCCATTTCTCAGATAAAATGAAGGCAGAAACCTGGTACCACAATCTCTTGGCCCCATGGCTGTTGTCTATTCCTTTTAGCTCTCTTCCAGATCTTACGGCTGCCTGTTATAGTGATATAGAGCATACATTATAGTGTTCCCACGAAAGCCACCTGCTGTCCAGTGTCATCTCTTCACTGCCACTGAGACTGAGTTTGACAGCCACAGAGACGAGAAGACACCAGAGGCCCTGGTATGTGTGAGCACAATTAGGGATGCAGTCTTATGGGAAAAAGCTATGTCAGCCCAAGTTACAAGCACATCATTTCCCCGTAGGAATGTACCTCATCTCCCCACCAACCCCAGACCCCTGAATCTGCTCCCCTCAGCCTTTTGATGCCTAGGAAATAGAGCCCTGTCATCATATCCTCACTTTGTGCTCTCAGTGGTGAGTAAGAATAGGAAGTTCCTGAGGGAAGAGAGAAAGGTCTGATTCTCCCCCACCCCCAAAACTGAGGTGACTGCCATCACTCACCGAAGCATTCTGGGGAGAAGCCCCATTCCACAGCCCTGTCTCCTCTGAGGCCTTCTCAGCCATGGGGCACCCTTGCTGCAGCTTCCTTTGGGCCGTTGCTGCTGCCTGCCAGGGCCAGTGTTTTCTGTTTCCCAGAACTGGGCCACTTCTGGCTCCGTTTGCTTTGCCACAGTCTGTCTCTTCAGCACTTCTCTCCAGCAAACCCGCCTACAAACACGCCTACAAGCACAGGCTGTGTGTTCTGCCCACAGCCAAGGTAATACACACACTCTGGCTAAAGGTACATCAGATAATGGCACTGCTGGCCAAACTCCTGTCCTGTTGCTGGAAAGGCCCGAGGAAGGACTGTCTGGCCAGGCGAGGAGCAGGTGGGGCAGTTGGCCACTGCCTTCTCAGCTGAGACCACGCTGGGAAAGTCAGACGAGCAGAAATTTTGCCAGGCTTTGCTGCCTATTGGTCATGAGTGAACTCCCAGCTTTGACCCCGGGGGGGTCCTGGAGACACTCAATCAACAGAGGCTCCCAGCAATCCCCAGAGGAGGTCCCTGAAGAAGCTTCAAAGTCCAGACACAGCCTAGGCATCCTGCATGCCTCTTACAGTGTCAGGTAAGTGAGATTCTTTCCCTTGCTGCGAGCTTGAAACTTGGGCTTTGAGCTATGGTCAGGGACAGGCCTGGTCCGCCCAAGGTAAGTGGGCCTCTCACCCCCTCTGCTGGCTTTTCTCACTAATGGGGGACATGCATGGAGATTTTGAGCTCCTTCTTTAGCGGAGGGAGGTGGAAGGAAGAGGGGGAAGGGCTGCAGTGGTGAATGGCCCCTCCTCCCGGCCACACCGACCTGGAAGCTGTGATAGCCAGTGCTCTGCTCAGTCCCTGTTTTGCGTTCCTTTCCTCTCCTTCCCATTGTGTCTCTCCTGTCCACACCACCCTATGGGGGTGCTAGGGCTTAGGGAAGGGGGATGTAGGAACTCAAGGTATAATGGGGCCAGGTGAAGGAATGAGGGGTCCCTGGAAGGAATAAACAGTGTCCTGGGTGTCACCTCTCCCCCAGCTGGAGAGCTGGAGTGCGCAGCAGGGCCAGGCAGGCACTTCACATAAATGTTCTTCTTTAGTCACTGCCCGCCAGTGTCTACATAGGAGGACACTGAGGCTAAATAACATTTAGGAAGTTGTCAAGAAATGATGGGAAGCAGTGCTGGGGGGCGTGGGGCTGGCTCCTTCCAGGACCCCACGCTGCCTTTCCCCTTTAAAGCCATCATGTTGGGCCTTGGTGGGACTTCGCCTCTTGCGGGCAACGTTGGAACAGGCAGATCCTCAAAGATGTCTCCTTGTACATCGAGAGCGGCCAGGTCATGTGCATCTTGGGGAGCTCAGGTAAGTCTGGGAAGGAGTGTCCCACACTTTAAAACACTACCTGCAAGAAACAGGTTTAAGTTGTAGTAAGAGGCCACAAGGGAGATATTGGGATAAAATCTAATCATGGCTATAAATGCAATGCAAAGTATCTAGAATGAGCCCTGAAAGAGCTTACACCCCTGTCTGTCAAGTAAGTTATCACATTTCAGTCACTTAGTGCAGAGCCAAGCAGCCCGGGTGCTTGGCAAACAAAGCAAACTCTCTGGTCTGCACGCCGCTGAGACAGGAAAGGGAATTAAACAAAAACAAAGATGACCCCCATTCATTGCTTCTTTTTTGTGTGATGTATTTTAACCATACATGAAAGAATAGAGAATAAAATAATGTTCAGGTATTAGTATCTGGCTTTATAAAATCTTAACAAGATACTATGGGTCAGATTTTTTTTTTAAGGAATTAAATGTTACTGATTCAATGGGGCCTATCTCCTGGGCTCTGCATCTTTTTCCTCTTTCTTTGGGGTTAGACATTTGACCTGAATTCAGTGTTAGTCTTCACCTTGCCTGGGGAAGGTTGGGGGTTGAAGGTGGGGGGTTGCTATAGCCTCCAGGGAGTGTGTAGCTGCCTGGGAAGCAGCTCTTTGTGGAAAGTCTATTCAAGTCCTTTACCCAGTTTTGAACCAGGCTATTTATTTTATGTTGTTGAGTTTTAGAAGTGCTTATATATTCTGGAGATCAATCTCTTATCAGATATATAATATGCAAATACTTTCTCCCATGCTATGGGCTGCCTTTTTACATTGTGCATAGTGTCTTTTGATGCACAAATTAAAAATTTTTTTCATGAAGTCCAATTTGTCAATTTTTCTTTTGTTACCTGTATCCTTGGATCATATCCTGTGACAGTAACCATTTTTATGTCTAATTTTACAACTTATTCCAATCTTCTTTTCCTCACTCACATTTTCATTTCTTGTATCTTTTTTTGGATGAGCTTTGTCATGCTGTTGGTTCCTTCATTAATGAGTTAATAAATATTTGACACATGTTCACAAAAGGCTGTATTAGTTACCTATTTTCAATCTTTTATTTTTTTAAAGATTTATTTATTTATGCATACAAGAGTTGGAACATAGGCCAGAGGTGTGGGGAAGGGGTGAGAGGATTCACCAGAGACAGAGTGGGGAGCAGAACATACAATGCTGAGGGGAGCAGCAGGAGAGACAGGAGGGTTCTGCTGTACTTTGTGGGTCAGCTCCCTGGCCAGGGATTGAACTCATGCTTCTGTGGCTGGCGATAGCTTCGCAGTGCTTAATCCCTTGTGCCACCAGGAAGGCCTATTTTCAATGTTTTAAAAAAGAATACCTAAACTAAGTGACTTAAAATAATAGGACACATTAATTCCTCTTAGTTTTCTATGAATTAGAAATCTGGAAGCGGCTTGTTTGGGTAGTTCTGTCTGAAGTCTCAGGAGGTTATAGTGGATGTATCAGCTGTTCCAGTATCATATATTGGAGCATCAGATGCTGAGAGATCAAACAGCATACAGGGAAGGACCCAGTGGATTTGGCAGGGGAGGCCAGTTTTGATGTAGTGGTAGTGTTCCAAAGCCTGTATGGAATTAGCTTTGGGACATCCTTTTCCCCCTAACAGTAGGATGGGAATCTATGGAATATTTGGCACTTCTGTCAGCTTAGGACAGGACAGCTTAAGCTGTCAGCAGCTTGATCCTGCTCCTAATATTAGATCCCTAAAATGTAAGGCTAGAGAGGCTCTTAGAAGAACCACACAAGGCTTGGTGTCCTGACTGGGATATTTCAGGGCACATTGTGAAGTCACATTTCATTTCTTTACAGTCAGTCTCCTCTCTTCCCTACCCTGACCTCTATTAGAACACACTGGGGCTAATTCTGTTTTGTCAGTCATGGGTTAGAGAAGACAGCTGTGACTGGGGATTAGTTTATTCATCTTTGTACTCATCAGAAAAACACATAGTTTCTTGGTTTTATAAAAGTCATCACATGCTTAATAAATTTTATTATGTTCTCAGAGGCTTCAGAACTTCCTGTCTATTTCCTCCATCATTAATTCTAACTGTGTAGCAGCCTTTAATAAGAAACACTTGGTGATGCCTGTCCTGTCTCATTAACCCTCTGGATGGTGTTAAACTGTGTCCAGTGTGAAAGGGAAGGGCCAGCAGCCTTCTTATCCTGTACTTATCACCTAACCTCCCACCTGGGAAATATCAAACCAGGGGAACATCTCCCTCCAGTCACTTCAACAGGGCGCAACTAGTTCCCCACAACTTCTCAGTGGGAAGTTCATGACAACCAGCTGGGCTCTCAGCCCAGCCTGAGACCTATTTGGCTTTACCAAAGGACTCCCTCAAGTAGTGTTTTTCAAACTCTGAAGTGCAAAGGATGACCCAGGATGTTGTTAAAATCAGTATAATGTGATTCAGTAATGTGGGCCAGAGCTGATATCTGCCTTCCAACATGCTGGTGGTGGTGATGCTGATGTAGCTGGTGGTCAGTGTTCCACATCTGGGAACTTGCAGTCATCCTCACCGGCCACAAAAAGAAACTCAGAACTCCTAGATCCAGTGTTTCTTTTTATTCTGATCCTATATTTTCTTTTTAAGATTTATTTTTAATTTATACAATAGCTGGGGTTCAGGCCAGAGACACAGAGGGTGAGAGGATTCACCAGAGACAGAGTGGGGAACAGAACAGTTAGACAGACCGAAGACACTGCTGAGGGGAGCAGAGGGCGAGTCAGGCGAGGTCTGCTGCGCCTTGTGGGAATCTCCCTGGTCGGCTGGGAATCGAACCCGCGCTACAGAGGCTGTGGCCAGCTTCACAGCGCTGTGCTCCATCCGCTGCACCACCGGGGAGGCCCTGATCCTATATTTTCTTGCCGTCAACCAGAAACAGCTTTCAAAGCAAACAGGTAAACAAAGCCCCTCCAGTCCTGGCTTGGACAAGAGAAAAGTCTTGGCCTTCAAGTTTGACCACGTGACCAAAGATAATGCGAGTCAGGTCGGGACGAGGGTGCACGCAGGGACTTGGGACATTCCAGCAATGCCTCCCGGAGGGATTCCCCCTTCTCTTCTCGCCTCCCAGGCTCGGGGAAAACCACGCTGCTGGACGCCATGTCCGGGAGGCTGCGGCGCACGGGGACCCTCCTGGGCGAGGTGTATGTGAACGGCCGCGCGCTGCACCGCGACCAGTTCCAGGACTGCTTCTCCTACGTGCTGCAGGTGGGCGCGTCCCCGGCCCGGCCCTGCCAGCCTGGGCAGCCGGCCTAGGCGCCGCTGACGCCTCCCTCTCCCGCAGAGCGACACTCTGCTGAGCAGCCTCACCGTGCGCGAGACGCTGCTCTACACGGCCCGGATGGCCATCCGCAGCGGCTCCTCGGGCTTCCTCCAGAAGAAGGTGGGTCCCGCAGGTCCTCCCTGCGGCCCTGGGCTGAGCTCCAGGGTGCTCCTGCCCCCAAGCAGGGTCACCCCAATGGTTCCACGTCCCTTCTCCGCTTGCCTCCACTGCCCATGCTTCCCCTTCACGCCTCCGCTTTAGAGTCTACACCTGCACAGTCCAGTATGGCAGCCACTGGTCTCTGGAGGCTTTGGGCACTTGGCGAGTGGGCCATCCTCAACCAGATGTGAAACACACCCCAGATTTTCGATATTTTGTCTGATAAAACAACCGTCAACGATCTCACTAATAGTTCTTCAACTCTTGCTTATAGGTTGAAAAGGTAATATTTTGGGGTGTATTGGATTAAATAAATTATTAAAATTATTCTCTCCTGTTTTTCCCATGTCCTAAAATGTAGCTACTAAAATATTTGAGTTCTCATGTGGCTTGCACGCTTTTCTGTTCCAGGTGAGCTCTGTGATTGAACAGATAGGGTTGCTTCCCTCTGTGCTTCACCCTGCAGCTCTGTTGAAATTTTTCTCAACTTTCTTTGAGGTGTCTTGAATGTGCCTCATCCAAACTGGGTTAGGCTAGTGAGGAAAGGAACTATTAAATTGTCAACTCTTTTAAGGTTCTGACAGTTTCTTTATATGCACCCAATTTAGAGGTAGCCACAGGTAAACTCACAGGGACCTTGCCAGGAAAGACTGTCTCATTTTTGCTAGACTGGGAACTGAGGAAGATTAGAGATACTACCTGCCAAGCAAGCACAATTCCCTGGAATTAGGCTCTCAGAGCGGCCAGGGAGCAGGCATTTCTTCTTCTGGGGCTTCCCCACTCTCAGGCCTTAGTGAGGTTCTTCTCGGGGCACAAATTTCCAACTGCATTTCAGGCTATGAGACTGGCCTTTCTTTAGTGCCATGGAAGCGCCAATGGAGTTGTCCTTCTGAGCCCAGAGAGCAATGAGCTGCCCTATTTTTATCAGGCACCGCTGATAAAATAGCAGCTTTCAGTTGTGCTATTAACCCCAACCATTGTCTCCTTTGGAACTCTGTTCCATATATCACTCCCTCTTTTACTCCAGTCCAGTTTGTTATTTTTAAATTCAGTCTTTTATTTCCTTTTTTCATTATAGAATTAACACAAATCTCATTAGATGTGTACTGGAGAAAAATTCATTGCCATATATAAGTGTTCTCAGTTTCTTTCCATTTGCTCTCCCACAGGGTGATAAGCAGGCAGGGTCATCAGGAAGGTGGGGCGGGGGCGGACATCAACATCATGGAAGTTTCTCTGGAGAGGGGATCAATTGAAGGAAAGACAGAGAGGAAGGAAAAAGACCAGCCTCTGGGCTAGAGAACAAGGGAAGAATTTTCTTCAGTCATTGTGGGCGAGTTGAGAATGAGGGAGTTGCAGGGTATATACCTAGAGTCAGGAGAATTGAGAGAATGACATTTTAAAAAATGCAGCTGTAGGTTATAAACTAAGTCTCTTTTAAAATCCTTAAAGAGACTGAAACAGAAATTGTTATTTTCAGTTACTTGTTTGATAGTTGGGCTTTATTTCTTTGGTGCAATACCACACTAAGACTGATCACATGGGACTCCAGGACTTGGGTTACACAAGAGACACCAGGTTTAATCCAAACCAAATTGGTGTTTTGTTTTTTTTTTTACATACATTGATTTTAATGAAGATTCAAAAATCAGACATTGAAAAAGTAAGTTATATTGTAAATATGCCTTTGGGGGATTTTTCCTTAAGGTCAGGATTAACTGTAGCATCTGAAATAAGAATTCAATGAAGACTCCATTTTTTTCCCCTGCAAATTTTCCTGAAACAGGTATAAGTGGTTTCTGTTGCTCTAAGGACTTAAAAAAATTAATATTATTTATTTTAATCAGATGCATGTATTCTATTGTGATGTGATGGAGATTGGGTTTTATTGCAGTACGCTGTTTTCCCCAGGGTGTGGTGAGCACTGAGGGGCGGTGTCTTGCCTCTCCCCCGCCACTCTGAGCTCATGCACTGGAACTGCAACCCTCAATGACCAGCCTTCCCGGACCTTGTGTCTCCTGTAGGTGGAAGCAGTCATGGCAGAGCTGAGTCTGAGCCATGTGGCAGATCAACTGATCGGCAACTATAACTTAGGGGGTATTTCCAACGGCGAGCGGCGCCGGGTTTCCATCGCAGCCCAACTCCTGCAGGACCCCAGTAAGTGAGACCCAGAACTACTACAAGCTCCTTCCTGAGCAGCTTTCATAGGCCCTTTCATCACAGTCTCTATTTGAAAAGGTGTTTGTGTGGAACTGAAGTCACTGAAGTTTTTCAAACAGGGGACCCAAGTTTTTGGGAAATACCACACAGTTCCTGATGCTATTCCAGGACCCACATACAACTCAGCTCTTGAATTTGGAAGCACTGCATTTGTGTTTTAATGCTTAATTAGGGTCTTACATGATATTGGGCCCTCCTCTGGCTGGAGTAGTACCTCTGTGTCTGCTGTGGAAAGCCAGGAAATTTTGGTAATTCTAGAAATATTTGTGGAATGGCAGAAATTAAAGTAAGACTTTGAGTGAAACACTGAAAAGTATACATTTTAGAGGGAGGTATTATCAAGATGGGCTAACCAATCCCTAGAGCCCCCTGCCTGGTTTGGTGATTCTCCTGCCATAGGAGAGACCTCATTACTTGTGGACATGATAAATCCGTTATGTTCTTCATGCGGGGGTAGAGCAAGACTGCCTGCACTTCAGATGGTGCCTGCTCACTGGAAGGCATATAAAGGAATGCTTTTAAAAGCCCTCACCACCTCTTGGGTAGAAATAACCTACAGTTAAGCCTGTTAAGAGCCACACACCTGTCCCCCCTTAGACTTTGTTTCACAGGTCAGCATTTTTAGCAGAGCACAGACCCTGAGAGTGTAGAAGATGCTAGATTTGAAATGCATGTCTTTTTAACTAGGCTCCTCTCAGCCTTTTGAACAAAATAACTTGGTGCCAGCCTCCCAACCCTTGTTCCTTGTTAGGGTCCCCTGGAGGAAGCCCAAACTGTCCGTAGTACCACATGAAAGCCTGATCTGGGGGCTCTCCTGCTCCTGGACTCCAGAACTGGAGTTGAGCCCTTCCCAGGTCAGGTTCTTTCTCCTGAGTCAGGATGAAAGCCAGTTTACGTGCATGTGCCTCTCACTGTGCACAGTTTAGGTGAGGCAAGGCAGCTCAATAAGGGATTATTCAGAATTCTGAATTTTAAGCACAGAGTCCAGGCTTGGCAGTGACTCTGGAATCTGACCCTTTGCAGAGGTCATGCTGTTTGACGAGCCAACCACAGGCCTGGACTGCATGACTGCAAATCAGATCGTTGTTCTCCTCGCAGAGCTGGCTCGCAGGGACCGCATCGTGATCCTCACCATCCACCAGCCCCGCTCTGAGCTATTCCAGGTGAGAGGGCAAATTTCTTCTGCTCAGCTCATCAAGGGTGGAGATATGTGTGTGTTGAGCTGAGGATCATGGGGTAGAGATCAGTACCCGTGAAACCAGGGCAGCTGCCGTCAATGGGTCCTGATATGGGATGGGCAAAGGGTAGCAATCACGTCTTTCAGCACCTCCCAAGTATCAAGTGCCTTCGATACACTAAGATCGTAAATCTGTGCAACATTCCTAGGAGGTCGGTATCAGCACTTTACAGAGAAGAGTGAAGCAGAAATGATACAAATTTGAGCCAATATCACACAGTAGTAAAAGCTGGAATTGGTACTTACAGCCCAGTTGGCTTCAAAGGCTACATTCTTCCACTAAATCATAGAAGTTCCTTCCAAAAACCTCACTTTATCCTCCCAGAAACCTTTAAGGGAGCTTTTTTTTTCTTTTTCTTTTCTTTTTTTTTTAAATATATGAGCTTTTAAAAAAAAAAAAAAAAGATTTATTTATTTATTTATACAAGCACTGGGTACAGTCAGAAGCGCGGGAGGGTGAGAGAATTCACCAGAGCCAGAGCAGGGAGCAGAACAGGCAGAAGGACCAAGGTACACTGCTGAGGGGAGCAGCGGGCGGCAGGAGAGGTCTGCGCGCCATGTGGGACCCTCCTCCAGTGGCCAGGGAGCAGCCAGGGATCGAACCGGCGCTGCAGAGGCTGCGGGCAGCTTCACAACCCAGAGCTCAACTGCTGTGCCACTGGGGAGGCCCTAAGGGAGCTTTTATTTGTCTTTTATGGATGCGGAGTTGAGATGTAAAATTTTTTGTCCAAGATCACTCACAGAGTGATGCAGCTGGGACTCAAACCCATGTCCCCTAATCAGATCCAGTGGTTCTCCTTTACCCCTGATGTGACGCTGTGCACAGGCTAGCATAGCCTGTCAATGTTAAAATTGAAGTCACTGCAGTTTTTCAAACTGAGAATGCAGTGCTTGTGGAAGCACTAGAGAGTGCCTGATGCTATTTGATCATCCAGCTCTTAGACTTGGAAGCAGCACCATCCAGAGTGGCAAACCAGGCTGAAAAGAACAGGGACACACCTTCTCACCTATGGATACAGGACGGACATATGCATGGCCCATGTGGCCAAAGGACTGACTGCTTGGAATCTTATATTCCTACGGGCATATGGCCTGCTTATACACTAACATCATCTGTTGTCTAATCAGCTCTTTGACAAAATCGCCATTCTGAGCAGCGGAGAGCTGGTTTTCTGCGGGGCACCAGTAGAAATGCTTGATTTCTTCAGTGGCTGCGGTTACCCTTGTCCTGAACATTCAAACCCCTTTGACTTTTATAGTAAGTTTTTCTTTCATGTTCCCTAACATAAATGTTTTTTTAAACTTCATCATCTTAGATTTCTGCCTGGGTGACACCAGCACTTGTGGGTTTTATTTTTCCCCTTGGTTGGTGTTTTTATTCTTCAAGGAGTGAATCTGGCCAGGTCAATTAACATGCCTTAGGTGACTTATCAGAATGAGAAGGGGCATCTCTCCTAAATTGAGCACTTTGTCAGAGGAAAGTTCACCGAGTGTCTGAATTCCCACAGACAACCCAAGTGGGACCCTCATGTGTTGCTGGAGTTTTAAAATATTTTGGTTTTATAGGTGGGCATTAACAATGGTATTATTATGATGGGGTGAGGTTTATGGCTACTCTTAAATCAATGATGAAACACAGTATTAGCCATTGTGTGTGTGTGTGTGTGTGTGTGTGTGTGTGTCTGTGTTTATCTATGAATATGGGCATTTAAAAACACATGGGTCATTTCCTTGGGGAAAAATTTTCAGTGGACTTGACATCAGTGGATACCCAAAGCAAAGAACGGGAAATAGAAACCTGCAAAAGAGTCCAGATGATTGGAGCTTCTTACAAAGAATCAGCTATTTATCACAAAACCTTGGAGAGTATTGAAAGAACAAAACACCTGAAAACATTACCAATGATTCCTTTCAAGACCAAAGATTCTCCTGGAGCTCTCTCTAAACTGTGTGTTCTCTTGAGGTAAGAGCCATGCCCCATCTTAGGTGGACAGACATCCACCAGTAAAAGAAAAGGAATTAAAACAGGGATGTTCTGCTTCTAGGAGAGTGACGAGGAACTTAATGAGAAATAAGCTGGCAGTGATTATGCGTCTCGTTCAGAATTTGATCATGGGTTTGTTCATCATTTTCTACCTTCTGCGGGTCCAGAACGATGTGCTAACTGGTGCTATCCAAGACCGCCTGGGTGTCATGTACCAGTTCGTGGGGGCCACCCCGTATACAGGCATGCTCAACGGCGTGAATCTGTGTAAGTGCCATGCCCAGGAGGTCCAAAAGTGGGGTCTTCCCTTCTCCCTGAATATCTCCCTGTCCACCCAGCACCTTGCAAGATTCCACCATTATAAGATTATTTCTCTGAGCTAAACTTGGCCCTCTCTAAGTTCTCTCTGGAGAAAGGTCACTGTATTGCGTTGCTGACACCTTTGTGTGAATTAGCTTGCTAGGTGGAACTCTCTGAGGGTCTCTAGAAGGATGCAGGTAAACATAAAATTATGAGATGCTAATCGGGTAGGGTCTGGGAAGAGTTTTTCTTCAAAAGATCATTCCTGGATTCCTATCTTGACCATTAGGATGAGCAGCCTGTGGGGGCCCGGATTCTTTGCCAACTTTGCACTGTTAAAATTCTTTTGGGGACATACTTTGGGAGAGCCAGTACCTCATTTTCAAACTCACTGGGAGTCCAGATGTTGCAGTATATGCAGGAAAAAGATGTTTAGAGGGATTCCCAAAATTTCATACTAGGTTGAGGGCATAAGCAGGAAAGACGTTTCTTCTGCAAGTTGGTTCTAGAGATGGAGAGGCTGGTAGCCTCTGTGTCTGCCAGGCTTTTCTACCCTTTGGGAGCAAGAGTAACATACAGGCTTCTGTGGGGGCCAACATCCTGCTCAAAGAGGGCTAAGCGCCTCACACCACTCATTCGTCCCCCATCTGCATGTGTTCTCTTGAATTGGTGACACACCTCCCTCCCACTTAGACAGCAGGAAATAAATTAGGGCAACTTTTGCAACTATGTTGTAATTCAGATAGAGTGTAGAATTTGCTGGGTGGGACATATTTCTTGTTGTATGGATGACAGGCCCCTCTTTCCATGACTAGGGAGCCCCAGCTCGGCCTCACACTTTAGCCCTGACAGACCTCCAGTTCATCTTGGGCTAGACCTCCCTCTGTGCAGTGACTGACTGTTCTGAAACCTGCCTTCCATGCCCAGTTCCTGTGCTGCGAGCCATCAGCGACCAGGAGAGCCAGGACGGCCTCTACCAGAAGTGGCAGATGCTGTTGGCCTATGTGTTGCATGCCCTCCCCTTCAGCGTCATTGCCACCATGATTTTCAGCAGCGCATGCTACTGGTAAGGGTGTGTTTAAGGGTGTCCAGGCCTCCCGGAGGGTGCCAGATGGCCAGTGGGACTTATAGGAGAGCAATAGGGTGCACTACTCCTTGCCCTTTGCTCTGAAGGGTGTGTCTTTGCCCATCAATCTCCAAAGTCCCGTTCTTCAAGAGAAATAAAAGAACCCAACCACTGACCATATGGGGCATGAGAGACTAGTGTGAGTCTTTGTGCCAGGGAATAGTGTGTCCCACATTCGTGGTAGGCCCTGCCTGAGAAGCGGGCACTGAAGTAGCTGGAACAGGTACAGAGGCAGTGAGGGACTACTCCCAGGTAGCTAAGCATGACCAGCCCTCTGGCTGCTATAAGGTTCATGGACAGACCTGGGACATCACAGCTGGCCTGGGTCAGGGGGCCCTGAGGAATCAGTGACTATGGGAAGAGGATCTGGGGAAACCACAAAGCATCCCTGATGCTGTTAGGTGTGATTGGTGCTTGTAGACAATGCTTTTAAGAAACATAAATCTAAATATGTTAAGATATTTGTGTGATTTGGTGTCACAGGTGTGTCTTCCCCCATCCTTATGGCTTAAGATGGCTTCAGTGACTTCACTAGGTTGTAAAGGTGCCCAGCCCATCAGCTCAAGAAAGAACTTTGAGAAGTTCTTGAGATACTATCATTGCTCAGACCACTGGATCCACATGCAGGTGCTCCTAACCTTAGCCAGCATGAAGACCCATGATGTGTGATATGAATCATCTGTATAAATTAAGTGACATAGAAGTAAAAGATAAAGGAGGGCTAGATTAGTTTAAGCTCCTAGACGAAGAGCTGCAAGCTCTTAGTGCAGGTTCTGTGAAGTAGATGTCACTCTAGAGAGTGACAGTGGCAGAGTTGTTTGTTCCATGTCAGCAGGAGTGTGGATTCTCTCTGCTGGGCCATGGCAGGGCCACCCTCCTTGCTACTGCGACGAGGCCTCCATATTCTCTGACACTTGGCAACATGCAGAATCCCTGATACATGATGTAAATGACAGGCCTGTTTATTCAGGCAAATGATCTAAGAGAAAATTTTAAAAATCTGATTATTTTTGAGTAAAACCAGGTTGGCTGAAAATCTCAGACCTCATGAGTTTAGAATCTCTCTACACAGCCTGGTCCAGGATCACATTGTAGGCATTACTTTGAAGATTGCTTAACCAGCGGAGTCTCAGAATTGGATTCTGCTTTAAATTTGATCCCCCTCCCCCACCCACCGAGACAGGAGAGAGGCCATGATCAGAGAGGGCATTTTTAGAATCTGAAATCTTTTAGGTGAAACAGTTTTGAGTAATATTTAAGTGCAAGACAATGAGTGATCAAGACTTGGTGAATGGAGTCCCTGGAATTGACCAAGTTACCTAATTAGGCGTCACTGATATTATGGTTCATCAAGACCCTAGCCTTGAAGAGCGTAGGGCGGGGCGGGTATCAAACAAATGGAAGAAAGAGCAGCCATGCCTAATGGTTGTTGAGGACTTGCTGTCATCGGGGAAGTGCTACTTTGTGAAAGGAATGTAAGAAGGAAGGGACGTGATTGAAGGTCCAGCCAGGGGAAGGGGTTGGTAGAGGGCTAATCTGGTTGAGGATGAAAGCAGTGAACAGTCTTCATGCTGACAGTGATGTCACATAACAGGGATGCAGTTCAGAGAAAGCAGGGCTGAGAGTCGGGTCGGGTGAGCCCTTAGCATCAGGGAGGAGGCTAGCAGCTAGGAGCAGGGCTACCAAACTAGAGTGAGGATAGTCATGGAGGGTATTCAACAACACTGCTAATTGCAGCTAGTTGTGACCATTGACTAAGTGGTTTACTATTTCCCTATGAGAAATGGAGTTACAAAAGTTATAAATGGAGTTGGCTCCAATTGAATTGAAGCCAACAAAAATAACTTGAGGTAATAAATGGTTCCAACTGTTGGCTATTCTGAAAAGACCCTACAAAAGGAAATTAGACTTGCCTAGAAAACTCATCCCATCCACTAACTATCATGGATTTGTTTGTAGAAGGCACACGAGGTTTTAAGGTTTTAGCATTAAAGGTTTCCCCCTTAAATGCTAACCCTTGGAGAGGAAACTGAAAACTTCATGTTTTTCCAGGACTCTGGGCTTATACCCTGAGGTTGCCAGATTTGGATATTTCTCTGCTGCTCTGTTTGTCCCCCACTTAATTGGTGAACTTCTAACTCTTGTGCTACTTGGTATGGTCCAAAACCCCAACGTGGTCAACAGTGTAGTGGCTCTTCTGTGCATTGCTGGAGTGCTTGTGGGATCTGGATTCATGAGGTGAGATATGCTGATTCCAATTGTACATGCCTTGGCATGATGTGTTCTGAATGATCACCTAATAGCGACTGTTATAAGGAATCCCAGAGGAGAGTTCTGTGATATCAGTTAAAGGTATCACCTTAGAGTCTGGAATATTTATAGTGCTTACTAATTATTATTTCTCAGAGCCTATATGACAGGGTAAATAGCTTGCACTTAGTTCATTTCTGCCCTGGAACTGTTGTATTTTCAATTCCCACTTATTTTTACAAAGGAAGAAAAATAAGATAAGAGCCAAGGATAAAAGACTGCTCAAGAACGTTATCATGTCTAGAAGGACACATACATAGCAAATGCTAATAGTAATTATCTCCAGATGACATCTATTTTATTTCATTTTTATTAATATTTACCATATTTTGTGAATTTTCTATAGTGGACAGCCATCATTTTATAACCAAGAAAACACACACACACACATTTTTAAAAAGTTGTAGCAGGAAGGGTGGAGAATTTTAGAAGGGTAACAGTGATCCTAGGCAGGGGATGTGAGTAGGATCTAATAAGTATGTATTCCTGAGGAAATGTGAAACAGGCTTTTTGACCTAAAAATCAAATAAACAACAACAAAAAATGACGGAGCATCTCTTATATGTTTAGGCAGGAAAACTAAGCTCAGACTTGACTTTGCTCCAGTCACACCACTGTGAAGACTCAGGATGCACTTTGCTTCCCAAAGGGAGAGCTGACCTAGGAGTCAGGCTCCCTCTAACACTTTGCTGAGACATGACCGTGGGCAAGTCGCTTTTCTAGCTAAATTTGTGTCTTTGCTTATAAGATGAGGATAACTGCCTCTGGGACTGTGAGGAATGAATGAAGTAAAAACACTTCCTAAGTGTTTTTAACTCTTCTGAAGTAAAAACACTTCCTAAGCTGCAGTGACTTATATAAGAGAGCTAGGTTTTGATCAGTCAGGGAGTTTTTGTTGTTTTTCACAATGACACCACTGCATTGTATTTATCTACGTTGCTTAGGTGGATTGTTAGCATCTATGAAAAATGCACAAATCACACCATCCCAAGGTTGCAACCAAGCCAGCTAGCAGGGTACGCACCAACCTTGGGCAGCTTCTCCTTTTTCATATTTGAATCAATATGTGCTCTGATCAGTCTGGCACTATTTCATGGATTTGGTTTTTAAGAAAAGGGACTAATTGTTCTTAAAAGGGAGGCAGTGGTTAATTATCACCAAATGCTCTTGGGTTCTTTGCAAAATCTCAATGTCCCCAGGCTTAGCCTGGCTTCCACTCCCAACACTGAACTGAAATTCCATTGTTGAAGGCCACATCAACCTCCTAGTAATAGAGTTTATATTTATCCCTCAAGTCATCATCCTTCCTGACTAACTGCCTGCAACATTTGTGCTTTGGGCTGCCACCTCCTTAAACAGAAATGGAAATGCACACTCTTGCGGGGGAAATGTAAAAGTTAACAGAAGAAAGTAAAAGTTAACTGAAGTATCACAACCCAGGTTAAATTTGGGTTGTATATCTTGTCAGACTTTTTAATGTAATGTTTAATAAACATGAGCTCATACTATCGTGAAGTACAGTACACAAGCATTTCTCCCTTCTAACAATATAGTCTCGTGTCAGTACTTACACTTGTGTAGGTCCTCCCTTTTGAAGGCACTTTAAAGATATCTACTCAGCCTAGTTTTTCTCGATGTTTGTCCCTGATTGTGCCTCCCTCTGACATCTGCACAAAGCCGGCCCAGGGTTCCCTTAGCCAGGAAGCTCTCCCTTTCTCCCGTTTTCTCTCAGAGCCCATCATCCACAGCTGCTGTAACAGTCATTCTTTGACAGTCAGCCTCATGAGGGCAGCAGCTGTGTATTATCCATCACTGTTTGTTTCAGTAGCCAGCACAAGGCCCTCAACAGATTTGCAAAATGAGTTTGTTGAATTAAGTGAATAAATGAATGATTACTTTCTCTTCCTGGATTGCTGGTTTTCTTTTTTGATGTCAAACCACGAATCAAGTGGAGTTTTATTGTTTCGCCTTGAGTGGTGCAGTGCAAGATGAAGGCAAGTAGTTCTTACCTCAGGGAGGTGACACTCTAGATGGCTAGGGAGTGCTCCTCCCTGGGCCAACATCCTATTCCAGGTCTGTGTCATCTCATACCTGAACTTTCTGCTGTAGCCTTCCTGCTTTTTTGCAGTTCTTCATCTGTTCTTATTCTGGTCCATCCTACTTGCTGGTGTCACATTAATTTTCTTGAAACACTGATTTCAACATAACCTTTCTCATAGTCCTTAATTGTCAACCTACCTCAAGGCCCCAAAATGGCTGGTTCTCAGCTATCAATTCAAACTCACCTCCCACTGCTTCCATTTCAGATTCTTTTCCTTTCTGGTTCATTCCGTCCCACATGCAGCCCTTGATCTCCATTCTGTCTACCTAGTGTCCTCTCCCCTTGTTTTCTCCCTGGATTCCTACCTATCTTTTCCAGTTAGCAGTCTCTCAATGTAGCCAATGAACTTTAATGCCTTAGAACATTGCAAGGAATGGAAAGTCATGGAGTTTGGGGGTCACTTGGGAGTAGGTGAAACCATAAATACTAAAGACAGGACTGTCATGGACATGTGGTACTGGGTTTTTGTACTTTCTTAGAACTGTGTATTTACCAATGTGTATTTTTAGAGTTTCAAGGACATATATTCTCTGTCCCCAACTACATTGTGAGTTCTTTAGAGATAGGATATATTGTTTGAGTTCTTCAAGCGCCTAGAACTAGTGTTTTGCAAATACAAAGAATTCATTGCATATTTGTTGATGATAGAAGCTATATAGTGGACTAAGGAGGCCACAAGTTCTCCAGAAACAGATTCAAGAGGAGACATATTTCACTTTCTCATTGAATATCTGTTTGCTCTATTCACCCTTTCCTTCTTGTATTATAGTTTAGTTATCACTTCATACACGAGCATCCTCAAATCTCTATTTTTTATTTTTTACATCATTATTCATTTTTAAACAATATTTGCTTCCCCACCCCCCCCCCAGGTATAGTCCCCATAGAATTTGCTTCCCCAAGGCACCGGTGCACCATCACCTCAGTCCCCTGTGCTCCTCTCTCCCTCCTTCTGAACCCTCTCCCTCCTCCTCCCCTGCAGGATGTCTCTGATTTATAATTGTCTGTTTTTGTTTGGTTTTGTTGTGTTTTGTACTGTTACTATTTTTTTACACTGATGTCTTATTTGGTTCCCCTATATTCCTCCTGTAAGTGAAATCATCCGATATCAAATTAAGTTTTTTAACACTTAATGGTGCTTACAAAAAAAAAATTAGACACCAACCTATTAACAGGGCATTGCTAAATTAAGTTTTCTAATATCATGGACCACTGAGTTGTGATTTAAAATAATGGGGAGCTATATGCTTACTGACTTGGTCTAAGACATGTGTGATTGAAAAAAAGAATCTGGTTGGGAAAAAGCATGAAGAGTTTTAATTCTACGTGTAAAAAATTTTACAAACACACATATACATGTTATATACATCACCAAAATGTTAACGATAGTTATTTCTGGTCAGCGATATTTTCTTATATTTCTCAGCATTGTTTAAAGGTTTTTATAGTGAGTATGATTTCTGTAATGAGAGATGAAAAATGATGTTTGTGTTGGGGAAACATACAGTAAGGGTTACCTTTTTCTTCATTTGACTGGACTATTACCAGAGTCTATTGAATTTCATTTCTCTTTTTCTTTTTTTTTTAAAGAAATGTAGAAGATATGCCTATTCCTTTTAAAATCTTCACTTATTTTACATTCCAAAAATACTGTTGTGAGATTCTTATAGTCAATGAATTCTATGGACAGACTTTCACTTGTGGTAAGTATTCTATTTTAGAATATTATTTTTAAATATTATTCTTAGGAAACAATTTCCTGAGGGATTTTTTTTAAAAATAAAAGCTATGTCATACTCACTCAAAAACCTTATTTTGAAATAAATTCAAAATTTATTTCATTATACATTTCCTCTGATTTTTAAAATGAAAGAATATAAGTAGTGATCTTATATTCTTTGATAGCCACCTATCAAAGGTCAGTATTGCAAGGCCACTCTGATGTCTTCAGAAAACGAAAGACCTACTGTGCACTCAGATAAAGTCAAATATATTTTGGATGGAATCAATTTCTGTATCTACTGAATAGGCAGAAGCAGGTTTCAGTGGTTTCTTGTTCCCCCAAATGTACATAATGGATAGCTAGGTAACGCCAAAGTCTGTTCCCCCAGCACACTAAAGGGCAATGGGAATATAACAAGATCCTTCTGGACAGTGGAATCCTGAGCCAGTCTGTAAAGACAACTAAAGACAAGGCAGATTGTTAGGTTTTGATGTCAGTATCCTGAGATAGTCAAGGCTAGGTGGTCTTGGTTTTTAGCACTGCTCTGGTAATGAATAAATACCCCAATGGAAACAAACCCATTTCCACCTTCAAATGAAGCCAAGGCTAGAAAACTCAGTTATATTGCCTAATAATGAAATCTGAGCTCTCTAAAATGTCCTATATCTTTTATGAAGAAGTCTAGTTAGCAGGGTGCTTAGCCCTTCGTGTAAATGTTGTGCATCTGTTGGGCATTTGGTAAATACTTGTTAACTAAATTTTCTGGAATTCCCATCTCTGACATTGTGAATCTTTTCCCTGGCAGGCAGCTCAAATGACTCTGTGACAGCTAATTCACTGTGTGTCTCCACTCAAGGAACTGACTTCATTGAAAGAATCTGCCCGGGTGCAACATCTAGGTTCACTGCAAACTTTCTGATTTTGTATTCATTTATCCCAGCTCTTGTCATCCTAGGAATAGTAGTATTTAAAATAAGGGATTATCTCATTAGCAGGTAGTAAAAATCATTGCTATGAAAATGGAACTGAAGCTCCTAGGTGTGCATGACTGCTCTGAATGTCTGAAATAAGAGGGCCACCTGTTTCTTTCTAGATAGAACATTTTAAGCCTTTTAGCTAGAGACTCCATTTGTACCCCTTGGGTCTACATAGGCTTTGACTGTTATTCCACCTTGTAGAGAGATGATATTTGGAAATGTGACTGGTCCAAAAATGTAAGTAATAACTCATAAAGTTATGGGAGACTGGTGTGATTGTTTGTTTTCTTTGTTCTAGACACAGAAAAATAGGTCAGTTAAAAAGTTTTGCTTACACTTAATAGCATTTGAATGATTACTAACTATAAATAACAGAAAAGAGAGTTGGGTTGGGTTTTTTATATTTTTTAATAGATTTTTTATTTATTTATACAAGAACTGGGGTACAGGCCAGATGCGCAGGAGGGTGAGAGGATTCACCAGAGACAGAGCGGGGAACAGAACAGGCAGAGTGACCAAAATACACTGCTTAGGGGAACAGAGGGTGAGACAGGAGAGGTCTACCCCACCATGTGGGATTCTGCTGGCTGGCCAGGATCGAACCTGCGCAGCAGAGGCTGTGGACAGCTTCACAGTGCGGCGCTCAACCACCTGTGCCACGAGGGAGACCCCGAGTTGGGGGTTTTATTGAAGCAAAACATCATGCAGAATTAGGTAAGGATGATCATTTTAAAATCCATATTTATGTGTCCACATGAGGGGTCTAAATAACCTAATTGCCTCCAGAGGTAGTTGGGTAGATGTTGGATGGTGGAGAACACTGATAAAGAGCACCCCATGATTTTTTTGAGGGTTGAAATGAAAAACTGTAGGAATGGGCTAAACTGAGAACACACAACACCAGACAAACCTCTGATAACCCTTTAAAGATTAGTTGCTATTTTTCTACTTTTTGTCTAATTTATTTGTAAAATTAAATGTAACTAGAGAAGTGAGAAATGATATCTTGAAGGTTGGAGAGCAACTATATTTAAAGTCCCTATAGAAAAGATACTCAGCTGACACATTTACACTAAGAAGAGGGTTATACACTAGGAATTCATGTTCTTGGATTGTAAAAAGAAAGAGTGGGTGTTAAATACAGACACCTATATTAAGGGTGAAATAATGCATATCGATTATTGATAATGAGTTTTGTACTAAGTGACTTATCTTTTGGATCAATCTTCAAGTAATTCATGTACAAGTCAGAAATGAAACTGTCTTCAATGTTACCATAGTAACCCTGAGTGAGAATAGCTTAGACAGTAAATGAACTTGTTCAGTTTCTGTGACCTAACTTGTAAAGAATGATAAATTATAGCATTTGAAATGGCTTACATTAGAGTAGGAAAGATCATTTCATTAAGGAAAGCACAGTAAAATTCTATTTCTTACAAGAGTATTTAAAGATCTAGAGACACTGGTAAATTACCAGAATAGTATTGTCAATTTTTATAAAAGCTCTTTGACACTGATGATTATGGTGTAATAGTTACATAATGCCTTACAGATTATATATGTCACATCAGTTATAGACAATTCTGGAGACGATAATCTATTAAAGTAGTTCAACGAGAGTCCCAAAGGAACCTCTTTTGAAATCACAGATTTCAACTTACTAAAGATATGGGTGTACATTGTAAGTGGGAACATTTTCTACTATTCATATGCAGATGAATTTCATTCTAGCTCAGAAACATTTGGAAAATTGACATAGCACATGACTTCGAGCTATTAAATGTTAGTGATACCATTTTAGAAAAACACAAGTCTTTCAACATGTGACAGTTTGTATCTCAAATAAAAAATGGACAGTGACGTGTAAGAAAATCAAATTATGTAATAAAACTTCCTATTACTGTTGTAAAATAGGTTGTTTCTTCCCACCAAGTCACTGATGTTTCCTAGATCAAAGCACTCACGATTAGTTTAACGGAAACTCTTTCTCCACAACACTCAGGCAGGGACCTGTCTGCTCCTCGGACTGAATATCAGTATCCTTGGGAAAATGGTGAAAACTCTGTTCTCAAGAGTGCTGGAACTACATGCACTGCAACTCATTTAGGAAGCCTTAATTTGTTATCCTCGCAGATGCTACCCATCAATCTTGGTGTTTTGGGGGTTAGTATTTATTTGAAGCTGGAAATGGAAGAACAAAGAGTAAATGACTATCCTGGTCAATGACTGCAATTAAACTTACTCCAAAATGAGTTTGACGAGGAGGAACAGAAATCTACAGGATTGAGAAGCCTGCGCCACCTTGAAAGTGATCTTGATTTACTACCAACTCAATTGGTTGTTTATTGGCCTGTTTATTGACTAACTTCTTTAGAATGTGCCCATTCTTCAAAAAAGTGATATTCAAAATAAGAACATCAAAAACACTGGAGTTGCTGATTAAAAATGCAGATTGCTGAGCCCCATTCCAAACCCAGACTCTGCCTCCTTGGGTGTGGGGGGGTTCGGGAATGTGCATTTTAAATAAGTCTCTCCAGTGTTTCCGGTTAGAGCAAATTGATTTACAGTTACATTGATGACACCTGTGGAAATGGACCCCATTCCCGTTTCCTACCACAGACAGCTGACAACTCCTTAGAGAAAGAATGTGTCTAAAATGAATGCTTAACTTGATACTTGAAATTTATTACTAAAATACTAATTAGTAATTACTAATTACTGATATTACTAAATGCTCTTGCTTTCATATTCCTGAAACTTATATAAATAAAAATTTATAAATGCTGAATTGAGTATATACTAAACATGTTAGTGATAGGTAGTAAAATATTTTAATTTTTTTTTTAAATTACATGTAGTTAAACATTTTTCTCCTTTTAAAAGATTTTAAAATATCCAGGGAGTTGCACTAATATATGAAATTCCACTTTTCCTTTTAGAAATCACACAAATTTTCTTATTACAATAGCTAATTAGTGAAAGTCTTACTTGTATTTAGGAAAGGGAAAATAAATATTGATAGTTGAATCAGGTTCAAGAATCAAGGTCAATTTGTTTCCAAGACTTGGAAGAGCTTCTTTTGTATTGCTCCAGCTCCTAAAACAAAAACATGTATTAATGAAAAAAAATTAACATTAAAAATTAAACTAGGCCCCTTAAAATTGTCTTAATATTATTTAGACATAACAATGTATCTTTTATAGCATTCTTAGTATTTCTTGACAGTTATTTTGTAAATGACTATGTTTAGAATTTATTTTCTACAAATGTGGAATCTTTAACATTTCTGTATAATCTAAGCAGCACTTAGAGATGAATGAAAGTTTTAGACAAAATTATATACTATCTAGTATATGCAAATTGTCTCTCAACTAATAAAAGGAATCATCTGTCATACAGTAAATATTTAAATCTATTTGTTTGCTATTTAAATCTTGTCACACCTGGTTGAAGTTAGCAAAGTGCTAGTATTTAAAATGTGTATATCCTTTGACCCAGCTACAGAAATCTACCATATGGAATAACAGATAAGAGCACAAGGATATAAATAGGATATTCATTGTACTGTGTGTATTGGCATACAACCGGAAAGTATGCAGATAGCTCCCAGTAAGGACCGAATAAATAAACCAGCACTCATGTACATTCACACGTGGCTTCACAGCCAGCCAGCAAATATAGTGGTGGTCATTTGTGCCACGTGATAAAAGCAAAGAGGAAGAGAGATAGCAGGACATTTTCTAGTTTACATACTTCTATATAATTTGAAATTTTTGACAATGAGTATATACTATCTTTACATGCATGAAATAAAGATAAATTTTATTGGGGTTGAAAATTCTGCATGAGAAAACTGGAGTGCCTCCTAGTTGCTTACATGTTGCTCAATGTCTAAAATAACTGTCCAAAGTACAAGATAAGTACAAAGTGGTTATTCTGCAAGATAGGGTAACTAGTGCCCTATGGCTAACATAATTGAAGTTTATAGTTGCTATGAAAAACAAAGTCTATTTTCATTTTCAAAAAATATTAAGATTTAAAGGTTACACATCGCTAAACTCTGTGTACAGCTTGATTTACTTTTTCTAAAGAATTCATCAGTTACCTACCACTTGTGGTTTCAAAGATTGTTGACTCATAAACGGTAATCAGTTATCATAAACTCTGCCTTTAATTGAAAGTGTTAAATTATTTTTACCAATGAGAAAGGTGAGAAGATTGTTTTTAGATTCCTTGGATAGAATTTTTTCATTTAAATACATGAATCTGTGTATATGTGTGTGTGTAAATTATAGACCTAGGAATTACAAGTAAATTGATTTTTAAAAATCAGGGATTCAAAATATATTTGGTATATTTGGTTAGCCAAAAAGACTTTAAAATAATTATTAACTCAAAAGTTTCCCCCTTTTTTTTTACTTTAACAATAAAAATATAGGATAGAGGGTAAAAGGATTTAACAAGTGCTTTCTTTACTCACATCCCCTTTATATCATGAATGCTTTAAAAGTAGAGGATTTAAAAAATAATAATTACTGAGGAATTATCTTCTGGTGCCCATGTGAAATCTGGCAAAAGAGAAAACTTCAAGTAATTAGATAGATTAATTAAGAAAGAGAGTTAATTAGGAAAGGCACTTAATCTGCAGGAGAGGTGAAAGGGGTCTTCAGGCCTATTCTCAGACCTGTGAGGATTGGTTTCACAGACTGTGAGGATCTCCACGAATCTGTGGGGACTGGGAGGGGGTCTGGACAGCTATCATATTATTACCAAGGACTTACAATAAGGCATCAGGGAATATTGTGGCTCGGCGCCTCCCTGCACTGGCAGGATTATTAAATAGCAGTGTGATTTCAATGCAGTTCTTCTGGAGCAGAGGGATGGACATATCTTTTTTGCTTCATGATTCTATGCAAAAGGACTTTTTTGAAGGCTCAAGTGCTGGAGGAACTAAATGGAACCCACAGGTTAGAAGTGAGGGGCTGCAAGTCCATCTGAGGTCAGTGCAGTTCATCTATTAATACACCATAAATGAAACTGATTTAGAGGCAAAATTAAGACATAACTTTTCTACAGGTTAATAAAGACTTTTGGCCAAGAGAGGAGGGCAATTAGTGATCAGTGAGGTGTAAACATTGAATGAAGAATGACATAGGAAGTTATTGTGGGCTTGCTTTCCAGTTCTACTCAAAATTCCAATGGTTTTAGGGCAATCTGGAGAGATGGAGTTGAATATAAAAATTCAAGATGCTCAGAAATACTGTGGTCCTTTAATGATATCTATATGTAGAAATGTAATAAAAGTGATCACAAGGAAATATAAACAGACACTCTTATCAGAGATGTCAGGTAGTCTCTGACTCCTAGATAATTAACTCAGGAATGATTTCCAGCTAATCCCGTAGCCACACGGCACTGGTCATAAGGGTTACTTGAGGTCATCCCACTTGTCCTACAACATGCCTCTACTTTGCCATAGCTCTAAAACCCTTACATATTCATGCCATCTTTCAAAAGTCTTCTGGAATAAGTTTAAATGTTTTGCTTATTCTGGGGCCCCTGAGAGTGAAAGGCCAGTGTTTCCACAGATGGTTGTGTGCAGCGCGGGCGCGAGCACCCTGGGCCCACAACTCTACAAACCCAGGAGAAGCTGTTGGCGCCAACCGATGGCACTGACTACATATGAGCCGATTTAATAGGCTCAGAATCTGCCCAGGGAAGCATTTTAACAAACTAAAAGGAGAGCTGAGAGATACCTAAGTATCAGATTATGATGAATTTGCCAACTTTTACCTTCTTCCATCAGATGTGTGCACCACAACAGGGCATTCGGGAAGGCGGTCTCTACCTTTAACCACTTTCCTGAGAGATCCTGGGTGATGTCAGTTACATCTATGTGCTTTCACACTGGAAAGCACTAAGGCACATTGAGTAAAGAGGGCAAATTTCAAAGTCCTTATCTTTTTCTGGTACAAGAAAAGTGTAGGTATGTTTGATTGTCCTAATAAACAAAATCTTCTGCCTAATCCCACAAACATAAGAATATTCTGAATCTGTCTCCCCAGCAGCAAGGTAAGATTTGCTGCCCATCTTTAATACCAATGACTGGAAAACCCAAAGAAGATATGTAGACATTAAGTCGTCGCTGGATGGCAGAGTAAGAGTTGTTTTTAAACAACTCTGAAGTATCAGAATTTTACTTTTTGTGTAGAGCAGAGATGTACTATTATTTAAATCACTTTAAGACTAAGAAATTAAATTAATAAATTGACAAAAGTTGAAATATTAGAGGTATTTTTATGGATATACTCAAGATAAAATACATGTGTAGGATAATACCTGATCCTTCTGAATTCTCATCTCATCAACTTCACTTTCAGCATACTGAGGGTCTCGTGCAGGGTCCTTGATATCTTTTAGTGTGTTGACACTCTGAAATGACAATTCTTCAAATCATTTCACGCCCAAACCTTCAGTGACTACCATCTGCCTAACAAACCATGGTCCCACTCCGCAGCCAGGCTCCTGAGCTTTCATCACCACCCTCGAGGGTCATTTCAAATCCCACCTTCGTTCCTCCCTCTCCTTCCAGATGCTTCCTCTCCCTGAGTTCTGTTTCAAAGTGAAGCAAGAACTGCGTCTTGTCCATCTTTTCACCCCTACAATGCCTTGCATACACTAGACTCATAGCAAGTGTTAAATTGATTTTAAGGCATGAAAAATAACAACGAAGTATCATAGTAGACCCACTAGAACATATCCTAGTAACTGTTGAATAGTGCTGAAAATTCTTGCTCTAAAAGAATGAGAAATACATACTTTTGGTGGAAAGAGCTTTTCATATACTTTTTTCCACAACTCCATCGGGGTATGGGCATGCAGCTTCCCAATGTCATTATCAGGAACAGGCGGAGATCCTAAAATTGGAAGTTTTACTGCAAATGATTGCACTGATTAAAACATTATAAATTCTACCACTAAAATAGATGACACTCCTGCAAGTACAAATCTTAGATGACTCATTTCCCCTCTGCCAGCTGTCGCAATTCACACTCTAACCAGCAGCACCTGAGAGCATCTGTTTCTCCACACATGCACAAGCACAGGAGAATACCAAACTTTTATGTTTTTGTTGGGCAGCAATTTAGGTGTGGGGGAAAGACAGCTGCAATTTATTCATTAGTCTGTGTCCTCTTCCTCTGGTACAAGAGCCTGCCCTACTTTATAGAGAGGATGTCCATGTATTGCCTATATACTTTAGTTTGAATAATTAAATTAATTAGAAAAACTTGAAAATTTGCTGCCATTTCTTTGCAATTTTCAGTGTATAATCTGAGATTTCTCAATTTATCTACTGTAGCATCTACACTGTTCACTAAAACTTTCACTGTTGAATTTTCAGAGGTCTCTTACCACTCTCATGAGAAATATATTAATACAATTTACCAATCTTATTCAACATTCTTAAAGTTTTTATTTGTAATCATTTGTCTATGTGTATGCATTAAGTTCTGTACAATTTTATAACCTTGTGTGTTCGTATACTCACCACCACAGTCAAGGTATTAAACAGCTCCATTTCCAGAAGGATCCCTTGGGTTGTCCTTTCTGAGCCCTCACTCCAACTCTGATAACTGTTAATCATCCCTCCATTTCAAAATTTTTTCATTCCAAAAATTTTATATAGCAGAGTCATACCGCAGGTGACTTTTTCTGATGGTTCTTTTTTTTTTTTCACAATAGTTCCCCAGAGATTCAAGTTTCTGTGTGTCTCAATAGTTTGTTTATTGCTGAGTAGTGTTCCATGGTATAAATGTACATTTCTTTTATATAAATGCCCAATAGTGCAATTTCTAGGTCAGATGCATATATATATATATATATATATATATATATATATATATATGTATATGCAGCTACATATATATACTAGTTGTTTTATAAGAAACTATCAAACTGTTTTCAGGGGTGGTTGTACCATTTGACATTACTATCAGTGATGTTTGAGTGATCAGTTTCTCTACATTTGTCAGCACTTGTCACTATTTTTTATTTGGCTATTCTGATAAGTGTATGTTGCTATTTCATTGTGGCTTCAGCTTGCATTTTGCTAATGATTAATGATCTTAAACACCTTTTCATGTGCTTGTCATTTTTGTATCCTCTTCAATGAAATATCAGCTCATGTCTTTTGCCTTTTTTTAAATTGGATTTTTTTTACAGTGAAATTCTCTATATATTCTAGGTATTAATTGTTAGATATATGTTGAAAATACTTTCTCCCAGCCTGTAAAAATATCTTTTTATCTGTTTTACATGGACTTTTAAGAGTGAAAGTTTTCCATTGTACTGAAATCCAAACTCCATGATTTTTATTCATGAATTTTTACTTCCAGTTACTCGTATGGGCAAAAAGAGTTCCATCAGCATTATCTATTAGTATTATCTATTAATAATTCTCACTGCTATAGAAATTAAGTTGGTACTATTGATAATTATAAAAATCAGTCTCTATGATCACTCAGTAACTACCTTTATTCCTTTCATTCCAATTCACTACAAAGATCTATTCATGTAAAGTCAGCCTTAGTTTGTGAAAGTAATGGAGAACAGGAAAGAAAAAAAGAAACTACTGTCCCTTACTGTTAAAACCAAAGCATGCTAACACCAGAGTAGAAAAGGTGCTAGGTTCAAAGAGCTTCACAATGAAATTAGCTTCTGTGGGAACATAGGGGCTTGCCAACATAAACTCTTAATTTTTTTTCATTTCATGAGCCTAGGGCTATTAGATGAGGCAAGTGATTTTTTTAATGAAAAATTAATCAGTACAAGTGTGTTCTTTTGGTTTATTCCTCCCCTTGAATCTCATATTTTTTTATCATTATCCATAAAAATAGCTTTAAATTTCCTGACCATTCTATGCTTTTGGTTTCTTCTAAATCCAAAGAGCTAAAATTTAAAAGTACTTGGAAATCAGTGAGAGAAAGGAAATACATGAAATTGTTTTAGTGGAACAGAGGTCAGAAATCAGTCTCTTATGTGACAACACCCCTTCCTTCATAAAGATGTCAACACAATGCATGTTGCATCAATACTGTGTGGAAAAATAAATACCTAAGAATGAACAATGATAGTGAAACCAGAAATGGTGGTATGTTGGTGATGAAGTGAACATGGAGTAGGATAAAATCAATAAGCAATTAAAAAAAGACTGAACAATCTAAATAAGTTCACCAACCTATTTGACTTAAAGAATCCAATCCTGCTGTGATAAACAGTGGTTTATTCTGATCCACACATATTGATTTGCTATATGGGTAAGAAGAAAAAGAATCCAATTTAGTTTAGTAATTGAATATCCAGCCACACCTTTACTGTAAATACAAGAGCCAACTTTTTATATGTAGTCACTGATAAGACTATTGCCACAAATGAATATCAATTCCATTGATTTAAAAAATTAAAGTTTAGCAATTTTAAAGATTTTAGAAGAAAAAATATGACAGACCCAAATTGCCTTACATCAAAACCAAGAAAAATAGCAAAATGAAGAAAAATACATACTGAAATTATCAATTCCATTTCCAATCAATATAAGAATGTGGTCATAGAGAGAAAGCTACTAGAATGAGGGAAAAGAAATAAAATAAGCCAAGGAAAGCATGTCACTATTTTTTTCTAGTTGCAAACAAAATATATAAAATTTTAGTGGTAAAATCTGAGAACTATTTAGACACTATAAGAAGAGATAATTTGAAATTATTTTTCTAAGAACAGTTATCTGAGGCACTTTCCTGGTCAAGAAACAAAACACTGGTAAAAACAATAATCAGTAAGATAATACTAGCAAAATAATAATAATAAAATAAACAGATATAAAAATATATCTTCACAATACCCTCTGTCAATGCCAAATGCCAACTGGTTGATAACGCCACGTATTTTTAGTAATTGTGCTTCTGATTTACTGGTAAACTAAAACAAAAACAGAAGAATAAATTATATGGTCTGTTTTTTAGTTAGAAACAGGTAAATAAATATGGGCTTGAACAAGTACAGATTACTGAGACAATTATTATTTATTTGTCTAAGAAACATTCTGTTTGAGTAAACTAAACAAAACTGGATAAAGTAAGAAATTGCAATACATTTGTCTTAATTCACTCTTTAAACTTTGCAAGTGCATGATATTAAAGGCACTTGTGTTAGAATCATTTCAGCTTCTTCCATGAATGGATCATAATCATTGCCAAAATGCAATCTTTTGGTTAGAAAGTAAATAATGATAAATAACTTCCATCTGAGAGTGCATTACCACCTTCACTGCAGTCAATGTGGGAGCTGCAGACAAGTCTAAGGAGACTGACTAAAATGATTAATTTCTCTTCTGAACTTCTGCCTTTGAAGGCTGCAAAATAACCTAATGAATGTCCTCATTGTGGTATATACCTAGGTGACCATAACCAGAATACCCCAGAGAATGAAATGTGTATGGGTGCTATTAATCATTAAGCCAAGACATCAGGTAAAAACTAGGATATATGGTTACCCTAAAAATCTTTTAAGATTAATTTTATTTTTGGAAATACCCAAAGTTACTCAGCCAAATCAGAATGTCTAAGATATAAGAAAGTGAACCAAAATAAAAATGTAATTATAAGATAAAGAGAACAATTTTCAATATAAGATTCATCTGGATTAAGAAAAGTCCCCCAGGGAAAGTATTCAAAGGACAATTATGTGAATATGTAAGATTTGGTATATTAAAAAAATTGGAACTATTTTAGTGCTTCTACTGAGATAATTTTTAAAACATGGAAATCTTTAATTGAACTGAAGAAACCCCTGTTATTATTATTTTTATATTCCACATATGGAAAGGTAAAAACTTTATCACAAATGTATTTCATAGGACTGCAGGAAATTGGAGGACCTTAGAAGTTTTCTAACTCAAACACCCTTCCCCTCAATCTACCACATTAATCACCATGAAAACATCCTCCACAAATAGCTGCAGAGCTTCTGCTTGAATAAACTCTTGGCCTGGGAACTCATTATCTTCCAAAGCAAGTCATTCCAATTTCAGGTAATGGTTGTACTATAAAGTTCTTTCTTATTTTGAGCTAAATTATTTCCTATTGATCTCTTGTACTTGACTCTAAGAGAGCAAAGGACACATTTAATTCCTTTCCAAGATGGTCCAGAAGGGCTGCACTAACCCCAAATTCTGATCCATCAGGCTTTTTAAAAATTGAGATGAAGCCCTTCTCAAATCCTTTCCCTACTGCCAGATCTTATGGAGTCATCTGGGCCATGTTGAATCTCAGGCCTATTGGGTGGCCTGGGCTGGTCTGACTTCATCTAAATTTTACCCCTAAGACTAGATTGGGTCCTGATGTATCATCAAATATCCTCTGTTCCTACAGACGGTTAGAGATTTCCCTCAGCTAATTAACCAGAACTAAATGTGGAGCCTTAACTAATGGTAAAAATAAGAAATTACAAACTCCAGGCGTGGTCTTTACTTCCAAACCCTAGATAAGTGCTTCACTTTAAATTTCCCATAACTTCAAAATAGTATAAAGAAGAATATTTTCCATAGTAGTCTGTCAACATAATATGTACGCAGATACAGTTCAATCATAAAAGGTGTTGGTTTTTAAGTGTATAATTAGATTTACTTGAAGTGTTCTGAAAATAAGAAAAGCTTAATATACAGATTGTGTTTATTACTTTTACTCATTCTAGCCAGGAAGGGCAGGGGCTAGACCATGTTGTTTCTAGGTTCCTCTGAGCACTTTGATGTAGGGGGTAAAAGAGAATATTAAATAATTATTCAATGGAAAAAATTATTTTTAATAATAATGATTTTATATTTTATTTCATTAAAGACTATCTCACAAAATTTAGTCCTGCTGTGGAAGATAACGATGGTGGTAATTACAATAACCAACATTTATGGAGCATACTTTGTTTCAGATCCTGTACTATGCATTCCACATGTCCTCTCTCCTTTAATTCTCACAACAACCCTCTGAAGAAGGTACTGTTTTTGTCCATTTTACTGGGAGGAAAATGAAGCTTAAGTAAGATTAAGTGACTTGTCCAAGATCACATCTGCAAATGGTTGCCCTGATATTTGAACCCAGGCAGCAGGACTTTGGGCGCATGTTCTTAACTTCTAGGACAAGCAGCAATTTTTTTTCTTTTTGAGTTTAAAAAAGAATACATCATTAAAGTCTTTTCTCACTTTTTTAAAGAGAAAACAGATTCTAATTCTTATGGAGACTAAAAATAAATAAATAATTTATCTTTTTAAGGTTGACTAGAATAGAAGCCATAGAGAACTTGGACTGCAAAGATTAGTTCTATCAAACACTCTGTAACAAGATATGGACTCTGGGAAAGGAAAAGAGGGGATGATGTGCATTAGTGAAAGCACTAGTATTCACAACTGTGCATCAAGCTGCTAATCTTTCCAAATTTGTCCATTCAAGCTCAAAGAATAGGAAGTGTACAAACCATTAATGATGCTCCATAATAATGTGCAACAAAGCGAAGTGTCTTGCATATTACCTTTCTCTTCTCAGAATCAAAATCCTGTAAAAAATGTTATTAAAAAGAATAGAAAGTTGAGAGAGCTAAATATCTTTTAGCAGGAAGATGTAAATTATTAAATACAGAAATAGATTTCCTTTTATTTTTCCCTAGGATCACACCCTAAGGAGTAGGATTCTATTACCTTGATGTTTGTTTCTTTAGAGAACTGAACAATAGCTGCAGCCTTTTGGAGCTCCAGTTATCAGATCTTTCCTTGTTTAAACACTTAGAGATATTTAAATCAAATTTAGATACAAGCATACATTTTAGAGTGTGGATTACCCTAAGGAGTCTCTGACAAGTGAAGATAAGAAGAAACCAATTTTCTACTTTCTTCAATTTAAAAGTTGGGAAGTAAGACCTATTCCCCCAGTGACTGGGTTAAAGATTTAGTTTCTAAATCTACTTTATCCACATTGTACTGTCTATCCCCATTCCATTGTCTTTATTGTCCTTTATCTATATTTTCTTCCTCCAACTATATCCTCTCTTCCAAAATCTTAAAGATGTGTGACTCCTTGACTTACCCCCCACTCCTTGAGTCATTTTTCTTATTTCATTATTACATTTGTTCTCCTCCCATAAAGCACACACATGCATGTACAACAAATTTAACTGTAAGTGGAAGAACATACCTGGAAAACATCATATTTACTGCCAATTATAACCAGAGGTATTGGAAATGGGTCAATTAATTCACGATCCTGTAATCAAACAGATTTCACTGATTAATTATAATTTACTGTTTAATACTATGTATTAGACAATTTCTATTGACTCCCCCAAATAGATGTTGACTTTGCTTGACATAGAGATTGTTCCGATATTTAACTTTCATTTATTAAACTATATTTCTTGAGTATGAAATTAGGATGGTCAATTCCCTAAACTGTTTGATGTCCTTTCTCATGTTCTCCTTTTATAAATATATGTTAATTTTTCATTTTTCTTTTCTTTTTACTAGTCTGTATTAACTGTTGCAATAGCATTTATGCTTCAGTAATGGGAAACATAAATTTTCAGTTTTATTCTATTACTTATATAAAACACAGTCATAGAAACTCTGAGCAATATAAAATACTGCTCTCCGTTTTCTAGAAAATTATATTCATTATTTTATTTAAGGAACTTGTGTTATATCACTGCAACTTTACAATTTGATTAGTTGTCAGATAATCAAAAGATACTATGTGACAAACACTAAATGAATATATGTTATGATATGGATTATTAGAAGTCTACTCCTTGCTCAAATTTGTAGCTTCATTTAGTCTTTTTCAGGTGACTTTTGTACAGTCTGGTTTTTTTTTTAATCTTCATTTTACAGAGATTATAAAATCAATATCAAACTACTACTTTAGAATTCTATTCTTTTGACTGGTGCAATATGCCATAACAATCACAGCAGATGTCTAACAAAAAGACCTAAGTCTTTTTCCTTGTTTTGCTCTTACTGAGGTTTTATTAAATTGCTATAATTTTCCAGTGAACAGGTTCATCTACATCAAATGAATTTCAAGTCATGCATAAAAATCTAAAGAAGTCGCTTGTGATGTTACTGTAACTATGTACAGGGCTACAGATTCCAGGAAGTTCTCAACAGCAACTCACTGGGTGATCCTTCTGCATATTACTCCATATCTTCTGTCTCATCTCAGAAGATGCTTTGGGATTTGTCTTTCCCAGTTTCATTATCACTTTATCCACATGACTTTTTGTGTTTTGTAACAGATTTTCCATGGTGGGCCAAAGGTCATTTGGTTTTGAAAGATCCAAAACAAGAATAATAGAAAATGTCCTAAAGAAATAAAAACATCTTTCAAAACAGACTCAAAATAATTACCATTTTAAAACCATACTATGTGAAATATATTACCTAAGAATACCAGTACAGTTTATGACAAAAAGTATATCAATTTTCTAAGACATGAAGAAGAAAAAAAACAACAAAATTACAGCTCCATGTATTCCAGGCTTTTCTGTAGGGATGTTTAAGTGCCTCAACCAATGGTGGCACTGAAGTCTTGGCTCAAATTAATATAGACCAATCCAACTTGAATAATCTGTAAGCAATTGCAGATTAATAAGCCATGTTTAAATTTAATTTTACTGTCTGCCTCAAAGAAGGGTAGCCAAAAAAAAATATCAACAATCATGTAAAGAAGGACACAGATTCATTAATGGGCCGTGCTGGGGGAACTACCTAGCTTATTTAATTTCACAATTACCTTCTCTAGAAGATAATACAATGTACACGTTATAGACTGGAAGGTTTATATAACGAGGTTTATATATAAGTTGTAGAGCTGGTCTTCAAAGTCACACTACTTGTCTTTCTGCTATAACTTGCTGCTTCTCTGAAAGCAAACCACACTTAGCACTGCCATCACCACAGACATGAGTGCTTATGTTCATTTGCACCAAACATAAGTCTAAACTCAGCAAAAGCAAAACAAATAAACCAATTAAAAATGGGCAAAGGCTCATACAGATATTTCTTCAAAGAAGATATACTAATGACCAATAAACATATGCAAAGATGCCCAACATCACTTAAGCACTAGGAAATGCAATCAAAACCATAATGAAATACCACTTCATACCCATTAGGAAAGCTATCACTACAAAAAGAACAAAATAAAACAGATTCCCAGAAAATAACTGTTGGTTAGGATATAGAGAAATTGGACCCTGGTGGGAATGTAAAATATAGCAGCTACTATGGAAAACAGTATAAAATTATTTGCCATTAAATTGTCTTGCCAATTATATGTGTGTGATAAATCATATGTAACATACAATTTATCATTTTTGCCAAATGAAAAATAACTTTAAGTAAAAGAGAAATGGCTTATTCAACTTTTTTCCAAGACTAAAATACGTGTTTGCATGCTTTGGAAATACTTGTGTTACTTTTACCTTTATAGTAAATGTAGCTAAAAACAAAAACAAAAACAAACTTCTTAAAAATAGGTAATTGAACCATAGGAAATACTTTCTTACAACTTACCTAAAATCTATGGAAATGTTCAGTGCATCTACAATTATTTTATGAACAGTCATTTAAAAAATAAATAGTATTTCATCTTTTTGCCAATATTATTTTCTCAAGTTGTTGGGTTTTATCTAACAGAAGGAAATTATGTGTCAGATCAATTCTAGTCACTCTGAGATTTGCCACTACATTAGGAGTGAAATGTTTTGCATAAATTCTTTAACTACTCAGCAGCCTACTTTGGATCCAGGCCTATGACCGCTCTTCCCTCTGACCACCAAACCCCTGACCTCTTCTCTCTCCAAACAGGGGGCCCAGCTGCTCTGGAGTTCCAGAGAAAGAAGACCAAGGCCTCCCAAAATGAGGGACTAAAGAAGCTGCAATGTGTACCAGAAAGCAGAATTTCCATAAACTCATAAGGCCCAAACCCTCTTGGGTCTAGAGAAGGGGAATGAAGTCATGCAAGAAGGTGATGTAACAAGTCAAGCCAGAACTGGAGCCAGCTCACAACCCAGGTTAGAGCTGCTCCCTGCGTTTTCAACTTGTTTCATCTTTGTGTCCCTTCAACTCCTCCCTACCCTCACCCTCTCTTCTCAACCACACCACCAGGAGCCACCCTAATTCTCTGACATGTCTCTCTTAAAGGAGGGCAAATGAAAAACTACAAGGCGTTAAAATTCCTTATTTCTCAAAAATGTCATGGGCAACATCATTAAAAATGAAAAGGCAAGATCTAAATGTTTCCATTAAATATCCCAAATCTGTACAAAGTATATTTACAAACACTGAAGACACTGAAAGAAATAATGTAGCATGTTAACAGCGCCTATTATTTATGGGCATACTCTCTATCTCTCACTATTTTTTTCAAGTTTTCTATATGAGTATACATGTCTTTTGTAATAAGTAAAAGTAAATTATATTTTTTAAAAGAAAAAATACCACTGGATAGATAAGCTAACATTACTTGTATGTAGTTAGATCCCATACTCTAAAGATTTTAATAGCCAAAATGTAACAATTGTCAAGTCCTCTCCCTTTGGCCTAGACAACAGCCCTGTTTTTTTTTAAACTCTGACAAGAATAAAATATTTCAGATTTAAAAGTTTTTGTTTTCCTTGGCTAAGATGAATTCCTAGGAACACTGAGAAATGTCACAATTTTCCACGTCTGATTTGGCCAACATGTGGCAGTCATTGTCAGGAAAATACCACCCAAAAGTTTTCCCCAACATTCTCTTCTTTTAAGGCCAGCAAATAGAAACTTTCTCCTTCCTTGAATTCACAGATTTCCCTTGGGTGAAACATCAGCAGTATAACTAGCTTTAAATTCAAAGGTGGACTTACACTGAGTTGAAAAAAATCTCAGGGCTGAATTAGCACATACTTTTATGGCTACTGGAAAGAATGAAGCCTTTTCAAATTTATTTCTGCCAAGTTGACTACTTGCCCAAGTGTTATTTGACACACACACACACACACACATACATATTTTTGTTTGTTGGTTTATTTTGTTTGTTTCCAGACTTTTACAATACATTACTAGCTGGAATGCTGACTCTTCTGCACAGGTTACACCTTGACTCTTTAAAAATCTCTTTGAAAGCATTATGGTAGAATGTAGAAAAGAAGGGAATATTAAGCTTTAGCAACCTAAAACTGTTCCCCAAATTCTGATTCATAAAGGCTACTCATCTTCATCCTGTGGACACTACTGGGTACTTAGTAAGAACTATTTCTGGAGCTGGCTGCACTTACCGTAAGGTGTCACTTGTGATTGGTATGCTGATTAAGTCCAACAAAGAGGTTCCACCACCTAGTTCCCAAAAGTGAGCAATATCTTTTGGCTGAAAAAGCAAGTGTTTTTCATAGTAAAATTTTTACTTTTTAAAAACTTGTTATACTTCATTAGTATAAGTAAAAACTATGAATGTAGTCTGCGATCAACCCTTTCTTAGCAGGCAAAACTTTGTCCTATCTCTATCATATTCCTCAGAATGTAGCAAAACATCTATTCTAAAGAACAAAATTGAAACATTAAGAATAATATATGTTTACATAAATGCCCCAATTCCAGTAATACCTTCATGGAAATCATAAACAATATCCCAATTCTATAAATATCACATGTAGCAGACACTCAAATTTGAAACAAAATTAACCAGTTGAACACATTTGGTCTGATCTTTTATAAAACAGTTATAATTCTAGATAGAAATAACAGACTTGAGTAGGAAAACATCCTGATTAGAAAGGAAGAGCTCACAAACTATATTAAATATACAGATAAGGTGTGAGGAAAAGGGACTGATGGTAGATTGGGCTGCAGACCAGGATTCGCTGAGTAGAATTATAAGGACAGGATTGGTTCCTGACACCCCTCGGGAATCTGACAGACTAGCACTGGCCATTAAAGGGATAGGTGGGGAACAAGACTAAACGATGGCTTCTGTTTTCAGCATTGTCAGATATTGAAAGGGCTGGGCAGCAAAGTGTCTTGGAAGTAAGACCATCTCTTCCATGGCAACCTTCCTAGACTGCTAGCTAATGGCATTTCTACTTGTAAAATTAAGGAAAATATATGTGAAATAGAAACTTATGAGTTTTTATGTTATCTGTTATCATGAACTTGAAAGAGAGAGCTGGTCACCAAAGCAAGTTTTAGATGAATATATGGCATTTTTTGATAAATTATCATCTCATAATCACTAAAATTGTTATTTGCTATTAATATTTGATTCAGTAATGTTAGTGGGGGGAATAATTTTTCATTGCACAGTACTTCTTGATTCACAATTTGATGATGTTTTTAGAGCATGCACAAAAGTTAAACTTATAAAAGTTGTCTCAAAGTCTCCAATGGAAAGGTAATTCCATTTCTAGGCCTACAAATCATTTCAAATTTCACATGCATAACAAAAATAAAGTTCTCCTGCATCTCAATATGTTGTTTATTCTTTTCTTTAAACTTCATTGTTTTATCAATCAACATTCATTGGTAAATCTAGGAATCAGCAACAGGCAGTTTTTAACTCTATATCTTGTCTGAGCAAACATTTGGACTAGATCAATCTCTGAAAATTTGCCTGTGTTATGGAAAAGTATGAATTTCTATTCTAGATTGTTCTTACATACACATAACTTTATTTAAGAACTAACCTCTCTTCTGTGTGAAAACTTCATTTTTATTCCCCTAACATACATTATGATTCTCCCCTCTATCCTGAATAAATTCTAGCTTTCTTCTGAAGAGACATTAAAATGGGATTATAACCAATTAGGTTACTTTAAGATGTGTAAAATGCTAACAGCTAATAATTAAGATTTTAAGCAGTATATTTTCATAAATATTCTACAGATAAAACTCATTTTTAGCAGATCCGGGGAAGAAAGAAGATAACTCACAATGTTATTCTCATTTGACAGAAGAAAAACTCTTATTAACACAATTAATATAAAATATGTCAAAAAGTATACAATGAAATTACAAAAGAATCATATTCTGGCATTTAAGACATAAAAATGAGAAGGCTAACATATTTTCACCATTTGGGTTGGCTTCACATGTGCTGAGTTGCATTTGAGTTAAAAAGTACATAGTTACAAAGTATACAACTGGATGTTTGTTGATTGTAGATAAGATGGAAAATGTAATTAAGTCAGCATCACTACTCCTCCATGTAGGGCAAAGCAATAGCACTTAAAACAACACTCACTATATTATGCCCTTTTGCTCTTCTTCCATACGTATATTCCAAAGCTAAGGTTGGTTTTGGTGGCTCATCCCTGTACAATAAAGACAGACAGTATTATATCATGATTGGTGTTATTTCTTATGCTGTTATCTTAACCTGATTCATTTCCTCTTAAAAGCACCGGAAAGGTACTTTTGCAATAGCAATGGGGTGAAAATGACTGAAATTTATCTAAAAAATAAATCTTCAAAAACTGTATTAATGGATTTAAGTGGCAGCTGCAGAGGTGAATAATGTCACTTGAATGTAGTGGTAGCACCTAGAGACACTTGTGGGGTGAGCAGAGAATGTGTTGGGGCTGCCCATGTCGACACGCACATAAGGGCACAAGTTCTCTACATGCAGGTCATGTGGGAAGCGCTGACATCAGGTTTATGCCCGGCTTTAATGTGGGGATCTGGGAAACAAAGGATTACCAATTTAATGGTGAGATCAGTGGAAGATTTCAATACAATTCTCTGTCTTAAATTGCTCCTCAACCTTTATCTCATGAGAGCTGCAGATTACAACAAATCCTAAAATCAACAACTGATTTGAAGAAACATGAAAATGACTTGATAAATTGTTTACACTACAATTTATGTTGCTTGGCAAGCAATTTTATATTTATCTGTCTATTTATTTTAACTATTTCTTGCATGGAAAGAAACTTTACCATCTTGACCCTTTTTAAGGCTACAGTTCAATAATATTGAGTGTATCCATACTGTTGTACAACCAAATTCTAGGACTTTCTCATCTGGCAAAACTGAAATTCTGTAGACATTAATCAACAACCCCCCAATTCTCTCCTCCACCCTACTTCCTATTTTATGGGTCTGACTTTCCCAGATACCTTCTGTAAGTGAAATCAATTTTTGGCTTTTTGTGACTGACTTTTTTCATTTAGCATAATATCCTCAAAGTTCGTCTATATTGTAGTCTGTGTCAATATTTCCTTCCTTTTTAAGGCTGAATAATATTGTTATATATCTATTTTTAATTTGGAGAACAAAAATTTTTCTTAATTTGTGATTTACATATTTACTAAATATTGTATATATCATCCCTACATATAACATTTTTTGATACATATATAGAACAGGTTATTTCCCTGAAAGATAGAATTTTCTTTAATGAAACAAAATTCTGTTTTTAAGATAAAATTTATAGGCTCTGATATTTAATCTATAATTTTGAGATTTGTCCTTTTTCTAAGTAGACTATCAAGATGCTAAATTAATAGTTTAATCTCAGTGTAGTATTTAATGCTAAGCTGATGCTGTGTTAGATGACTTGCTTGTAGTAGGAAACACACATGGTCTAAACAGCCATGACATATGGGGATGGAAAGACGATGCAGGTTTCACTGTGGATGGTTCTGCTAAGGAACAATTTTGTTGGAATTACACGATTCCTTTTACTTGTATGCTTTAATAATATTTTTCAAATGAAGGGCATTTCTTTAATGTAAACTTATGATTAAACTGGCAGTTTTTTTGATGGTTTTGGAGATGTTATAAGAAAGAGCCATAGGAAGGAACAGAGAAATCCCTCCAAAACTGGTTGAACACTGTCCTTATTAACAGCTTGCAAAATCTACCAGCCATAATCCTAAAACATCCTGATTGCATGCTTCCATGGTACAAAAGGCTAAAAAGTGTATTAAAAAATGGTAAATGGGGCGTCCCTGGTGGCACAAGGGGTTGGGACCGCAACCGTTGGGGCTGTCCGCAGCCACTGCAGCGCGAGTTCGATCCCTGGCTGGGGAGCCACCCATGTGGCGCAGCAGACCTCTCCTGTCTTGCCTGCTGCTCCCCTCAGCAGTGTATTTCAGTTGATCAGCCTGTTCTGTTCCCCACTCTGTCTCTGGTGAATCTTCTCACCCCCACACCTCTGGCTTATACCCCATAAATAAATAAATCTTTTCAAAAAAATGGTAAATGTGGGCCTCCCTGGTGGCGCAGCGGTTGAGCGCTGGGTTGCGAAGCTGCCTGCAACCTTTGCAGCGCCAGTTTGATCCCCGGCCACTGGATGAGGGTTTCACATGGTGCACAGACCTCTCCTGCCGCCCGCTGCTCCCCTCAGCAGTGTACCTCGTCAGTCTGCCTGCTCTTCTCTCCCCTCTGATTCTGGTGATTCTCTCACCTTCCAATGCTTCTGACTGTACCCAGTGCTTGTATAAACAAATAAATAAATCTTTTTTTTAAAAAAAAAGATAAATGTACAGCTTGAAGACCAACATTTGTCTTAAAAAATGTATCCATGAGCCATTTAAAGGTTATAATTAATGTTCAAATAATCATGGAGTAGGTAGAATAAAGGTAATTTAAATGCGAGTAGCATAGCCCCCCAAAAGGGTATTATTATAGGTTGGTTAGTTATATTAATTTCCCCCCAAACAGGAAAGTTCAGTATTAATCCTGTATACATATTTTGCTTTATCTTTAAAGGAGATTTTAAAGGCATTCTAAGAATTTAGTAAAAAATAAATTATTTTGTTTCAATCTCAATATCGTTCTCCACCCTACATCTTTTAGATTCTAACTTGCACTATACAACTAGAATAAGCAAAAATGTAGTCTAAAGGTTAACATAACACTTACCTGTCAAGGCACCTTAGAATAATAGTAGTCTTTCCCTAGAAATTCAGAAAGAAAGAATACTGTGTTAATGTCATCCATATGTAAAATTTTATTATTGTTAATAATTATGGCTCAAAATAGCTTTTTAATGACTTGAATGATAAATTACCTGGAAACCAGACACTAGAAACTTTCAAAATTATTCCTAAGTTTGATAAGTGGAAAAAGTTAACTGTCAACTTTCCATCAGAGTGTAACTACACTGCTATTATTATAATTATAAAGTCCCACAGATGACAAATACTAGCAAATCATACCTCATTTTAGTGGTCAACTTGGCAGCTGTCTGAAATTTTCTCTCTACTCATCAATGCTAATTACTGGTTAAGTGATGATTAATGTCTTCTAAAATGTTTTAATTCCAATTGTTGAAGCGGAAATAAAGAAAAAAGATAACATACAAATAAAGAACATATTGCAAATATGTTCAAAGTAAGCAATCCAGATACGGAGTTACAGTGTTTCCTTCCTTCCTTCCTTCCTTCCTTCCTTCCTTCCTTCCTTCCTTCCTTCCTTCCTTCCTTCCTTCCTTCCTTCCTTCCTTCCTTCCTTCCTTCCTTCCTTCCTTCCTTCCTTCCTTCCTCCTTCCTTCCCTCCTCCCTCCCTCCCTCCCTCCCTCCCTTCTTTTCTTCCTTCCTTCCTTCTTTTTTGGAGGGGGGTGTTGTTTTATTTCTATAAGCATGTTCTTAGTCTAAGTCTTTTCTAAAAATCAGGCAACTAAGGTCCCACCTCTGCCACTAATCATGAAACCTCACATCTTAAACAGTGACTGATTCAGTGGTTTGAATCATTGTTTTTATAGAAAAATTTCTATTTTTTAAAATAATCTCTTATGAGGTACCAGATTAAAAAAGGAGCAGCAGGGAAGTTCTACTGGATGAACCCTTTAGAAAACAGGGAAAGTCATTTGGAAAACCCTAGATGGCCAAAATCACAGAATATTTTATTATATGTGTGTGTGTGCTTTTTTAACCAAAGATTCTATAATTTTTGACCAAAAAAAGATGATCATAAATAAATTAATTCAGATTATATCTGGGATATGACCAAATTGCAGGACTTTTTGGGTAATGAGCTATATAAATAAATAATTAGAATAGTATCAATATATATTATTGAAGAAACATATTGATAGGTGTTATATTAATATGAAAAACTAGAAATAACCTAAATGTCCCCAAGTAGGAGATTGCCTAAATCAACATCCTAAATCAACATCCATATAACATAAACATGCAGCTCTTAGAAATGATGAGGACTAAACTTACTGAGATGGTAAGACATCGTCATAGATCAGCATGACCCTGTTTTCAATTTACAAATATCTTTTCCTGCTTTTTTGAGATACACACTCATACATACATATATATAGATACAGAGAGAAAAACACACAAATAAATGCAGAGACATCACTTTGTTAATAGTGAATGTTTCTAGGTAATAAATTTGCAGGCAATATTTTCATTCACTGAACATGTATTGCATGTACATTTGAAAAGTTTTAAATAAATGAGGACTACAGTAACTAAAAATTAATGATTGTATAACACCCAATAAATATGTTAATGTATATAATATCCCCCAATGAAGGGTGGCTGGTTGTCTGAAGAGGTGCTTCTGGGACACAGTCAGAGACAAAGGGATGCTCAGGCTACCTGGGCACTGATGGTGCCTGATAAAGATGTAGCTTCCTCAATGCAGAGTTTAGCTCCAGAAGTTTCCTATTTGTCAACAGGCCCTGACATGGAAGCACGAAGCATAGAAACAGAAATAATAATTTGAGCCCCAAGCAGAAATGAGTTATGATGCTACATCAATTTCAGGATCATGGCAAACAGATACCCATGATGTATACAGGGTTCACTGAAAGAAACATCAAAGTTGAAACAGGAAGACTGGGGAAAACAAGGAGGATGCCATTAACTGTTTGAAGAGCAATTTTTAAATATTTGAAGGTTTAACAAACAGCAGAGGTATTCCTATACTTTCACCAATCACAATGTGGCCCGAGGTGAGCATTAGAATGAAATAGGTTGAGGTTTTCCAGTAACTAGGATTTTCTAGCAACCAAAATTCAAACAGGTTTCCCTGTGAAATAGAATGCCCCTTTGCTGGCCAATTGTATAGAGCTGGACTATAAAATCACTTTTTGCTGTTAACTTTTTGGGAGGTGCTAAAACCCTGGGAAAATTCAATTTGCCATGCACTGATGCACAATCACACACAATTCTGCATGCATTTCTAGGGAGTTTACTGATCCCAAGTTTACTGATTCCATGGAGCCCAGGGCGAGAATCCCTCTTGTATAAGACTAGAGCATCTCTAAGTTTCCTTCAGTTTCTGTGACTCTAGTTTAAGATAAGTGAAAGTCAGGTGTATTTCATGATTCATGTTTTCATTACCTATATGCTTGTCTCAACTGTATAGATGATCTATAAATATGACCATCAGATTAGCATTTATGGTTCCCTCAGGAAAATTGGGAAAGATGGTTCCTTTGGGCAGTCTCATGAGAAACAAGAGCCCCTTCCCCTGTGGCCCATGTCAAGGCATATCATTTGATAAGAACCTTAGCTGGATGTTAGTCCCCAATCTCCTGTGAGCAGGGATAACTCCAGTGTAATCAGCAGGGTGGAGAGTGGTCATCCGATTAAGGAGTCGAAGTATCTAAATTTTTATCAAAATCTTAAAATAAAATTTACATCTTGTTGCTAAATTATCACAATACTTGGGGAGAAAATTAAAGGGAAATGCATTACCCCATTTTTACTGCCAATGAAGAAAACAGATTTTTCTCCAGTTTCAGCTCCATCACCTTCACTTCCATTACTTCCCCGTTTTTCCACTTCAGCTTTTGCAATTTCCCAGAGAGTTTCACTAAATGAAAGGCAGAAAAACAAAATTCAGAGAAACAAAAAGAACCTATTCAAATATTTATTTCAAGTTTAGACAATTTTTATTTTCATTAAATTTATAAAACAAATCAACATTATTTTCTGGGGAACAATAAGCTGATAAAACATCTGAGACTAAGTCATTTTCTTTATGCTGACCACCAAGGAAAGCTGAAAATGAAAAGCAGAGGCTTTACAACCAAGATTTGAGGCTATCTTATCTTGGGGTTTTCAGGCAAGACAGATTGAAACTGTGTGTGTTAGTCTCTCAGATACACATGAATGTACAATGACTTTTGGAATTGTGCAGCTTGAAAAACACCAATGCCTAGGGAAGTGGGGTAACCAGTGTATCCAATAATTTTGGTCCATGAAGTTTTTTTTTAATTATATATATATTTTACATATTAAATATGCAGGGAAAAATCACTTAGTAAAGTCACATTTGAAAATCATCCTTTTGTTCAACTCTGCACATCTATATAATTTTACACAAATAAGATTATATCATTTAAAAAATTAAAGTCTTAATGAAAAAAATGGAGTATGAACTAAAAAAACAAGGGTAAATCTAATGTATACTAAGCCTGAGTCTGCTACTTTCTACGTGTGCCAACTTGGGCACATTAACCTGTGCGGATGCTTCATTCTCTTGTTAATTCAACAAACATATATTGAGTCCCTAATATATGCAAGCTTCTTATAGTGTCTAGATTCTCCTCTGTTCCGTCATTCCTAAGATGATAAAAAAGAATACTGACCTTATAAGATTATCATGATTGAGAAGATATGATAATTTATTTAGTTTTGGGTTGGCCCATATACAACTAAAATTATTGTGTGCTAGTTATTACTCAAGAGCCAAGGATCAAGGGGCTATAGAAGACCAAAGTATGTATTCCTAAATGTTGCACTAAAATTTGTATATTTATTTCACAGCAGAGCCCCCTGGAACTCAGTCCAGGCCTGTTGGCTGTTTATTCGCACACTATTCTTCAAAAAATGATGGCCTGCTTTCCAAATTCCCAACAGAGAAGAGAAAATCATGTGGAAACCAGTCATGCCACTTGTAGAAATTTATAACTACTAACCCTAAGTTTATAATTGTAACCATTTACAGCCATGGGAGGAAGCTCACAACTTTTTACATGAAGGTTTGTAAACTCAACAGAGCACATCGCCATTCCACAAGGCGAGATTTGGCCTGTTCTGTGATAGAGTCTAGGTTCCCTTTCTTCCTGACGTCCTTATGACTTGTTCAGGTAAGATTTAGGTATGATCTTGAGAACAAGTAATTAGAACTGACATAAAATCGAAGGGCTGAGATGTATAAGGATCATCAAAAGATCCTGCTCTCCCTGCCCCCAACACGTTTCTCTGTGCCTTAGCAAGTTTCTCTTTCTTTATTGCTGTCGTGAACCCCCACACCAGGAGGGGAGGTGATTGAGGAGGTGGCTTTGTGGTCCAGTTTGGCTGCCTGAAGCCCTGCTCCTAGAACATTCCCTGCCTGCAAGAAACTTTTATTGAATAAGTGCAAAGTTAGAGTTGAATGATCTTTCAAAATCTCTCACTTTTCTCCATGGGGAACTTTTCTACACGCTTGCGGCAGAATCCACATGCACAGGGGTAGTTTCTACGCACTCCTGGCCATCCACACAGGGGGTGCAAGCAGGAGACCCACAATTTTTTTCCATCAGCAGGTTCTGCGTGGGGCAATCCCCAAGTTTACCCAGAGGCCTCTCCCTCCCCGGTCCCTTCCCAGCTGGAGTGGAAAGACAGGAGGCTATCTAGGGGAGCGTAAGTGAGGCGCAAGCAGGGTGAGGGGATACCTGGGCATCCTGGCTCGGCTGACCCAACGTCTCGGGCTGGACGTCGGGCCGGGCCTAGAATTACTCAGACCGGGAGAGCCGCTCTGGGCCTGGGACCGCTGGTTCCTTGGTTGCCATGGGAGCGACGCCGCACGCAGGTTGGTGCAGAAGAGGGGCATCATGGGAAATGTAGTTCACATGTGAGACATGAGGCAATGCGTTGATACCGTGATAACAGCTCTGGGCTAGTAGTGTTCTTCTGCTTAAAGAAATGTTTTACCGAGTACAGACTATATGACAGGGATCTCTGCTCTCTCTGTTCAGTTTTTTTCTCTCCCCAATAGCAATGATTGGGAATGGAGGATGAAACTACTTCCTGAGCTGTTTTCTACTGCGTTACTAGAGGCAGACTATTGGTGATTTTATTTTACAGTCTTCTGCTTCTTTAGTTGTTTCAGATTCTATGCGATGAAACATAGCCTATAAAAATATAAAATTTACAATTAACAACTATAATTAACCAAGTGTGCCTTCTGTACACTTCATTTATTTTATGAATGTAGATCATTTTGTTTGAACTCTGTGATTTCTTTACAGATCTCCCAAACTTTTTCTCAAGATCAGTAGCACATTGAGTTATTACTACATGCAAGACTCTGCTACACAGAGTAAAGAATGAAGAGATTAGTAAAACAAAATTTCTGCTCTGGAGTAGGATACATGCAGGTAATTATAATAACCCAAGAAGTCAGTGATATGTTATTACAGATAAATAAAAAAAAATTACTTGAGCACAAGTGATTGATTATGCCTACAGGAGTTAGAAAAACATTTATGTTTTATGTTTGGTAGTGTTTGATTTGTCTTGAATGCTGAGAGGACCCAAGACCCAATCTCTCTAGCTTGTAATGCCCCAAAATATTTGAAGGAGCTACTCCCCCTTCGTCCTTTTGCCATTTGGTTTTGTTTCTATGGTTCAATGTCCAAGAATATTGTTGTTTTTTACACACCATTTAATTCAAGTCCTCACTCAAGTTAAGTTGCTACATCACCAGAATGGAAAAATTACTCAGTTTCTATGATTCTATCAGTCAGGGGGTAATAGTAAGTCTTAAATTAGATAAACATTTTTTTTTAAAAAAACAGTTTACATATGGTTGACATTGTAAGTACTCAATGCATGTTATTATCATGTATAAAACTGTTGATTAGTAACTTTGAATAACAACAACAACAAAAAAAACCCACAATGATCACATTCCTGGAAATGAAGTAGATAGTTGATATTACAAAATCTTTGGAGACAAAATCCTCTAAGTGTACTGGAGACACTGAAGACTGTGATTGCACATTAAGAAGGAATGTAATGAGAGTCAAGTGCAATGGACATAGGATAATTGCAAGAGATGTTGATCATCTACCATTGAATTTGTATTCGTGTCTCAGAGCTAAGTAACCATAAACTCACGAACTGATGGGGGACAGATTGTAATAATTCATAAAGATTTAGATTCTGGAACTTTAGAATACATTTGCATGCTAGTTAGGAAGGCCTATTGATATGGATAACAGGTGCTAACATTTTGCCAGATGCTTGCTATATGCTAGGCACAGTATTAGCATTTTAAGTGTATAATTGTTTGTTAACTGAGGGAGAGGCAACGGAACCAAGGAGCCCAAGCCTGCTAACAAGGGTGGAAAAGGTTATCTGCTCACCAGCTTTGATTCAGGAATGGCTGGGTTCATTTAGCTGATCTGACAGAGTAGATGAATCTCCCTTTTTTCTGTTATATCTCTTGAGGCTTTCTACTTGGACAGAAAAAGTGAAGTTCCTGGGTGATGGATATTGTTCTCAAGGTAAGACTGCACAAATTTTGAGCTCCCCTGCTGATCACCCCTAGGCGACGCAAGGATTTCAATAGTGGTGTCAGAGGAGACAATTTTATGCAGCTTGCTGAGTGAAATAAGCAACAGTGAAGAACGATAATGGTGTATGCAGGGGTGTTTAGACAACTGCAAATAGTTTGGGATGGAAGCATATAAAGATGGGAGAGCAAATGGAGCAGTAGATTGGGCTATAGTGAAGGAACTTTAGTCCTGTTTTTATTGCTCTGGCTATGAGAAACCTAGTAAGATTTTACATTGGGATGTGCTGTGACTGGACCTGCGTTTCAGTGAGATAATTTTTTGCAGCTGTGTGAAGGAGGGTTTGAAGTCTGGAAGTCCATATGGATACTATTAATAATAGGCCAGAAAGTGAGAGTCAGAGTTTTTACATGCTTTCCTTTGTTTTCAAAGTTATATCGCTTATGATAGAAAAAATTACCATACATAAAAAAATAAAGAAGGTAAAATAAGCACATCCCAGAAGCAATAACTAAACATTTTGGTGTAGTTTATTCTCACCTTTTATCTTGCACATTTGAAATTTTACTGTAAAGTTAGTTAACATTTGATTTTATCATGTATTCCCTGTGTCATTTTTTAAAAATATAAATGTAACTTTAATGGTTACATAACATTATGTGGTATATATTTTTCATAATTTACTTAAGCATTGCCCTAAATTTGAGAGTTTGAGGGGTTCAAAGTAAACATCTAACATGAACTGGGCTGATTAGAATCCTTCCCTGCTATTTTTTAAACTCTATTTGGGAAAATAAAGTCATTTCTTTGCTGGAGGATATTGGTATATATAAGCTGTTTCATAATTAAGGAACATGAAGCAAATGGAAAGTTCTAGCACATCTCATGATTCTGGTTGTCCCAAGATTTGTCTGTGTCCTCACCTTTTTTATGACTTGGTTGTTGAGCTCTCTTTTTGATTATGTGAGACATCCCAATACCTTTGCAATAAATGTTCTCCTTTTGCCTCAAATTAGTTCAAGTTGAATTTTAGAATTCACAACAAAAAGATTCATGTCTGACATAATTACTAGATAGCAGAAAGTGATGGTTTGGAAAAGAGAAAAGTCAGTGTCTCTCTAGGATGACTGATGAGTTGGTGAGTCTATTAACCCATTCTTGGGGGGCACTGAGTGGGAGAAACAGGTTTAAAGGACATGGTGAGTTTGAAATATCATCCATTAGAGAACTGAGCCATTTGGAGTCCATTGGACTTCACAATTAGGACATCAATGGTAACCTTATGTAAAATAATTCCAGTAGAACAATGATGTAAGATACCACTGTTCACCACATATCAGGGGAGAAAAATCTTATCTGTATATAATCCAAAATATGATAAGAAAGCTTCTCAGCATTTCTAAGATTACTTCTTTTCTTTTTTTTAATTTTCTTTTTTTTAAAGATTTATTTGTTTATACATACAAGAACTGGGGTACAGGCCAGAGTTGTGGGAGGTGAGAGGATTCACCAGAGACAAAGTGGGGAACAGAACAGGTAGACTGACTGAAATACACTGCTGAGGGGAGCATTGGGCAAGTCAGAGGAGAGGTCTGCTGAGCCATGTGGGTAGCTCCCTGGCTGGGGATAGAACTCGTGCTGCAGTGGCTGTGGTGAGCTTCATAGGCTGCGTCTTAACCCCTTGCACCATCAGGAGGCCCAGATTACTCATTTTCTGTAAGCTTTTCTTTCATAAAGGCAACTCTCAAATGAGGCTTGATAGGCCCCTAGTATTTAAGAAATTAGTAACTTGTCAGCTATTGCCTCTGGTAGATAACCACCTTTCTACTTTCTCTATGATTTGGGCTACTTTAGACATTTTATATGAGTAGAATTATATAGTATGTTTCCTAACTAATGTGACTAATGTTGTAGCAGGTGACAAGGATTCCTGCTCCCCCTCCTCCTTCCTGTTCTCCCACTTCTTCCTCCTCCTTTTACTTAAGAATAAAATTCTTATTTTTTAAAACCACGTATGAGAGGATTTCATTATTTTTAAAGGCTGCATAATATTCCACTATGTACATGTATACCACATCTTCTCATTCCATTCATCTGCCTATTGTGATAACTCTGCAATGAATATAGTTGGATTGCTGGATCATAATGATAATTCCACTTTTAATTAATTCAGGAAACTTCATACTGTGTTCCATCATGGCTGCACCATTTACATTCCCACCAACAGTGCACAGGGGTTCCAACTTCCCTTCATCCTCTCCGAAACTTTTATTTTCTCTCTTTTTTTTTTTAAAGATTTATTTATTTACGCATACAAGAGCTGGGGCACAGGCCAGAGATGCAGGGTGAGAGGATTCACCAGAGACAGGGGTGGGGAAACAGAACAGGCAGATCCACTGAAATACACTGCTGAGGGGAGCAGTGAGCGAGCCAGGAGAGGTCTGCTGCGCCATGTGGGTTGCTCCCTGGTGGGCCGGGGGATCGAACTCGTGCTGCAGAAGTTGCAATAGCTTCAAAGGTTGCATCCTAACTCCTTGCACCACCAGGGAGAGAGGCCCTATTTTCTCTTCTTTTGATAGTGGTCATTTTGATGGATGGGAGGTGATATCTCACTGTGATTTTGTTCGCATTTACCTCATGATTAGTGATACTGAGCATCATTTTTGGGACTTATTAGCCAAATTTGTATCTCTTTTTGAAGAAATATCTATTCAAGTGCTTTGCCCATCATTTAATAGGTTTTTTTTTTTTTTTTTTTGCTGTTGTTGTTTTAAAATTATAAAAGTTCTTTATATAGCATGGATATTGATACCCTTTCTCAGATATATGACTTGCAATTACTGCTCCCATTCTACAGATGGCCTTTTCACTGTTGCTTGTTTCTTTTGAAATGCACAAGTGTTTGTTTATTGCAGTCCCATTAGTCTACTTTTGATTGTTTATTATGTTTTTGAAGTCCTCTGATTTTAATAAAGTCACTAATATAAGGTGTTGCTGCTGTTTTGGCAAATTGTATATATGTGTCAATATGCACACAGATGTATTAAAATTACAGTTTCCCCAAACAGCTTTTTTTTTTTTAAACAGGTAAAACAAAGCAACACTTAAGATGGGGAATGAATGAAAGAGAAGTAATAACTATCATTTTCACTAGTAGGACTGCTCAGCTTTGACAATGAAAACATTAGGTATTTCTTGACAATGATTCAAAAGATAATGCTCAAAAAGATTTAGAAAATCATTTATTATGACTGAAAGGAAAGAAAATGATAGGAGACAAATATTACAATTAAACATGTAACATTATTCTCTTACAACCAATCATAATAATATACTTTGAATTTTTTAAATGGCTATAGAAGTAATTTCCCAGAAAATAGTTTTCACATCATCAGTTATAGAAAATTGATTTCTTTCCATCAAAATATTTTATCTTTGTTCTATCAAAAATAAATGCCAAGTCTAAGGTACGACTGTTTAAGCTAAGCCTCCACTACTTGCTTAAATTAGAAGATTTGGGGGAAGCTTACCAGATGGTAAACTAATTATTGCCTGAGAAAAAAGTCCTCACACATATGTAACAGTTTTGCCAAGTCTCTGGCTCAGCAACTAATGATTATTAAATGGTTTTCTGGGAACTTAGAAACTCTTACTGTATCTGAACCAAAAGGCTTTAAAAAGTCATCCCCAACTGGTAACCGGTATATACTGAAAAGTGAATTTTCTTAGTGAGTGCTTGTGGCTCAAAGATTTAGGGGACATTGTAAATGGAGATTGATGGGGTTTTGACCTTCTTTTTGTCACCATCAATAAAGCAAAATCTTATTTGAGCAATCTGTTTCCAGACTCTGCTCATTTTAAGGAGAAGGGATAGAACATTTTAAAAAGGCTTCGTGTGAGAACAGTACATTTTCATAGGAGAAAGCAGCAAAGAAGAAAACATGAAGGCTTGGCTGACATATTAACTCAGCAGCTAATGTTTTTCCAAATTGGTTAAAAAATACCATATACAAAGTGATAAATATATATCCAAAAAATAAATACAAATATTCCACACATAAATAAGGTATACTCATGATTACTATTGTAATTAAACATTTTTATAATATAATTTTCATGTCTTATCACAGTTTCATTTTTATCACGAATATTAATTATTTTGTGTTGACACATACTGGAATCTACTATTTATCAACCCAGTGAAGCAATACTTTTTTAGACCTTTTTTGACTAAAATTTTACCTCCTTTTACAGAAAAAGTACTTTCTCTTCTCTTTTAAAAACATTACTGGGAATTTATTTTCAAGGTATATTTAAAAAGGACTGTCGAGGCAAAACTTTAAAAAATTTTGTTTTCAAGGATACTATTACCTACCAAGGCAAAGTCAAGATGACCCAGCACCAAATGCAATGAAATGTGGGTAATGTTCCAGTAAACTCAGGCTATGTTGACAGCCAAGGAATGTCAGGAATCACTGTTTCATTTTAAATTGTACACTTCAGTGATCTGAAGAGGGTATACATTTTAGTACTACATAGGAGGGTCTGTTTCCCTAACTCCTGTTTTCTCACTCAGTGATTCACAGGGCCAGAAGATTTATTGCACTTGCTCTAAAAATTCGCCCCTTAACATTACCCTGCAGCTGTTTCATACTGTGTGTACTCTATTCCTTCCCAAACACCTTATCATTGATTAAAAGCACATTTAATTACAGTACTTAATTTTTTGGCAGTGAGCATTTCCAAATAAAATCAGCTGGGTTGCCAAATGAGTTTGGAATCTCTCTTTCTAAAGATTGCCAAGTTTAAAAAAAAGCCACGATGTGTCTGATGGCAAGGAAGAAAAGAAATGGAAAAAATGGTGACTTCTAACCCATTTAATCTGAGAGAAAATCGGCATGTGGGCATATTTTGTGTTTATGTTTTGAATATTTAAGAATCAAAAGGGAGTAACCCCCACTCTTTTTAAAGTCTGGAATACTAGTGTGTGGGTGTCAAGCTGCCAGGATGTAAGTGAACTTATTTGGAGCTGATACAGCTAATGCATAGGACAAGGAGTGAATGCTCAGGCTCCAGAATCTTCAGAGTAAAGTGGGGCCTTTGGTGGGTCTGTTGCCTGACAGAAGGGGTTGGCTTCCCATTGCCCTTGCTTGGGGTCCCCGCGTCTGGGCTGAGAGCAGTGCTGGAGCAGAGAGGTGATGAAATGCTGCCTTTTGCTGATGGAAGTTATTTATGTAACTGGCGATCAAAAGAGTGATTTCAAGAATCTGAAACAAGAAAAACAGAACTGTTACGCTCCTGAGAAGTTCTCATCACTTTCAAAAGAGTGGAAAGGGTTGACCTTCTTCCCTGATCAATGTTTGGTGTTCAGCACCTTCGAGGCGCTGACCTCTTTTCCCTTCACTTAAACCAGCACAGAGTGAATCTTAAAAAAAAAATCAAATCTAGTGGCAATATTAGAAAGAGTAACAGTCACTAGTATAGCTCTATCAGTTATGTTCAAGTCACAGTTGTGAATATATGAATTAAGAAATTTAGTGTATCACAGCAAGTCTTTATTAGACGAAAGTGCTAGTGTGACAGGATCTTTTGAATTTATCTGCCTTGATTTAAATATAGATTAAGAAATAATCTCCCACTTTAAAAAAGGTTTCAGACTCGAAAAAAGTGGTTTCCTTTAGTTGATAATTTTAAGAGTTAGTTTTAAGAAGATCAATTTCTCATATTCTCTACTAAAATTGGAATTGCATTTTTGTGTGTAGCCCTTTAATTTACTTCTTTTGCTTAGAGACATTAAACCTACATAGTTTGTTAACAATACTAAGGAGACAAGTACATTTTAATTACAAAGCCTTAGTATTTATATAAAGACTTCTGAAAAGTGAGTTCATCAAGTAAGAAAATGCAATAAAGTAGCTACTAACAAAATCACTTACTTTGAACTTTCTACATACCTGGCACTGGGCTAAGTATTTTATAATCCCTTCATTTAGTTCCTAAGCCAGAAAAACTAGGCAGCATCATAGCATTTTTAAGATAAAGAAACCAAAGTTTAGAAAGATGATTTAAGGCAGAATTTGTTTGATTAACAGTAAAAGTAAAGTCTGTTTTCCCAAATGGATCTTTATACAATAAATGTTACAAAATGAAAAAGAAAAATAAATAGTGTAAAAAAACGGACAGTCTTTTACTCACCTTTGGTTTTGCCATGGCAAACAGTAATTTCTCTGTTGGTTTGTCTTTTGAATGTGTATTGTTAATGACTATCATAAAATCATCTTGATAACCGCCAAAGGTCATTAGATTCTTGTACACATAGCTGACTATTAACCTCTTCAAAGAGAAGGAAAAGTAAATTTGTTGTATATTCTTTACTTTCAAAGAATGATAATAAATGGTTAATATTATATATGCCAATCATATAGTATTATTATATAATACAGAAATGATAACACTATCCATTAAAGGCTAACAAAAAAGTAATTTTTTGTATTCTATAATCCAAAATAAACAGTAATGTACTAATTTACCTTATAATTAAAATACATTTTGATTCTGAAACAAATAACTCACTGCAGCAAAAGTAGAAATAAGCCAGAAAATGGTCTTATGAAATAAGTACCTATATTCCACCACCCCGTGGAAGACCACCATCAATATTTTGTATATGTCTTTTAAGACATCTCTCTCTCTATATATATATATATAGCTTTTATATACATTTTATATACATTTATATATGTATATAAAATACATATAATAGACATATAATCACAGGAAACTGAATCATAGGTTAAATCACAGGAAACTGATAATTTTTTAGGTAACATTCTTAGTTATTAGCAAATCCATATGGTTCACCCTGATATATAGATTTTGATACATATGTAAATACAAAACCATCATACATAGTTTAGTTCTCTGCTTCTTTTTAGAATTTAACATATTACAAATGCCTCCCATAACAATATATTTGTATAACATTATTTTAAATTATTAAATTGTAATCAGAGTTGTATTTGTAAAATGACTTTCATTACATAGTATCAGGAAGAATGTTTTCTGTGTATGAAAGTAAGATATATTACCTTCTGTTTATGGGTGACTGAGCAATAGAAATAGTTGATTCAATGCAAAAATTTAGGATTTAGTCTTACCATGGAGTTGTATTCTAAGATGCTTAAACCATCCTCATGTATAGCCAGCCACATGAAAGTACTTCCAAATGATGTTGGAGTGACAGGCTAGGAAGAGGTGAAAAACATACTATATAACAAACATTAAGTAAAATTATTGAAATATTTTTCAGCCTAAATGCCATGAAACATTTGCAGCAGCAGCTTATTGAAAATCTGTCCTGGAGAGGAGACAGTGTGTAAAGGGAAAGAGAAGTAAATCTGGTATTAGGAGACCCACGTATAAAGACCCAACCTTGCCATTTATTAATGTAGTACATTTGGACAAGTTACTTGATCTCTCCTGGGCTCAATTTCCTCATCTTTAACATAGAATCAATAAAGTATATATCTTATTATTCTTCTATTTCAAGAGGCTACTAAACAAAGCCAATCAGGTTTCTATGATGACCAAAATCCTAATGAAACAAAGCATACTGATGTGCTTTTTAGGGTGTACAGAGCTTTTACAATGTAAGGGATAATTATAATTGTACGTTTTTGATGAAAACATGAAATCTGGCATTCAAAGCATAATAAAAATAGAATAAAAAGAAAATATGAAACTCTGTGATTCACAATAATGAGAAACACTAAAATATTCACTAAATTCTTTATTGCAAAAAGCAATGGAATTATATAAATAAAAACAATCCCTCACCACTAAAACCCAACTACAATCCGTCAGTGTTTCGCATTCCACAATGATTGCTTTGTTCAGTTACCAAAACTGCTCTTTTAAGAAAAAACTAACTACTTCTCTTAAATCTTATCAAAGAATGTCAAGACTATAGATAAGAAGTTGGGATGAATCTTATATTATTTGTATATAGTACGACTTATCAGAATCTCATGTATAAAAAAATCCTAGGTTACCAAGCTGTCCCATTTTCTCTTACTTTTGCAAGAAACAACTTGGCACCAAAGAAAGGCCACTTCCTGGCTACTGTCAAGTAAATGCGCACACAGTCAGCAGCGCTGTGTCCCCGAAGGGCCATCCATCTGGTTGACAGGCGCTGGCAAAGCTGCCTAGAAAGAGAAAAGAGTGAAACAAGAAAACAAAACACAAAAGCAAGAACATACACAGTTTATCATCTTCCCAAAATGAAGCTCTCCTTGAGCCAACTCTGGCACAACTGGGGAACAGGCATCGCCAACATGCAGCCTCTTGTCCTTGTTGTATCATTCCTTTCAACAACTAACACGATTGGTGCTCTCAGCATGACCTAGGTTCCCCCCCATACCTTCAGATAATTTTTTTTTAAAGATTTTATTTATTTATACAAGCACTGGGGTACAGGCCAGAGGCGCGGGAGGGCGAAAGAATTCATCCGAGATAGAACAGGGAGCAGAACAGGCAGATGGACCGAAATACACTGCTGAGGGGAGCAGCGGGCGCGACAGGAGAGGTCTGCTGTGCTATGTGGGAATCTCCCTGGGCGGCTGGGAATCGAACCGGTGCTGCAGAGGCTGCGGACAGCTCCATAACTCGGCGCTCAACCAGCTGCACCGCCAGGGAGGCCCCCTAGATAAATTTTTAAAATCTGATAAGCTAACATAAAATCTTATAGATGAGTTTAAAAGGTTACCTCAATGGGAATAACTTTCATTTTTAAGGAAAAGTATGAGACCAAAGAATGAATGTCTAATAGTGGAATTTTAGGTACTACCCCTCCTCTCTTGGAGAAATGTTGAATGTGGGGGAAACTTAAAAAAATCACAAAGGCAACTATTGATTCTACATAACCAAAAACTGATCTGCAATGTTTCTATGTGGGAAAAACTGGTGATCTCATTAGATTTGCCTCCATTTTTATATTTATAACTTTTCTTTACATATTCTTTAAAATCAAAATCAATAAAAACTAACCAAATTAGCTGAGTTTAATTAAAAATGTTATACTTTACAATCTTGGGTAAGAAGATAGTTTGCTTTATTTCAATTTATTTATAATGGAATACTTAAAAAAGATAAAAATTTTTGGTGAACACTTCATAATATTTAATATATTATTACATAAATATTTGAAATTTTATTAGTGGAATTAATTTGCACAAGAATGGGTAAGATGGAAAATAGATATTCTCAATTAAGATAAAAAATTTTAATATAGGGCCTTCCCCGGTGGCGCAGTGGTTGAGCGCTGGGTTGCGAAGCTGCCCGCGGCCTCTGCAGTGCCGGTTTGATCCCCGGCCGCCTGGGGGAGGGTCCCACATGGCGCCAGACCTCTCCTGCCGCCTGCTGCTCCCCTAGCAGTGTATCTCGTCCGTCTGCCTGTTCTGCTCTCCTCTCTAGCTCTGGTGAATCTTCTCACCCTCCTGCACTTCTGACTGCACCCAGTGCTTGTATAAATAAATAAATAAATCTTTAAAAAAAATTTTACTATAGATTCTAAGGTCTCTAGGCACATTTAAAATAAAAAGACATATAACCTGGGATTCAACAGCATTAAAAAATCTTGAAAAATTGTCATGTGTAATTTTTTCATCTTTATGAGTTGAACAGAAAAATGTCAAGGAAAAACTAGTGTGACTCTATACCCTTTAAAGAATTACAAGGGCCTCCCCGGTGGCGCAGCGGTTGAGCGCTGGGTTGCGAAGCTGCCCGCCAGCCTCTGCAGCGCCAGTTCGATCCCCGGCTGCTCCCGGCCACCGTGTGAGGGTCCCACATGGTGCGCAGACCTCTCCTGCCGCCCGCTCCCCTCAGCAGTGTACCTCGGTCCTTCTGCCTGCTCTGCTCCACGCTCTGGCTCTGGTGAATTCTCTCACCCTCCTGCACTTCTGACTGTACCCAGTGCTTGTATAAATAAATAAAAATAAATCTTTAAAAAAAAAAAAAGAATTACAAATGGTTCCTTACCTTAACTGTTCTTCAGAAGAGTCATCTCTGTATCTTTTAGGGTAAAATTTCTCTATGACTTGTTTTAGAGTTTGATTTGCTTTGCACTGATTAGTAACATGCCCTGCTGGAGTTGAAAAAGGTCTTTCAAAATCTCCAATCTCCACCTAATGGGGAATCCAAAACAGAGAAAACACAGGTTACTGAAAAGAATTTTTAAAAAGAAATATCAGTTTTATTGTTTCTTATATATTATAACATATAATGTATAAATCTATTTGTCATGATTGTGTGATTAGGGACTTGATACTCATATGTAAGTGCTATTGTTAAAATCTAAATTCCAGTGAAATTCTAATTTTGAAAAAAATATGTAATTTAAACATGTCAGTTCATTTCTACATTAACTACTCTAGACTAATACCACCATCTAGTAGTATTTGCTAAAGACCACTTCAATAGCACAGGATAATTTTTCATTTTTAAGGCACCATTTTAATTGATAATAACATGAAGTATAAATTAAAAATAAAAGAAACAAAGTCATGAAGCTATGAGAAATCTCAAAAAAAAAAGGTATTACTTAAATTTTCTAAGGGTCTCTACTAAGTATAATGGAACAAGACCAGTATTTATTTTCTTCTTAGGTTTTCATCATAAACGTTTGGGCATTTTATCCCCTCATTGAATGATTCTGGTATTTCTGGGAACAGAACCCCCATCCTCCAGTTCCCCTTTCTCCCCAATGAAGTATGTTCAACCCTTATTTGGTATTCCTTATTAAGGGTTACATCTTCTACCTACCCATTCACCTAACTACCCACCCTTTTCCTCTCTATTCACTCACCCACCCATTCATTCATCTAAACTAGTACTAAATCCTGCATGGCAGGCAGTGCTAAGTGATGTCAGAAAGAAAAAAGCATTGAGCATAGTTCCTGACCTCAAAGGGTTTACTATCTAGTAGGGGAGAGGGAAATATAAACAAATACTTGGTATAAACCATGCTGTGTGCCTTGTACAGGGCACCAAAGAGGGTTCAAGAAAAGGTATAAACTGCAGAGAAAAGATATGGCTATCATGGGCATAGATGGTCAATAAAATGGAAGAGAATGAATAGGATGCCCTGGTGGTGACAGAGAGAGAAGCCTGAAAACCCTGGAAATCTAAGCCTTTGTCCAGATTGCATGTCATACGGTTACCTGAATATTTTTCCCTTAGTTAACCTGCACAAAGACTCACCGCATAGAGACCCTGTGTTACACCTTGGGACAATTTTCTCCTTTCTAAGTAAAAAAATCCTTGAATTTAGCTGAGATTATGCTGCCCAGCTAAGCTATATTCGCCAATCCCCCTGTGGGCTGGCAAAGCCACATGAGTCAGCTTTTATTTTTTTAAAAGATTTATTTATTTATGCATACGAGAACTGAGTACAGGCTAGAGGTGTGGGGGTGAGAGGATTCACCAGAGACAGAGTGGGACACAGAACAGGCAGACTGACTGAAATACACTGCTGAGGGGAGCAGTGGGCGAGTCAGGAGAGGTCTACTGTGCCATGTGGGTTGCTCCCTGGCTGGGAATTGAACTCGTGCTGCAGTGGCTGTGGATTGCTTCATAGGTTGCGTCTTAACCCCTTGCACCACCGGGGAGGCCCCATGAGTCAGCTTTGACAGAGATTTGCATGGGGCTGGAGCTCTGGCAGATCTTGGGGACCATGAGGATGACATGCTAGGGACAGCAGGATGAAGCCCACGGTCCTTAAGATTTTTGTACAGGTACCAGCATGTCTCTCTCTCTGTGAGAGCCAAGTACACGTCTATTTTAAGTCCTTATTAATTGGCTGTGTGTGTGTGTGTACAGAAGTCTGAACTCAATCCTAATTGATAAAATAGGCAAGTTAAAGAAAGCTAGCTAGCTTTTAAAAACTGATTCCTACTAGACTACTGAATGATTTCAGCAGGGCATTCTTAACCCCACACTCAAGTTTCATCATTAAATGCAGAGCCTAGTGGTATACTTTCATGATAATTAAGAAATTAGGTTCCTTTTATGGCACACTTCATTCTACATCATTGCAACTGTCAGCATTTGGAGTCAAACTGTAATTATAATGCCTGCAATTTTTAAGGTGTTAATCACAGCAAAATGAATTGAAGGAATTACCAAAGGTATATTGTTTCACTACATTCAATTCAGCTTAGAAATTACTATCTTATTTTTATAAAATATTATTTTACAAATTTTTCAAAATATTACTTTACAAAGCATAGAAAATACCTGAGCTAAAAGTGCTGCCATTTCTAATGCCAGGTCCTTGTTCAGAGGAAAAAGTCCATTAATGATTTGATCATTTGTCTGATACATTAACAGCAACTTTTCTCTATCAGTCTCTCCACGAGCTTGCACTGAGAAATATAGTCTGTAAAAAAAGAGGAAATTTTTCAAGAAATGACATTCTTACAAAGGAAGATGGTAAAGGTTGCTAATATGGGTTGTTCTAGCACAATTCTCTAAGTGATACAAAATTAGATCATTATGTTAGTGACCTCTGTTTTCTGATCTATATAGTATTTTTACCAAACTGAGGAAAAACTGTGATGTCAAGGCTGGAAATTCTTCTATGCTATTTTTTATGCCCTGAAATACCAAATTCTTAAGTGTTACTGAGGAAGCACCTAAGACACTGAAGGAAATGAAAAATGCCCTCCCCTCACAGCGACACCGATGTAACTCTTCATTTCAATGGGCTGTACAAACCTAATTTTCGAAACATTCATGTTTTGCAAGAGGTGTAACTCTACACCCTTAAATCACACAGTGCTATAAGCCAACATTACAACATTTAAAAAAATTAAAAATAAATAAAAATAAATGTCTTGGATCTTCTGTGCCACATTTTGATAAGCAGCTTTATAAGCTCCAAACTAATATATGTGCTATTATTATTAACTTTTGAAATATGACAAGGTTTTCGTTTGTCTACGAGGTCTCCTTCAAATCAGCAACCCTCTTTATTCAACTTGCTGTTTCTCTTTAAGTGAGAATTCTGAAGCTCTACCTTCAGGCTGCAGCTCAGGATAGGGTGCTGTGAATGCTGTAAATGCTGTGGCAGTGGGTGAGGAAGACACCCCTTGACATACCTAAATACCTTCATGGCAACACAATGGCAGGTAAAGAATTTAGATCTAGCTTTTTTGTTAGATGCAGTTGTTGGATCCAATTGGGTAGAATAACTGGATTTTCAGCCTTTTTTACCTATACACTTGAAGGGGAGGGCACAGTGCCATCAATTACAGTATCTCTCCACTAATTATCTTAAACAGCAGATATATGAGGGCAGCAGGTCAGGATCTTGGGGGAGTTGGTAGGTGTGCTCTGTAAAGCTTCTCCTCCCCACGACCCCACTAAGCTTCTCCTCTGCCCACCTCAGCTTAAGATTCATTCGTCTGGTCAGTCACTCAGAGTGGTTTCCTGAAAAATAAATCCTAAGCCCCATTTCTTCTGTGACTGCCTGATGACCAATTGTTAACTGGTAGAAGAATATGGCTGGGCAATAGAAACAGACTACATTCAAAATGAAATGAGCAAAGTGATATAAAACAAAGAGAATAAAGTTGAAGATGGAAGCCCTCCCTTTTGGCATGCTAACATTTTGTGTACATAGCTTATTTTCTCCACTTGAAGTTAAGATTTACATCTCATTTATCAACACTATAATCCACTAAGGGCTAGTGAAGTGTTACCACTAAAAGATTCTTAATAAAAGTTGAATTGGGGATACAGCAAGAAAAGCTAGAGTGCATTTTTTTGTCATTTCTAGGAAGGGAAAATGAATCACTATGAGCACAAAAGACAGACACATAGACAGGAATATATTATGCAGGAATCTTTGGCTCAGCCCCTAATGAAACAGTTTGGGTTCCAAAAACTACAAAGAAAGTTGAAGCGAATGTGGAGAGGAAGTAAGGAGTCATAAAAATGACCAAGAAGTCAGAAAGTCAAACCTATGGATCCTGAATAGGAAAGGCCAGGGAAACATGATCTGAACCTCCCACGCGGTAACCAGCTTCCAACTGCCTCTCATCCTAAGGAGTAGTGAAGCCAAGAAAATAGCTTCTGTCACAACAGGCAGCGACTGGGCTAGAAAGACCACCAAGGTCTGCTGAAACACTGCTAAAAACTGCAACTGTGATTCTCTACTGAAAAGGTAGGGAAATTCTTCACCTTTGAGTCTCTACTCCAAGGATTGACACTGGCAGAAACCGAGGAGATGTTTACTGAATAAATGATAAATGGATGATAGTGAGAATTGTTAAATACAGGAATTTGCCCCGAAAACTCTGAAGAATCCCCTTCCATTGTCTTGGAAAGTGACTTATCCCTCTAAAGCTTCAATCTCCTCATCTATGAGATGGATACAATAATAACACTACCTCCTAGTGGTGCTTTAGGATTATATGAGCTCAGCACAGGACTGGCTGGTGTGTAGTAATGCTGTGAGTGTGAGTAATGCTTAGCAGATATTGGTTAGTTATTGTTACCGCTATTACTATTATTAGAATTCTCTAGAGGATCACAAGAGTCTCTTCATTCTGCATTTTGTTTTAGTGCGAACATAGCTAGAAGCTATGGAATAAATAAGATGACCTTTCAGTATGCTTTTGGGCCGAGAAGCCAAAGAATATAGATGCTCAAGGAGACAGAGATGGCAATGTTAAAATATGCTCCAGAAAATAATGACAATTGCACAGAATCTTTTCTTTCAAAAAGGGTAGGAAGAAGAGCTGTTCTCTTCAAGGATCCTTGCCAGCTTTCTTTTGTTAAAACATGCCTTAACTTTTGCAGTTTCAAATATACAGGAAGAAATTAAATAAGCAGCTTAAATATGAGTGGAACTTAAATGTTACTTTCCAAAGGTTGCCCATGAGAACAAGTTCAAAACTTAATAATTACATCTTTAACTCCTAACTAAAATTCCGTTAGTTACTAGATATAAATAAAAGTTCCATGATAAAGAGAGCTGGTATTTTAGTTTTGCTTATGACAGTCTGCTTGACAGATGAAAAATCAAATTCCTGGTTGTGTGATTTTGTTTCGAAATTAGGGCTCATTGTCTAAACTTTTTGTGCATAGATGCAAAGCACGACCATATTTGGAAACATAGTACTTTCTCATAGCTATGGCTATCCAGCCATTTTAGACTTGTGTTAAAAATTAAACTTTTTGGTTACTTTTTCCCTCTTATGTCAAAGATTTTATCAAGGAGGATTTTTTTTTTTAAAAACAAGGCAATCTTTATTATGAGTTATGCACACTCCTCTCCTTTCACGGGCATTTACTAGACTTGTAGCATTATTCTTATCTGTGCTTTCACATCACCTTTCTTGATTTCATCCAACTTTAATTTGGTTTTAACCAGAGCCCTGGTAGTCAGAATGAATATATATCAATCATTCATTAGGCGCACATTATTAGGAATATTCTTAGACATGTAATTCTATATAATTCCAACAAAGCCAATGTAAATGTCTCAAATTCTTCAACATAAAGATGTACGACAGGTCAGGTCAAGGACTCAGCTCCTCCTCACAGGTAAGACTGAGGTAAAAGCAGAAACGAGAATCTCTAGGTCAGTGGTCCTCAAATGTAGCCTGCTCAAGAATCACCTGAGAACTGTTAAGAGACAGTCTTCTGTGCCTCACCCCCAGAGATTCTGACTCTGTGCGTCTGAAGTGGGGCCTAATGATTTGCATTTCTAAGAGGTTTCCTAGTGGTATGGAGGCTGTGCTGGTCCAGGGCTCAGACTTTGAGAACTACTACTCCAGCCATCAAAGAACTAAACAAACTATCCAGAAGGTCCAAGTCTTCCTCACTAGTTTGTCAATTCCAAAAATCAAGGGCTGTGTTTGTGTCTGTGTTTATTACCACTTTATTCAGAGCATCTAGCTAAGTGCCCAGTTTATAGTTGAAGCAAGGAAGAAAGAGTGAGCATGAATACATCACTCCTAAAAGAAAAGAACTGGGTAAACATAAATCTTCTTACTATGGCTCTGTCGTTCATTTACAGTCTTTATGAAAAAATGTAATAATGGTGGGAAAGAGAGTTTTGAAAGTGAAGAATTCATCCTTGTATTGCCCGGAAAGCAGCCCTAAAGGAGTGGCATCTAAGTAGCTATGTCTTCCTATTGTTTATTCCTAATTTCTGTCCATAGTTGGACAATGTATATATACAAACTGTATATAAAGTATAGTTATTTATGACATTAAGAGATTATAACTGGAATGAAACTTTTATGTGACAACTTCTTCCTACACAAGTAGAACTACTGTTAATAGAAAAACGAGCATAAATATAATTTTCAAAGTATCCTACGGAAATCTGGGAGCAAGATGTGAGCACGACTGTCTGACCATCCTCTGATGGGCTCGGTAGGTCTGAGGTTTGCATTTCTAACATGTTTCCTAGTGGTATGGAGGCTGCTGGTCCAGGGCTCAGACTGTGAGAATTACTGCATTACACACCTGTTTTTATAAGTTAGACGAACAGTTCTCGTACCTTCCCATTTCCCAGGCTGCTGTTCTTTGGAAGCCTGTTCCCACTTAGAAATAATATCACAAATCTAGAAGGAAAATGGAAAGCAGATTTATAATATTTTACAAGTCAGCATTTTTTTGAAGACAAGCATGTGTGTGGATTGAAAAATTTCAATTAATGTGATCAAACCAAATGGACTGCTGTTTTTTATTTTAAGCCCCTGCACAACTCTGTGTTAAGGATTTTAATTATAAATTGCTCTTTGGTCTACTTATCCTTTGGACACACATTAACTTTGGACTGTGGCCATGAATTTTTTTGATTTAAAAAGAAATCTTAATGAATTGCATGAAACGGGAAACAAGAAGATTCCAGGAATTTTTTCTTGAGTTAGTCACTGAAGAAGCAACCTTTTTTCCTACCTGCAGAGTTTATAAAGATTATAATAACTGAATATATACCAAAGAAATATGAAATAGAATCTTAGGATTCTTTGATTGGGAAAGAACAAAAATCCTTTAGGAACCAAATAAATGTTTGTTTTTTTTTTTAAATTGGTCATTTATAGAATAATAAATAAAAGTTTTCAAAGGTATGTGATAAGCAGTTATTCACCAAAGCCCCTAATATTTACTCAGTTCAAGTCAACCAAAAACACTAGCTTATCTTTTGACTAATCATTAACAACAGTGCTCTAGGAATGTCTGTCTCAAAAATTCACATTTGGAATTGTTGAACTGAACAAGATATTCCTGGAGCAGCAGAGAAAAAGATAGTCATTTGTCTAGATTTCTCTGTCTGCAGCTGAAGAATAGGTGGGTGCTGGTGGAGGGGGAGGAAGTAGCATTACTTCCACCACCCCTAATGAAGTTAAGTATGAACTTGACTGCTATTCTGTGGAGCCCATGGAGCACCCACAAGTTGTTCTGCAGGTGGAGCTTGACTTTGGAAGTCAGAGGAAAGTATTATGTGTTTCATGTGGGAGCTCTAACTTATGAATCTCGTCCTTCCCCTCCTCTTTCCCAATTCTTAAATCTCCAAATCACAGAAATACTTGCATCCTGTCATAAGGTATTGATTTCCAAGAGCAATCAAAGATCCCATCAAGTGAGAAAAGGATCCAGGCTCAGTTCTAGCTACTTGGGGTAAATCAATTTCCACTTTGGCCCTCTGTTTTCTCACTTGCAAAATAAATAGGTTATTTCTCTAGTGTCCCTTATGGTTCTATATTCTGTATTTCTAATTGTTGCCATCACTGGATGAAAACTTTATTATTTTACTATGCCCTAGGAAAGATTTTTTTAATCTTCAAATATTTATGTTTCTTTCCAACATAAATGTACTTACTCATGATTTTCCTTAGGTCTGAAATCCCATCTTTATTTTCACAGTTCCATTTCCTATCCATCCTTTAAAGTCCAGTTTAGATCTTCCTTAATTTCCAGCGCTAAACTTAATTTCTCCCTGTGGCATGTTCACAGCACTCTTAAAAAAATTCATCACTTTCAGCTCTAGTTTAAGGTTCTCAATGCAAAGCTGTTCTTCCTTGAGCAAAGTTTAAGTTCATGGTGAGCAGAAACTATTTCTGATCCTTGCCTGTATTCCCCATGGGATTCAGCCCAGCTCTGGGACACAGTAAATAGTTCAATAAATAGAGCTGAGTGTATGAATAAAATGGACAGTCATTTTATTAGAACTTCCATACCTCCATCCTGATTACACTAATATTTAGGGTATCATTGCTATATTAATTCTTGTCCTTTTAAAATATGTAGTATTTAGGCATACAGATTGAGAGTAAGAATTCTATTATTACAGCAAAGTCATGCACTATCTCTTGTGTGTGTGCAGGTTAGATTGCTTGTGTTGGCTGAACAGGCCTAAACTTTTTTCAAACAGCAAAGAGTTGCTTCTTTGCTGTTTGTTGAATCTGTCTCCTTAAAAAGATGTGGTTTTACCTTGATGTTGCCTTGAAGACAGTGCTCTAAATCTCTGCCAGAAGGATCATCTGTAAACAATGCAAACCCAGAATGTGCTGGCTTCCTCATTCCTGTATCCTGGTTCAAAGTATTTAAAAATTCTTCTACTGTGGTGGATGCATCAAATCCAACTACCTAAACAGAAATAGCAAAGTTGTTCTCTTAATAAAAAAGTATGCACACATGAAATTTACATTTCAGGCGGAAAGAGGGCCTACTTGATACATCTTAATGATAACATATATTTATGTCTGTGCTTTCACTTTTGTTTCCCCAAAACGCCACTGAAGGAGTCATTAGTCATTAGCTTGCTGGAAGAATTCAGAAATCTTGAATTCAACAGATATGAATTCAAAATAGAAAGATCATTTGAGAGTATAAACATCTTGCAGTGATATTATTCCTGATGATTAAAAGCAAACCAAGAACTGTAATACAATAAGTAATCTTTAAGCAAATGGGGAGAAGAAAAAAATACATTTAAATGAATACATTAATGTTTGTTTCTTTAATATGCAGTTAAGTATCTGAATTCTGTGATAAAAGGCTTATGGCTGCAAAGACTTAATTACTAGATACGGCACATTTGCTTTTGTTGAGAGACAAATGTCTAGATCTGAGAAGTTTTTCCCAGATAATTTCTGAGATTTGGAGACTTTAAGGATAATAAACTTGTACACATCCATTGTCAGTATTTCCTCACCTAGCAGATACACTAGTGGGGGAAACCCTCAACCAAAGCTTCAACCAAATTTTTGTTTTTCTCTATCAGAATTATAATGGTAGTGAAACTCCATCCTTATTTGGTTCAACATGGACTTGTTTTTCATGTGAATCCTGTTCAACAAAACTGTTTCAAAACTCAGTTATCCTGATAGAAAATCTAATATATTTGCATGTTTCCACTATCAGCTGCTGACAAAGGTAGGCAGACAATCCAGTTCCCTCTTCCACAGAGGTTACAGACACATAGAATTCTAGGCCAAGTGCATTTTCATCAGGATATAAAGTCTAACCCACCTGGTATATCCCATTCATGAAGTGCACAGGGATACTGAAGGGCAAAGAGTGATGATAAGGGTTTCGGAGAAGAGTTGAAAGAATTTCCATTCTTGAAGGTCTTGCTTCTCGATCTCCATTTTGCTGTGTTCTTTCTACACATCGCTGGCAGTAAATGGCATATTTTCCAAATTCTGTCCTATAATACAAAATTTAAGATAAAGCCTAACAATTCTGTAATTAAGTCAACTTAACATATACGTGCAAACATTAAGAAAGCTTTGGTTGGTGTATATTATTACAATGGATTATGCTAATGTTGACCATTATTTTTCTTTTTCAAAGAGAATAGTAAACCCTTGTACTTCTGTATACTTTTGCCAGTGACTGCATCAAACTTCCCCACAAAGCATCGTTCATCTTTATTGTATTATTAGAATCACAAAATGAATTTAAAATTACCATTCTAATGCCAATGTATAGTGATTATATCAACAAATAAAAAGAAAATAATTGTATCAAGGATAGTTTGGGATAACTTAAGAAACACATGATGTGGCAGCATTATCTCTTGAAGAACATGGAGGTTAATGTTTGATGCTAAACAAGGTAAGAAAATATCTTCAAACAAAAATAATTTTTTTCTTTCCTGAATAAAACATGCATTTCTTTAAAAAATAAACATTAAACAAAACCACTGGAATAAATAAATGTAAATAAATCTTTGTAGATACAATTTTTATTCCATTTATGAAAGCAGACTGATAACACCTCTATATATTTATATTCTGGTGCCTTCTGGGCAGACACTAAAATGTCACCCTTCTCTGGGGCCCCCTCAGTGACTGAACTGAAATCACATTACCTTGATCACAGAGTTCCCCAGATATCTGATGAACTAAAGGGCAGTTTCCTACTGCTTCCAGATTGCTTTTTATTTCTTCGTGTTTGTTTGTTTTAGTCCCAGAATCTATTTAAGCAACCTAACATGAACATCTTAGACAAAATGATCCTGATAATTCTTGGCTGGCTGCTGAGTCCCATTGTCAGAAAGCCATTCTGACAGTTGAATTTTAAATGTCTTTCAAAGGAGTAAGAAGTCTGAAGTAATTCAGATACACATAATTATAAAAGAAGGGAAGACCACATAAAAGGATTCAATGTGGAGAAAAATAGTAATAGAGAAAACTAAGGAAACAAAATAGTTGCCTCTATTGAATGAACGCCCACTAATGCTAAGTCATTCATACTTGAAATGTACATAGACTTTTCACTTAAAAATATTCATTGTCAGTTTTTCACACTTTCAATGCAATCTTCTATAAGAAATTTAACATAACAAAGGAAATATTTTCCAAGCTCCATATTAATGATAACCAAAACTTTCCTGCACACTATTCATCTCACACATTCTTCACAAATGTAACTGGCAGATTACTAAATACTTATGATTTATTGTAGACTTTCAGATGTCATATAAACAGTTCAGCTAGTTTTCTGCACACCTGGAATCCGCATTCCTCTTTAGGTGGAGTCTGAGCAGCCACAGGAAAGGATGATGGGGAAGGAAGAGTCCCACACAGAGTGCCAAGAGCTGCCAGCCCTGGGGAGAGAGAAGCACCATAGTCACACACCACACAGCAGCTGGAGATCCAGGTCAGATGAGTGATTAACAGATACTGAGAGTAAAGGGCGATGATCATCTTTCTTGACTCCCACAATTTTTTGCTTCTTCCACATATACATTTTCTGCTTACAGAATTCATGATACATAAAACACCAAGTTTCATGCAAGGTCAGGGCCATAATCCACCCAGTTGTGTAGACTATTATCTAGCACTGAATACCAAAGACCATGGTAGACATGGTGGTTGTTTTTCATATCACACTCAAAGATTAGGGGCATTGTTCTGTTTTTATTCACTGATTTGTTTACTCATCCAATGAAATATAAACAATGGTTTTGAGGAAGGGCAGATCAAAGAACAGTAAAAGAATCATATACTCCAAAACAAAAGCAATTTATCCACACATACATTCATATATACATACATAAATAGAGGCAAGAATAAAATGTTAACAGAGATCATCTTTAGGTGATTAATGCATATGAGATTTCTATTTTCCCTTTGCTTTTTTTCTGTATTCTTTTCTATTTTAATTTTTTATTAAACAAATGTAACTTCAATTAAATGTTACATTTAAAAAGAGGAGGTGGGGAAGGCACTGACCCTACTCAAGGAACCTACAGTCTATACCACTTTTCCCACTTTTTGTATTTTCCAAATGTCTATTTGAATGTGTCATTCTTACAATCAAGAAAATATCATCACTTTAATTGCATGTATATGTATTAATATATACCTGTAATGGTCCTGGTTGATTCTGTGGCTGTCTCCGTCTTGTCTGTTTAATGAGCTGACAGCAAATTTCATTCTGCAGCTCAGGATGTGTCAGACAGACTTGCAAAGCACTCTGGGCTAGAGATATGTGGTAATCAATCGCAGGGGAGTCAACTGCTGCATTTATAAAAAGCTGGCAGGTCTGAATTAAACACAAAAAAATTTATATACTCAAGGCAATTCATGATTAGATTTACTCTGCATGAATTATATTCTCTTGTTAGCAGTAGTTTTTGTCTAAAAGGATGGAAAAAGTGTATTATGATAACACTAACCTAAAGAAATCTGGACTGGCTACATTAACATCAAACAAAGTAGATTTCAGAGCAAGGAATTCTGTCAGAGATTAAAAAGGGTCATTTAAAAATGTCATCGGAGGACATAACAATCCTAAATGTTTATGTGCTTAAAAACAGCTTCAGCTCTTCAACAAGGGCCTCATGTCTCCAATAGCAAGGGAAACAAACAAAAGTGAACAAATGGGACTAAATCAAACTAAAAGGTATCTACACAGTAAAAGAAAACATTTTTAAACCTACCGCATGAGAGAATATATTTGTAAATCATGTATCAGACAAGAGATTAATACACAAATCTATAAAGAGCTCATAAAACTCAACAAGAAACCTGATTAATAAAAGGGCAAATGATTTGAATAGACAGTTCTCTGAAGAAGACATACAGATGGCCAGCAGGCACATGGGAAAAGATGTTCTTTATCTCTTACTATTAGGGAAATGCAATTCAAAACCAAAGCAAGATAGCACTTCACACCTATAAGAATGGTGACTGTGAAAAAGACAAGAAACAATGACAGTTGACCAGGACTTAGAGAAAAGGGAACCTTTGCACACTGCTGGTGGGAATGCAAATTGATGCAGCCACTATGGAAAGCAGTTTGGAGATTTCTCACATTATTAAGAAAAGAAATACCATATGATCATGCTCTCTCACTTCTGGGTATTTATCCAAAGACTATGAAACACTAATTTGAAGAGATATATGCACCCTCATATTTTTTTTTTTTAAACACATTTTTTTTTTTTTATTTATAGAGGCATGTTTTTATTTATTTATTTGTTTGTTTGTTTGTTTTGTTTATACATGCACTGGGTACAGTCAGAAGCGCGGGAGGGTGAGAGAATTCACCAGAGCCAGAGCGGGGAGCAGAGCAGGCAGAAGGACCGAAGTATACTGCTGAGGGGAGCAGCGGGCGGCAGGAGAGGTCTGCGCGCCATGTGGGACCCTCCTCCGGTGGCTGGGGAGCAGCTGGGGATCGAACCGCTGCGCCGCAGAGGTCGCCGGCAGCTTCGCAACCCAGCGCTCAACCGCTGCGCCACCGGGGAGGCCCTATGCACCCTCATATTCATTGCAGCATTACTCACAATGGCCAAGAGCTGGAAACAACTTAAGTGCCCATTGACAGATGAGTGGATAGAGAAGATGGAGTATATACACACAATGGAATACTACTCAGCTATTTTTTTTTTAAAAAGGGTGAAATTCTGCCATTTTCCACAACATGGACAGACCTAGAGGGTATTATGCTTAGTGAAATAAGTCAGATGGAGAAAGACAAATGCTGTATGATTTAACTCATATGTGGTAGATAAAGAAACAAGCAAAACAAAACATGAACAAAGCAAAACAAAACAAAAACAAATTCTTAGGTTATAATGGTTATCAGAGAGAAGGAGGTAAAAGGGTGGGTAAGTCAGATAAAAGGGGTCAATTGTATGGTGATTGGTGGAAACGACTGCTGGTGATAAACACAATGTAGTATATACAGACATTGATTTTTAAGCCTATACACTGAATACTTTTAAGGTTTTCATTTAATAACTTGTTTAAAACAAGTGATTATGTGTGGAGATTTCTTGACCTACTAAACATAGAGCTTCCATATGATCCAGCAATTCCACTCCTAGGTATTTACCCAAAGGACACAGAAATATCAATTCCAAAGAACACCTGCACCCCTATGTTTATAGCAGCACTATTTACAATAGCTAAGCTTTGGAAACAACCCAAATGCCCAAAAATAGATGACTGGATCAAGAAGATGTGGTACATATACACCATGGAATATTACTCAGCAATCAAAAAAGATAAACACATGCAGTTTGCGGCAACATGGATGGAGCTGGAAGGGATCATGCTCAGCAAAATAAGCCAGAAAGAAAAATACCAGATGGTCTCACTCATAGCAGGAATTTAGAAAACCTGAATAAGAGACCAGGAAAAAGACTAATCAATGCAAAGTAATAATCAAAATCAACAAGCAACTATAAACCAGAGACACACTAAGGGGGAGGGAGGATTAAGGAAGGGAGGGGAGAGGAAGCACTAGAGTCAAAATAAGTGGGGGGGTGCAATTGTATGGGGAATATAACCAAAATGAAAATGTATACTTTGTACAAAGATGAAAAATGATGTAAGAATTATATAAAATAAAATATAAAAAAAACAAGTGATTATGATGCATCTTAGTATTGTTTTCTTCATATTTCTTCTGTTTAAGGTTCATTAATCTTAGATTTGAAGATTTTTTTAAGATTTATTTTATTTATACATACAAGAGTATAGGCCAGAGGTGAGGCGGGGGCGAGGTGGGGGCGGTGAGAGGATTTGCCAGAAACAGAGTGGGGAGCAGAACAGGTGGATCTACTGAAATACACTGCTGAGGGGAGCAGTGGGCAAGACAGGAGAGGTCTGCTGTGCCATGTGGGTTAGCTGCCTAGCTGGGGATCGAACCCATGCTGCAGAGGCTGTGGATAGCTTCATAGTGCTGTGCTTCAAGGGGTTATCCTTGCACCACCAGGGAGGCCCTCATCTTGTAAATTCTACCCACCTGAGCCTCCTCAAATAATGAACTCTGTCTTGGCAATTCAAGAAGACTGTCAGGCTCTATTTGGTCTATTTGGCTGCCTCCTTCTTGCTCTACAGTCTTGAAAGTTCTCTAGACATTAAGCTGCAGCTATAGAACTGATTTCATTGTTTTTCCTGAGGATCATTGTCTTGTACTATTATCCAATGTCTGAAAATCACTGGTAGGGCAAATCCAGTCCCTTTTATTCCATCATGGCCAAAAGGAGAGGTTTTACCTTTTATTTTCTATCTGGTTGTTGTATATATACATATAAAGATTTTGATGTCTACTTATAAATTTTGTATCTCACTACCTTATTGAATTCTTTTTTTGTTTGTAGTTATTTTTCAGTTAGGATTTTGAAGAGGGAGTCCCCAGATAAATAATTATACGATCTGTAAATATTTTTATTATATCAAAAAAGTATTTATCACTATATTATGAATATTATATTTTGTCAAATCCCTTTTCAGCATGTATAGATATGTCTATATAATAATAAATAATATTGATATCCTAATATTTACCCATCTTTAATATCTCCTGAAAAAAAATCTTAGTCACAATATAGTATTATTTTAGTATGATGGTGGATTCTGTATACCAATATTTTGCTATTTTTTGCATTAAATATTCTGTTTTGTTCAATATTTTTTGGAGTTTGGCATCAAAGTGATGCTTCACAAAAAGAATCTGGCTATATGATGGATGAGAATTGCTTCAAAATAACCTGATGTTGGGGAGTTGCAAGAATAAGGAGATTTAAACAACTGTGTGGTGACGACTGTGGAAATGGTTGATGAGTACATTGGATCTAATAATATTCTCTCTGCTTTATATATGTTTGAAATATTCCAAAACAAAACCATACTTTGGGAAATTTAAACAGCATTAAAATTACCTACACTTATGTCGGTAAATGTTGGTAATTTCCCCTGTTTGAGCATTCATTCTCCTGTGGAACTGAGTATTTGGCCGCTTCTATTCTGTTGTAAAGTTGAATGCTTCATCCAGACTTTCAAATATACTTGTAAAGGATCTTTCTTGCTTTGGGTGTTTGTAAATTCTACAGGGAGATTTTTCTTAAATGTTCCATTATGGTAATTTTAAAATGTGAACAAAAACAGAGAAAATACAATGATCACTCATCTACCTCTCTCCCTACTGAGTAGATGTGATATTAGAAATCTCTACATTTGAGAGGGTGAAGGGGAAATGATTCTTCTCCTATGAACTGGCTCAGATAACCCAAACCACACATAGTTTATTTCAGTAAATTCCAAATCCTCACTCAGAAAGCATACTAAATTTACCTAATTTTATTTCAGTGGACCTTAATACTAATCGTCATCACATTTTGAACTTTTTAGACTGAAATTTTGTAACCTAAATTATTTTTATAGTTAAATTTTTAAACAATATACAATTCCATGTATAATTTTACCTTAAATAATTTAATAGCTTCTGTCTGCAGAGCTTCTGAAGGTAGTGTTGTCAGAGGAGAAGTGATTCCTTCTTTGCTGTGACACAAAGTTGGGTGTCTCCATATCTGAGAGGCTAAAAACAGAGTAAAATATGAACAGAAAATGAAAAGAACCACTTGTTTTGCCTTACCATTAAATTAACCCTATAGAAATTTGCTCATTTGGGCTTGACTCATACTTTTAAGTCCCAAAGTTCACCAAAAAACTTTGCAATATTATTTTGTTTTTGTTCCCGTAAGTCCAGGATTCTCATGTCTCTGTTTTGGAGAAATTAAAACTAGAAGAGTTTGGTCTTAATTGTCCAGACTGAAACAAGTCTACTGGGGCACTATCATGTTGCTTCAATGTGTTAAGCACTGGTGGTTTAAGCAGGGAGATGACTAAGTAGGGAGATGCCTAAGGATGAACTGGAGAAAGATCTAGAGAGGAGAGCCAAAGTAGGAGATAGAAAGATAAGGAGAAACTTGATGTCATGCCTAAAAAGAACATTTATGCAATTCTTATTCTGTAAATAAGGCAGATCAGGAAAACAGGCCCATGCCCTCCCCTAGCTGGCTGTCCCCTTCACCTGAGCCACTGTCTGTCTTCTGGCTCCTGGATGTTTGTTTAAAAAAAAATTTCTTATTCTGCAAATAAAATGTGATCTTTATAGTTATGTAAAATATAACAGTATCTAAACTGCCAAAGGGGAAACCTTAGCCATAAAATAAATGATGTCAGTGCAGAGCAACAAATGTTATACAGGAGTTAAGTAGCAAGTGCATTGGGAGATAATTTTAACATTTATTACCTTTCATATGCCAGATGTAAGACTATGGTGGGCTGTTTGGGGGAGCTAAGGTAGGTAGGATTTCATCAGGCTTATGGGGAACACGAAGAGAGGAATTTCAGGCAAAGGAAATAATGTGAGCAAAGGCAGAATGGTGTTAAAGGAGACCGCATATTGGGGAATGATGGTATCTCTGGAGCCTAAGAATTACAGTGAGAATCCTGGCCCATGACAAGCAAAGACGATGAAGAGGTGAGCAGACTTTAGGGAAATAGGAATCCATAAAATGGAAATGCCATTAAAATAAAGGGGTCTGGGTCCTTTTCATATGCCATAAAACTTTATATGCTATAAACTTACAAGGTTCCCCTTCAATATTCAGCAATTTGCTCACAAGTTGTTCAAATTCAGACCCAACATTTACATTGTTACTTCCAGCAGCAACTGTCAGATGATAGAGCCAAGTGTCCTTAAAATCAAAACATATTAACAGAGATATTAAGCAAGATATAGTTTTTGATGACTTAAGGGGAAAAAAACGACTTGTATAAACAGTGGAAAACTTTGACTCTGACAAAAAAAAAAAATCCCTTAATTTTGTTGAAGACAAGTCAAAAAATATAGATTGACCCCAAAATATCCAGTCTGAAAAGACACACATTTTGAATTTAAGATCTCTTTGTCCTCTACCTTCATGCACTAATTTCAGCCTTGAGGCCATTTTTATCAATTGGATTAAAAAAACGACATAAGGCTTTTCCCCAGGGATAGAGAGTCTCTGAAAATACAGCTGATCATCTTTGGCAAAGTCTCTCATTTCCAAAAACTGATTTTTTTTACATAGCAATAATTATACTGCTATGTAATATTAGTGTAAATCATTCTAAATCAACCAATAAGACCCTAAGTACCTTTTCATGCTTGGATCCAATTAGTAGGTAAGTTGGACCTTGGTCTTTGGGGTGGATCACAATGGTATAATGTGTGGACAAGAGACTTCGCCCACTGGCTTCATAATCTTCATCTGAATCACAGGACCTGTCAACCTCTTCAACTTTAGCCTCCCAGAGTTTGATCTGACCTAAAGGAAACTAAAGCAAGTGTTAGGAATTGTGAGGAAGGTATTTTGTAAGTCTTTTCCTACCAAAACTTTTCAGTCCTTTTCATTCTTACCTTTGCAAACCATATATTTTTTTTAAATGAATGCCTAAAAGCAATCGGATTATCCACATTGTTAGGAAATAGGAGACTCAATACAAATCCCCAATTATAATAACAGCAAATTTCAAGAAAAAAATATACGCCACACATCTAATTTTTGTGTCAACACCTGGGAAAATATGAGAAACTGATAGTTGGGAGTAGAGTAGTAGAAGTCTTTTCTCTTAAAAATTTTAAAATTAGGATCTACAATCAAGTTAAAATTTAAAGTTGCTTAGGCATGTAATTTAAAGAATCAAGACCTTTGTAGGTATATGATTACCTCAGTAATAAACTTTATGCAAAATTTCAACTTTGTCAAAAATTCTAGTTTTAGCTAGCAACAGAAGAGTGAAAAGGAAAACTTTAAGCCATAACAAAAAATTCCTCTAATTAACAAATTAAAAATACATACATACCTTATCTTCTTGACTACGAAAATAATACAATGTTTTTCCTATAAGTGTACACCAGACTCTTTTGGAGTAGCCATGTTTTACCTGCAATCATATTTCAAAGAATTACAATCGTAGCTCAGAACTCTCCTACTGAATAATAAAGTTTATACACGCTACCTAAGTTGTACGGGTATCCATCCACTTTGCTCAGGTATAAATTCCAACTAGACTATCCAAATGCTGTTTAAGATTTACCTGTTACATTAGCATCATGAATTCTTTACCTGGATGCAGCATTCAACATTCTGCTGATGTTTGTTCTATGTCAAGAATCAGGACTCAAAGATGATAAAAGGAAAATACAAGTTTCACAAGTCAGTATATCTCACAGTTTCTATATTTCACTGAATTCTAATAATCCTGTGGCTCTCTGGGCTAAACATCCTAGCCTTAGAAATGAGAAGACTGAAACCTAAAGAATTCTAATAATTTCTCAAATGTGAAAGATCTGATCAATCCAAACATGGCTTCTTTGTAAATAAGCATACACTGAGCACACTAAGTGCCTTCTCCAGAAGGATTCAAACAAAACAATAAAATGATATCAAAAGTTATTGTTATAGCTTGAGGAATCTGAGGACTTCTTTTTTTAAAAAGATTTATTTATTTATACAAGAACTGGGGTATAGTCAGAGGTGCGGGAGGTTGAGAGAATTCACCAGAGACAGAGCAGGGAGCAGAACAGGCAGACAGACCAAATTACACTGCTGAGGGGAGCAGCGGGTGAGATAGGAGAGGTCTACTTCCCCTTGTGGGAATATCCCTGGCTGGCTGGGAATCAAACCCGCACTGCAGAGGCTGCAGACAGGTTCATAATGCGGTACTCAACCCACTGCGCTACCAGGGAGGCACAGAATCTGAGGACTTCTGACATGTCAGTAACTATGTTAAGTGACTGGAACAGGATTTAAATGTAGCTCTTGGTTTTGGATAGTGATAGACTGGTCTAAGTGTCTGGGGATACAGATATGAATAAAACAGTCTCCATTGTCACAGAGTTCACAGCCTTGTGAAGAAAAAAGACAAGTAAAGGAGCAATGTGTTATATGTCTTCAATAAGGACACGAAGTTTACATTTATATATATTTTTAAAATTTTTTTTCGAGACAACATTGGTTTATGACTCTGTATATGATTCAGAGCAGAAGGTCTGTTCCTCAGATGTGCACACGTTCCCAGAGCACCCATATCCCATTAGTATATATATTTTTGTGAGAGACATTTAACAAAATTTCAGGTTTACTGTCATAGGTTTATTATTATTTGGTGGTTTCATGAAGATCCTTACAATGATCTTCTTATCCCAGTCCTGCCCAGGTACCCAGCTATCTCCTCGGAGGTCAGAAAAACACCAAGAACCCCACTCCACCAGTGGGTAGGATGTCGCATAAGCCCTGTTTCCCCAGACCTATAATCCCACTTATGGGGCTGCCCTGCCAACTTCTGCTTTGAAGTTAGACCGTCTCCTGCACTAGTTAGGGTGGGCTTGGATCTAGACAGGCCCACCACCTGGAAACCAAGAATTTGGGCTGAAAACTAAAGTCCAAAATTCTGTTGTGATATCTCCCCATGGTGGGACATATTGAGGAGAAAAATCAACCTGGAAAGGAAAAGGAAGCGTTTGGGGAGGTGAGGTACAATTTAAAGCAAGGCCTCACTGACATGGAGGAAAGCCCGGAAGGAGGTAATGAGCCACGCAGTGCTCTGAGAGAACATTCCAGGCAAAGGAAGGAGCAACGCCAAGACACTAAGACAGTGTGTGCTGGTGCGGATGAGCCTGAGTGAGGGCAGGGAGAAATTACTGGGGAAGGGACTGTGGGTGAGCTAGGATGCAGAGGGGTGCAGATTTTGCAGGGCCCTTATAATGACTTACATTTAAATGGACTATTCTGATAGCAATCCACTGAGAAGATTTTAAGTTATTGCCACAACAAGTTTTATAGTAGGCAAGTCACAATAAGTGATTTGGGCTTAAATAAAAAGATGGAAATACTTGAACATTGAGTTCGAGTGCACCAAGGGTTAAATTGAGGGTCTACCATATACCAATTCTGCTGGTAACGTGGGGTTACTGTTGGGTTGGGATATGATGGCCAAGGGAGAAAATGTCAATAAAGGAGAATAGTAGCTACTCAATAAATGTTTCTTCCCTTGTTAGGAAATAAGGAGAAGTAAAACATATGTTTCATTTAAAACCACAAATGCAGCCTTTGGGCTTTCAAAGCAAATAACTCCACCACCTAACAGTTTGATGGACTGAGAATGCTGTTTAAAAAAAAAATATGTTTCATTTGGCAAGACATGTTTCAGTTTAATTAAATTTAGAAACATAGATTTACAGACAAATATCTTAGAAGTTTTAAATAGTTTGTGTTATGCAGGTTTCCTTCCCACCTCCTCCTTTTAAACAGACTCCAGAAAGGAGTCTCATCAAAACTGGGATATAATGCATCTGGCATGAAGAGTATACTTTTAAAATGATTTATCTATAAAATAAAACAATGTGTGCCTTTGAAGAATCACAAATTAAAAAAGGACCTTGGCCAATTCGCTATAAAAGCTATGTTTTAAAAACACAGTCTTGTTATATGTAAATCTGATTATAATAGGATTTCTTAAAACTCTGACATATTCTGAATAACAGATAATAGATTATAGCCTGGAAGACTGAAAGGCAATCTCAAGACTCAAATCTTTGGCAAACTAAATAAGTGAAATAATGATTTTTTTTTTTAATCTTGCATCCATAACCAAGGTACTTCATTCCAGCTGTTTGAAACCTTTGAACACACACAGCGTATCCCGATTAGCCTGGGTCCAAACCAAAAATATGTTCCCATGATCTTCTCACTCCTACATCTTCATCCCCCCTAGTGTTCTCCACCGCAGATCCTGCCACCAGCCCTGGTGACCTCAATATTCAGGTAAAGCTCTTGTCATATAGCAGCTCTAATTTTCTGAGTGTCCGTGATGTATAGGGCGCTGTTCTAAGCTCTATTTAATGCTTAGGTAATTCATTTACTTTTCCAACACCCTGTGGAGTTGGCACTATTATCATCTCCACTTTACAGATGGGGACACTGAGGCACAGAGCCTGTGTGTCACTTATTCGAGGTCACATAAGTTGCAAGTGTCAGAGCCAAGACTTGTGCCCAGGCAATGTGGTTCTTTGGGCCCGGGCCTCTGAGCTGCACTACCTCTTGATGTCCTTAATAGTTCCTTGCTCTCTGTATTTCCACTAACCGCTGCTAGTCCTCCACTATCACCAGCCATGCACCTAACCAGAGTGTAGTCCTCTTTTCCTCACTGGGATCAGCTTCTCTTCTGAAACATGCATTCTACTCTCTGATACCCTCTCTCCCACGTACACCATACACTGTACACCACTTCTATTATTTGACCTTTCTTAAAAGTGTAAGTGCCCTGATCCTGCCAGTTTAGTCAATTATAAGTTCCCTCTTGGCCTTTCTCTCTTCCTTCTCTAACAATCTGGAATAGCATGTTGATCACAAAACCACTCTTGCTTCAAGGCCTGTGATTAAGTTGTATTCCTATGCTTCTAACAAATCCACTCAACAAAATTGCATCACCACTTGCTTTTTTTTTTTATCACTTGCTTTTAAATAATTCAGTGGTGAATATGCGAAGAGAGAGCAGGTTATAAAAGTTTGACACATATGGTCCTTGAAATAGGAGGACAACTAGTCATATTTACAAAAGCTGAACCGCTATACCAAAAGTCAGAAAAAATTCATTGGAAAATATTTATTTGCACAATGCCAGGGAGTTCTCCAATCCATCAAGGTGAAAGTACATTTTCATGATAATATAATATTTTGGAAGAAAGCACTGTCCATCTTTTTGCTGAATGTTATTTGTGAATTTTTGTCTTGCTTTTGGTATAGCTGTTCAGTTTTCATAAATATTACTCGACAAGTGTAGGTTACGTGGTAGCATATTAAGTCTAAGTTACTGCAGTTAGATAGTATGTGTATTTTTCAGTGGCCAACTAGAATGGGATGAGAAAGAAAGGAGTTCATCTATCTCTAAAATTTTACTTCTTACATAAACAAAACACATTTATGATAAGTGATTATGTAAAGGTTATTTTTATGTGTAATATTTTTCTGCAAATATTTTATTCTATTTTTCTAAATGTGACATGCAAATAGGACTTTGGATTTTTAAAACCCTATTTATTTTAGCATAAGTCAATTCCTAGTCAAAAAAAGTGAGAAAACAGACTGATGCAAAAATAAACTAAAATGACACAGAGATAACAAATACACCTTGGCATACTTCCCATTCAAGACATTTTTCTATGACTATGTAAAACAAAAATGAGAAATTTAATATTGCACTCTTTTTATTTTATCACCTAACAGTATATCATATATTTCTGTAACACTAAATATTCTTTTATAATGTTTAAAATGGCTGATTATAAACATATTTACTTAAATTATCTCCTACATTCAGTACAACTAAAATGATCCCAAATTTTTTAAAATTATGAACTATGCCATTCAAATAATCTTTCTGGGCTAATGGAAATGTTTTATATCTTAATGGAGTAACTGTCAAAATTCATCAAACTCCACCCTTAAGATCTGTATTTCATTTTATGTTAATTAAATCATTTCTTAAATAGGAAAAAAATAAACCACACTGTGATGGACATCCTTATACTGAAATATTTTACAAATTAAGACCATTTCCCAAGTATAACTTTCTTGTAGAGAGATTGCTGGATCTAAGGGTATGCAGACATGTTTTTAAACACTTAATATTCATTCATTCATTTGTTCATTCAAATATATCTGCTGAGTAAACACTTTGGCCAAAACATTGCCAAACTGCCTTCTAGAGTAATGTTCCCACTGGCACATTTCATAATTTGTACCAATAACGTGTTTCATAATTTAAAAAAATGTTCTCCCTTTGACCATATTTTCAAAAACATCTGTTATTTCAACTTGTGCTTTTAAAGAAAATTTTCAATGATATAAATTGTTCTTCCCTATGTTTATTGGTGGTCTGTATTTCTTACCCCTGCTGGCTCTACTTCTCCCTCATTGTAGTCTTTGCTCCCCTCTCATTAGTATTTTTTCTTTATGAACTGTTTAGAAAAAGCTAGCTTCACACATTTCAAATATCTTTTACTTAGAGACTGTTTGAAAGTAAGAACACATATATTTATGTATAGTAGTTACATGTGTCATTTTTCATCTTTATGGTTTTTGTCTTTGGTATCATACTGAAAACACCCCTCCCCACTCCAATATAACATAAATGACCAATAGCTATATTCTCTGATACCCACTTTTCATGATCAGTGGGATAAACTGATCCTTGGAGGCCTGAGACACTGCTATACACACAAACTCCCTACCTTAGTGAGCAATCCCTTTACAGTTGGTTTACCCTCGGGCTGCAGGAAAAGAGGGTTGGCAGCTTGTACTCGAAGAACATTCTGTAACACTTTCATCCATTCCTCCAAGATATTGGGAGAATCTGCAGTCAGATAGTATGTGTGTTTTTCAGTGGTCAACTAGAATGGAAGGAGAAAGAAATAGGAGAGGAAACCCTGGAGATTTAGGATTATTTCTTTGTCCACTCTTCAAATATCACTACTAACCACAGAAATAAACTTGAATTCTATGTTCTTAATAAATGGCACCCCAAAATATATAATATTTTAATGACTTTGTCAGAAGTGCAATAATTAGTATCTGTTGAAATAAATTTTTCACTTCAAGTTACTTTAAAGCTTGCATAGTATCATATATATGGGTCATGATTTTTCTTTTCTCCCTTAAATGTATTACAGAACCCTGATCATTGAAAAGAGAAGAATGACTGCAGACTATAATAAAATAACACATATTTTTAGCAATGTGGAATTATTGTTATAGAAATGAAGAAATCAGTGATAAATATAAGAAGAGAAATTCTTGGCACTAGCATGATCAGATTATAAACTCACAATTTTTCAGTCTCAAACTAACATTTTAAATTTTTCAAATATTTCAGAAGTTTACAAATGGCCCTTAACTGCCATGCTCAAGACAAAGCTTTCTCTGATTCTCCTTCCTACATTTGTGGACATTTCTTTAGCAGTATCCATTGGAAATACTGATAATGTACCTTTCTAGTAAGTGTTGTATTCCACCCTTCAGCAGAGAAAGACAAGAAAATATTGGTTATTAAAGGCATTTCAGAAATAAAGGGTCTGATTTAAATAGCATTTACCAGACTATCTCAACAGACTGCATTTAAATTATTAAGTTTCCACTATGAGACCTTATATGTGTACGCAATGATCAGCAACCAGCTCTATATGGGACTTGGTAGGAACTAGGACAGCCCCCCACTCACCAATGTCTTTCCCATTTAGGTGTTACAACATCTGAAGTTCATAGAAGAACCGCCATTTTTTTAGTTCTGTATTAAAATGCAAACATTCCCAAATTTAACAGTACATTAAATTACTGAAATCTTACTGGGAATTTATCAGGTAACTCTCTCTAAAATAGTTTGACAGTTTGATTGCTACAAATAGTAGGGAGATTAAGTATAGGCAAAGCACAGTGTAAAGGGATATAGGGCATAGAAACTGTAGTGAGGAGTTTCCCAATATTAAGTTAGCTTACATTTCAGATTTAACTAGGATATCCTGGCATTTCACACATTTTTAAGGCATCAAAACTGATTCCAAAGTTAACAGAAAATATATATCACCCAGTCTTCTCTCTATTTGCTTGGATAATTACTAACTGAGCTTTGCATGATTAAAAAAAAAAAAAAGACAGAAAGAAAAAAAAAAGTACCTGAACTGTTTGTTTGTTATCGCCTCTTAAAATACTGCTGGCTGCACTAAGTTCAATATGGCCCTGGGGTTTTCTAATTACATCACTCTATAAGAAAGGAAGAAAACCAAAAGGAAAGTGATTACCTATAAGAGTAAGATTAACAAATGCTTTATATGATTCATTGCTCTACAAGGAAGAAAATCAACCAGTAAACACTTTCCACTCACCGGAGATTTGTAGTATAGTAATTCACCACCTTTAAGAACAAACCATCTTCGTTTCCAGGTCTTGACCTTACCACTCATTTTTAATAAATAGCCAGATTTTTCCAGTGGTTCCTAATTAAAAAGATATTTTTTAAAAATTAAGTTTCCTTTTGGAAGCTCAATCTAGCAGATTCATTAACCAAAAAAAAAATCTGATTCAGTGTTTACATTTTTCCCATTATCACTGGAAGATGAGCAAGTTTTAGGGAGCTTCTGCTCTGGCTGGGAGTACTCTGTGTCTGTGGAGTAAGCATCTGGGGGAATTGCGTAATCACTTTCAGAAGTCACAGAAGAGAGAGAGACACCTAGGTAAAAGAAAGAAATGAATGAAGTCAATATTTAATACTAAGGTCACCAAAATATTGGTTATAAGTTCTGCCAAAGAATACAACCATTCATTACATCATAAGCCTTCCTGGGCTGGATTTATTCTCATGCCTTTGGTCATGAAAAACTTGAAAAACAGAGAATCAAAGGGTAAGAACTATCAAGCAAATCTCTAAAAAATTCAAAGGAACACAGTATTTTGACATGATTACCAGCTATTACTTTTCCACATACAAAATATATGCAATAGTCAACTAATGCAGGTTTTGTCAAGGATTAAAATATGGACACTAACATATTGATATAAAGTCAAAATGTGTCTTATTTTAATCTATTAATATTTGTACAATCATATTTAAAGCCATTTAATTTTTGTATTCATTTTTAAAGTAATTCAGAGTAAAAAGCCTCACAATTTCAGTAGTATTTTAGTCTTAGTAATTCTTTTTTCACCATGGTTTGAAGCAAGTCCTTTGATTTTTTTTTTTAATCCTATTATGGAGATAAAATTCCCATTAAATAGTCAGAATTATTTGGGATTTGTATGCCCGAAGCTTCCTCTCACCTCGCTTCATGGCTCTGGGGCTGCCTGGCCCACTCCGACTGCGTGTGTCCGACTCTGAAGTCCGGGAGCTGGATCTGGAACTACTTTCTTCCTCTGACCCAGAGGAGTCATCCAAAAATGGGCTGCTGCTTATTTGAGTAGCTTTCTAAAGAAAAGCAAGAACATCCTCCATGTGCCCATCTCCAAAGTCACCTCTTTCATTTGATACAGTATATTTTACCAGAAGTATGAATAAGAAGTTTTAAGGAAATCAAGCAAATATCTTGCCATTTCAAAGGCATATTGTTAAATTCCAAATTCTTATCAGCAAGGCAACTTGTCAATTAGAGAAGATTCCTGAAAACACAAAGTTGTTAATACCTTATTGGGTATGAAACAGAAGTAAAAAATACTTATTTCAATTAGATACTCCAAACAAAGGAGAGGAACCTTGGCAGGCAGCAAAGAGCTTTCTAAAGTAGGAGTTTTCATCACATCATGAAGAACATGTTTCCCTAAAACAATTAGCAGCCGTGGACGGGATGGACAATCACATGGGGCATAACAAGAATGGAACAGACTTCCAATACTCTGATAAGAGTAAATATCTTCACCAAAGCTTTCCATTTCCATTTTATGATATATTATTGTGAATTTCTAAAGTTTCCTATAAAGGGAGAGAGTCTGTGAAATGTCAAGAACGGAATCTGGAGCTTGAATAAAGAGTTTTCTAGATTCATCATGAAGAAAGCCACATGCTTAACAGTAACAAGGATGAGTTACCCCCTTCAAAGTCGTATACACAGGCGTTGTCATATTCTTGTAGATGAGAGATGTGTAAAGTCCTGGTGAGGTATATGAAAGCATTGCAACAGAATCTGAAACAGAAAACAAAAATGGTTTTTTAAAAAAAACATTCTAACTAGCGCTTAGGTTCTAGTTTCAAATTTCTTAGGAATTTGGATTAGCAAAATTTCTACCAAAAGAGAGAGTGGGTTAATACGTATGATTTATTCATTACGTAGTTTACGGATGACAGCACTGACAGGTTGAATGATACATGGTCTTGCTGGTTCATTATCGCCTTGCGTTTGCCAGTGCCCCAACTAGAGTGTAAGCTCTTTGAAAACAAGGTTCATCGCTTCTACTCTTTTGGCATCTCCATGCAGCTCAGACTGGGTGAAATGAGGATCAACACCTGCTGATTGACTCAGTGAGCAGCACCCGAGGGAGATATTCTTAGATTATTTGTGGCCCTGTTACTGACATGGTGTTAGAACATTGCTGGCCTTAAGCCTTCATCAGGCAAACCTCCTATTGAAAGGTTAGACTGTATTTCCTGAACGGCATGTACAGGAGACAGGAAGGTATAGAACATCTGTTCCTCCAAGATAGGATTAGTGGTAGAATAAGGAGGGGGCTGGTAGAAGGAACCACAGAAAAATTTCTTTTTTTATTTCAGATAGTTGCTGGGTTTTATTTTTTTTTAAGATTTATTTATTTATGCATATAAGAACTGGGGTACAGGCCAGAGGTGTGGGGAGGGGGTGAGAGGATTCACCAGAGACAGAGTGGGGAGCAGAACATACACATAGCGGGCGAGACAGGAGAGGTCCGTGGCACCACATGGGTTGCTCCCTGGCCAGGATCGAAATCATGCTACAGTGGCTGCCAATAGCTTCATAGTACTGAGACAGAACCCCTTGCACCACAGGGAGGCCCTAGGTTATATTTTTTATAATGCGCATGCATTGCTTCTATATCAAGTTTTTGAAGAAAGAGAAAGGAGGAATGTGTTTTAAACTCTGGAAAAAAGGAACACAGAGACTGATATTTTTACAATTTAGACAGCTGAAACTATTGTTTCTTTGCTTCAACCTTTCACCTAAAATCACAGTACAGTGTTCTCAACTCAGAGAGTGGGAGAAAAGGAAAAAGAAACAGCATCACATAATTACTTATTTTCTGAAACATTTACATAGTACTAAACACATAACATGAAATTTACCATCTTAAGCACGTGTGAGTATACAGTTCAGCAGTTAAGTATGTTCACTTAACTGCTCCTGTGAATCAGAGCTCCAGAACCTTTTATCTTGCTAATCTGAAATTCTACCAGTAGGCAATTACTTATCTGTCCAGTCTCACCCAACCCCAAAGACCATTCTACTACTTTATCGATCTGACCACTTTAGGTATCATGAGAATGGAGTCACACAGTGTTTGTCTTTTCGTGACTGGCTTATTTCGCTTAGCATGTCCTCAGGGTTCATTTATGTTGTAGTATGCAAATGATCACTTACTTTTGTTAACATTCTCCATATTGAAGGCCTCAGACATTCGAATACCTGATTTGGCTACAGCATAAATTCTGCTTTCCTAATGTAAAAGAGAGATTTAAGCTGATATTTAAAGCAAAGAAATGATTATTTTCAATACACATGCTTTTCATTTGTTCTTCATTTAATATTCATTCAAGTACAGCATTATTATACAACTGTTGTCAGTGCCAACTAAAATATGCTGCTGTGAATAGTACTGCAAAAATTTTTTCCATCCATTAGTCATTCCATTATTTACCTTTGTTCCCAAATTTTTACTTGGTATTTTAAATTCTTTTGAAGAGTTAAAGAAAAAATTAAGAGAAAGCTTATTCACAGTCACTGACGATACTTAAGCAGCACCTTTAATAATCTACCATATTAGAACACGGTTTAAGGGAAAAAAAGAGAAAGCTTGACTGGCTTAAGATAAAGTCAGAAACCATTCATAAGCATTGCCTACACATAAATATTACCTTTACTATTCCACCATTCATATGACTAGAGAAAAAAGAAACATCTGAAGTCAGAAATCACAGATAGAGTTGCATTAAGTGCTTCTTATTTCAATATTCATTGAAATCATTGAAGTAGAAGAAATACCTGAGGTCAAATTATAAATGAATTTGATGGAATTTATAGTAATAACTTCTTCCAAAGATAGGTTGTTATTTTGCTTTCTCGTCTCTGAGTGAAATCTCTAAAATGAGACTGGTAAGGCTAGCAGGCTTGCCCCCTATGAGAAAAGAAGTTCCTAACACATAGATTATCATACCCTGATCTGTGATGCCTCTAACCTGGACATAGTTTTCTGGTGGGCAGCTAAGGCAGTCCTCTTCAGCACTTGGCCAATCTACCAGAAGGTTTCTGAAAAGCAATACTATTTTTTCAGGACTGAATAGCTTCAGAAGACAAGTTGAACAAAGAACAAGTAGTAAAATGGTTTGCCAAATAAAATAAACTGGAAAACCTAACCCAATTCTCTGAAAATCTCGACACAATAAAAGAAGCAAAATTTCAACTTCTCACTGCCCAAAGGGCAACATAATTGGAATTCCAGAGATTCACATGCCAGTAATGTCCACTTATTTGACAGTATCCAGAATTTAGTAATAAACTGCAGCCAGCTTCACATAGACACTCCAATAAAATATTAAAAGTAAATGCATCTCAAGAGCAGATACATCTCAAGGTCTGTATTTATACTAGGAAAGCATGACTGCCTTAATTTGCTTAAAATTGCATTGGTCACCAAAAGAATAATAATAATAATAATGATGATGATGATGATGATGATGCAGAATTTCACTCCCAAACCCAAAAAAATCCTGTAAAAATCCTGTAAATCCCAAAAATTTTTCTGGAGACCAAAGGAAAAATGATGCCAATATGTGAAAGAAAACTTAAATCTACAAAACAGATTATTTAATGTTCTTTCAAATATAATAATATCTTTTTAATCTAGTGGTACAGATATACCTAAGAATTAATGGATTAATTGATGCATTAATGGTCAGTGTTTCAACAGAAGAAATGTCAATTTATTCTAGGTACACAGGAAGATTTTTGTTGTTGATAAAGCAATGGTTTATAAGCACATTAATAGTGAAATTAAATTTCTCTTAAAGCCAACTAAGTAAGTGATTAATTTAAAAAACTGGTGACCAATAGAGTTAAATGTCCTGGTCCAGAATTCAATCAAAAGCATTACACAGGGGGAATTCTACTTCCCCACTCTGATGTTTCCTTCCTTATGGAGGGGGTTCCTATAATTGAACAGCCCTGATCTCTTCCATCTATTCACCTTCCCCTCCTCCAGGATAAGGAATGGCTTAATGCAACTGGTAAACTTATGAGAAAATGGACATGCAAAGCCTAGCACTTTCTTTTCTCAGACTTTCTCTTGGGAAGTAGCTGCCTGCAGGAAATAACCATCTGTTCTTTCTCCAAGTTGTAAGTTTTAGAGAAGCAGGACCTCATTGGAGGAAGCCTGAGGTCCTCCAGTGCTGCCTGGGACTGGATGAATAAATTTAGCTAGTTCCAAGATGTAGCGATGGAAAATTCAACTGTCCACAAATTTTCTATAATTATTTTATTGGTAATAAAGGTAACTGTTTGATCTCCTTTCTGTTTTATCCTTGTGTATTTCTCAGTGGATTTGGAACTCAGGAAAGAGAAGGGGGAATTCAGAGAGCTGGGAATTGTCAGAACAAAGCCGGATTTGAAAAGAAACAGGGATAGAAGTAAGTTAATCCTGAAAGTGAGCTTGGAGAAAAAGCTAGCACGCATGTGTTGTACACAACAATGTGATTTACCCAAGAGGGAAAGCGGTGCAGGGGAGGAGTTGGGGGTTTGCTGCAGCCTGCCTTCTTTGCTGAGTCAGTCTCCTGGTCGTCTGAACACGGGGACTCCAGGGAGTCATAGGAAGACAGGCCATCGTCACAACCAGTGTCCATGTTTTCTGAAATGTCCGTACCGTTGCCATCAACAAGATCAAGATCTGTTTCCTGAGGTCTCAGTGGCCGTATCATACTTATAGCATTTCTGTTTGTACCAAACATCCTATCGGAACTTAACTGTGGCTGGCTCAAGTGCCGTCTGGCTAGCGCAACACTTATGCTGAAAACATTTGGAATTCGTAACTTTGGGGGCGGCAAGTTTGATGAAGGCCCCAAAGCCGTTCCTTTTCCAGGGAAAGAGTTGGGGTGCTTTGGCATCAAAGCTGGGGTTAAAATAGGGCTTGGGGTATTGGCCTCACTTGATGAAGATGAATAATCCAGTCTCTGAGACTGAAACTTTTTATTCAGTTCATCTGAGGAACTATCATGCTCTTTTTGACTTGATTCTGAATTTCCCTTTGCGAGAGAACTATTATGAGCTTTCCATTGTGCCTCCTGCTGCCAGGAATACAGCTTCTTGTGTTCTGGCTTCTTGATGCCAAAAGTCTCTTCTTCAAATATAGAGCTGCTGTCATCAGATGCAGTCAGGTATGTCTCACTGCCCATTCGGCTGTCCTGGACCCCTTCCTCCGATGTGTGACTGGAGAGGGTGGATGTGTACCTGGACTTGGCTCTTCCTTTGGCCCCATCTTCCTCATCGGAACTCCAGTCACTTGCTGGAGCCCCAGAATTCTGGGATATCCCACCGTCTGTTAGGAAACTTGTTCTCCCATTCCGATTCTGTTCTGAAACACCTGGGTTTTGAGGCAACATTCTCTGACCTCGGTTGTTTTCTTGAATTGGATTATCGGCAGACTTTTCTGGAATTTCCATTTCTACAAAAGCATACATCATATTGACAAGTTGCCTCTAATAACAATCTTTCTGAACATTTACCTTTATGTAACCACATTGTAGAAACTGAAATTTTAACGAGAACAAGGTTAATTTACCTGAAGTTTTTTAAGTTTTATGTTTTAAATCTAAGTTTGAAAATTAAAAGCTTCATATAAAACACAGAGGTCTAACAATTCAATAGAATGGTATCAACACTAAACTGCTTTTTACAAAGAAACCTGTTGGAGGAAAAAGCTGACAATAGTCTAGGAGAGAAAAATAAAAGAAGTAAAATGTGCAAAAGGGCAACTCTCTCTGTCAAAGATGGTGGGCACCAAGGAATACCATTAATTATATTTTAGAAACAAAGAAAATGACAACCCCATTTCAATTAAATTGCAAAATTATAGTAGATAAATTTAAACACAATAAGTATAAAGCTATAGCTGGAAAACTAAACTTTGGTCCCAAGCTTCAATACTTGAAATAAGCCAAACCATGAAAAAAATATAAACAGAGAAAAGCTGTCCTCGCCCCACTTTTGGTTTAATCATATCTACAAAATATGTTTTCAAAATAAGAATAACATGCTTTAAAAATGTCTTTAGATATGGTTTACTTTCATTTATAACAAAATTGGTAGAATTTTGTTCTACTGTTAGCTTCATGACCAATAAGCTAAAATGCAGACTGAAGGTTGTGTAACCAAGCATAATTCAGAGATGTTTTAATGCCAAAAGAAGGGTAGAAATCTGCATACAGGTCTAGGATTTAAACAATTAGATATAATTTTCCTCTCTGAAACAATAAGGGAAAAGTCAAAACTGTTACTAATTTGTTACTTGGTGTTCTTTTTCTTTGTAAATTTACAATGTTGATGAAGTTCACATTTAATACTAGTTTTTTAATATTTCAAGTAAATAATGAATAGAAGATTCATAGTTCTAGTCTGAAACTCAGTAAAAACAAGCACCTGGTAGGTACAAATAAAACAATTTAAAATTTAAATATCACTGCTACCTACTGCAGGAAAAAGTCAGTTTTCTCCTAAACACTGACAAAGACTCTCAAAAAACACAAGATAACTAGAAACACAAAGTTAAACGCTCTAGTTAAAAGCTGTATTGCTCTTTAGAAATATTCTCATTAAACATCAAGCTATCAAGAACAAAATAAGGACAATTAAGCTATATTTGGATTAATCTTAGCAAATGATTTTTCCTTTTTTAAAATGTCAAAGTAAATTCCTCTAGTCAGTAAATACCTTCTATATCTTTTCCTTCAGTGAACTCAAGTTCTTTAGATGATATCTTGCTCATTTCCTCAGATTTTACTACTTGAGGAGGACTCCTTGCTCGGGATGAAAAGCACCCAAAGGTCAGGCTGCTCAGGCGCTGGCCTTCCGAAAGCTTCAGTGTGGAGGCAGCCGAGGGCTTCTTCCCTTGAGCCTCTGCAAGACCATCCGTCACCATCAAGATCTGAGTTTTTTATTAGTTTGTTAAAGATGGAGCAAATGCATATGAAAACTTGGACAAAACACTCCTTAAAGCAGAAGAAAGTCTTAAGTTCATCTTTACCTATAGAAACATGGAATCCTCAATGTCTAGCATTTTAAACATGCCAAAATTTTAATGTGCAACAACACATTTTTTAACTGCACAAAGAAAAATATCTAATCCCTTTAAAGATAGTTCTCAAATGAAAACAAAAACACCAAACCATAAAAATTAGAGTTCTCTAGTTTCTGCAAAGTTAAATGTTGGTACTGGTAAAACTTAACTATGTAGTCATGCTACTAGTTGGGGGGGCGGGGTGGAGGGACTGAGGTCCCAGTTACCACGGCAACCAAATGAAATTTATATATCCACAGGCAAATATCACCTTGTCATTGTAATAACCTTCTTATCTAGGTTTTCAGCATGCCTCTCCTATGAAAGCAGATGGAGGAGATTGGTTTACCATGACCAGTATGTGGAAAGACTTAATCATTTCTTTACAGGTAAAAAGGGAGTGGAGACAGTTTCCAGCTAGTGCAGTGACTATCTAAGCACCTAAATTCAGATGGATTTCATTCATCTTCTAGAACTTGCTGCTGTAAAAGGAAAAGCATGGTGATTCCAGTGATAAAAAGAGGTTTCCAAGGAAATTAAATTTGTAACTCTGGGAATGCACCAAAGGGTTAAACAGCAACTGGTAAATAAGGAGAGTAAAAATATCTTTACAGGTGTATTTCTTTAGATGAGTCTTTTAATACTCTCATGTTGATCATATCTTAACAGAACTAATGCACAATGATTCTAATAAACACACATATGCACATGTTTTTAAAGTATCCTGCTATATAAACACATCATATCTCTTTTTCTCTACTCCAAGTGTAGTTTCCAAGGATCAAGATCTGAGAGGCTGTCAACGAGGATTAGAACTGCAAGCTAAGAATATCAGGGAAGCTAAAAAAAGAAACTTTCATTCTAAGTATGAAATTCTGGATTAACTATGGGACCAATTATTTTCCACCACATAGAAGAGAAATTGTGTAATATAAGAAACATATTTTTTGGTCTTCATCCAAGGTTCCTTGCACAGAGCTGCTAAAACACACACACACACACACACACACACACACACACACACAACCTTAGGATTTCCTAAATTATAAGAGCAATAAAGATATCTTTTGTTTTCACAACAAGCTGTTTCAACCACATCAGATTTTATATTAATGAGATGATTTCTGGAAATCACCTAGATAGCATCAGGATAGGGGGTGGTTGGGAACAAACCAGGCAATTAAAGGATTGGAACTTTCAGTTTCACCAGTAGCCAATGAATTAATGGATCGATCATGTAGTTAAGCCTCCAAAAACCAAAAAGGGCTTTAAGGCTGGTGAACACATGGAGGTGCTGGGAAGGTGGGGGCACCCAGAGAAGGCATAGAAGCTCTGGCCCCTTCTCCCATACTTTGCCCTATAGATCCTTCAGCTCAGTGGGCACACGAATGACTCTCAACAGAACAGGATATTGAGTAAATGTCTATCTTTAACTCTACCCTCCATCCTTAGCTTTCAAGTTGGGAAAAAGAAAAGTAATCCTAAGACTGGAAAACGTAAACAGTTTATGTATATGAAAAATCCTGCTCAAAACACTCCAGCTGTAAGAGTTTCAGTGATGACCATGATACAAAATGGAAAATAACATGACTGATTTCTTTTTTAAATTAAACATTCAAACTATTATTACTGCCTTTGAATTATTTGTCACTAATAAGACATGTGGCTTTGAATTTAAATCATTCAAATTTAATATAATAAAATGTAAAATTCAGTTCCTTAGTTGTACTAATTATACTTCTATTGCTAAATAGTAATTTTTTTTTAAAGATTTATGCATTTATACAAGAACTGGGGTACAAGCCAGATGTGTGGGAGGGTGCGAAGATTCACCAGAGACAGAGCAGGGAACAGAACAGGCAGGCTGATGAAATACACTGCTGAGAGGGGAGCGGCAGGTGAGACAGGAGAGGTCTGTCACGCCATGTGGGTATCTCCGCAGCCGGTGGGGATCGAACTGGCACTGCAGAGGCTGCGTACAGTTTCACAGCGCTACGCTCAACCGCCTGCGCCACCAGGGAGGCCCCTCAATAGTAAAATTCTGTGCCAAATAAATCCAACCAAGTTAGCTTAGCCAAAGTACTCCTACCTTGTAGTTTTGTCTGCATTGTTCTTATCTCTTCAGTTTGCTTTTGGTTGATCAAACGAAGATTCTTTTTCTCCAATTCCAGCTGAAAAAACATCATGTTATTCTTTTATACAGGGGTACCATTTTTAAACTGCATTAGTAAATTTTAAAGGAAATGCTAATACCTAATTATACATAAACAAAAGAATAATTACACATAACAAAAGGATAATAAGTTAGTATAAATTAATCTATCAGTATAGATTATGAACCTAGATAATGGCTTATGGCTTCAATATTTACTTTTCTAAAACTAAAAGTTTCAAATGTTTTCATTCTTTATCTCTTTTCCACTGTAAAATTAATTTAAACTAAATTATTTTATCATTTAACTTGTCATATAAACTATATAACACGTAACTTTTTAAATGCTGAATACATTAATTTTATGAGAGAGACACACAAATTCTGTAATTATTTAAAACTAATGAGAACTAAAATCAACTAATTAATTGAGGTTATTTACACTGATTACCACAAGCGTATTAAAATTTTAATTTTAGAGATACATTGGGCATTAAAATGAAAGTCACCTATCTCACATTTACCAAAAGACAGCAGCACCACCAACTGATCAAAATTTGATTTTGCTCAGAATGATCACATATTCTGATGACTTATCTATTCAAAAGAAGTGAAAGTTAAAGAAAAGACAAAATATAGCAATAAATACCTCATTTAACTTAGTTGTCACCCATTCTTTGATCTTAGCTGCTTTCTCTTCTATTATTTTAGCTTCTTGTACTCTTATTTGTTTCTGAAATAACATTAAGAGTTTGTTTAGTTCAAATATAAGCTCACTGCTCTGGAAACATTACATCACAATTATAAAGTCCACTTAAAACCTGTTTCCAAGTTAAAACAGCTACCTTCAAATTACCTGGTGAGTAAAAAATAATGAGAAACAAAGTCTAGCAGAAACAATAAAAAACCACAAAGGCAAATGTAAAATTTTCTAGTTTTTTTTTTAAGATTTATTTTATTTATATTTATATAAGAACTGGGGTACAGGCCAGATGCGTGGGAGGGTGAGAGGATTCGCCAGAGACAGAGTGGGGAGCAGAACAGGCAGACTGACTGAAATACACTGCTGAGGGGAGCAGCAGGGGAGATAGGAGAGGTCTGCCTAGCCATGTGGGTATCTCCATGGCTGGCCGGGAATCAAACTCGCACTGCAGAGGCTGCGGACAGCTTCACAGTGCAGAGCTCAACTGCCTGCGTGCCACCAGGAGAGGCCCTAAAATTTTCTAGTCTTAACAATTGTCATTATCTTTCTCTGAAAGATCATAGGCTAAAATCAATCCACTGAATTTATCAACAAAATAAAACCATTTCTGGAAATAGTTTAGAGTTTAAAACAATGGAAGAGGGATCAACCAGATTAGGGAGAAAGGAATCAGAATCTCCTCAGGGGCATGGCTTGTTTTCCTCAAAAACACTAGTTTTAAAAGATCCAGAAAAAATAAAGTTCAAGAAATTCTACCACACATTTATCATCCTTAACATCTGGCTATGGTCACAAAATGACTGAGAATGTGACTATCATATACATCACAGCAGTGGGGTTCTGGGGGTGGTGAAAAGTTGAAAACCACTGACCTCAAAAAACACTGATGCCCAAAGTAATGAAAAAAAATGCTGAAAATAAAGAATTTAACAATTTCATAGTGATCATATTTAAATGATGCTAAATGACTGTTTAAGTAAATAACCCTAATGGAATTTTTCTTCCGAATAAAATTTTAAGATGAACTAAATACCCTATTTAGTCTGAATAAAGTAGTTCAAAATCAGTGTACACACTTTAAGCAGGATTAGCATCAAACGTATATTTAAAATACAATGTTCTGTAAACATTTCCAACACCCTAACGATCTAAGGCAAAGACTTCTTTCAAACATTTTACAGACACAAATGCCTGCTGATAACCAAGTGTTTTCAACTTAAGCACTACACTCAAACTCTTTAGTCTGAGTGTTAAGGAGCATTGTCACATTCAAAAAGTATTTGTGATATCGTCCTGGAATCACCTTGGACTTAAAGTGAATGCCACTTTATCTGCACCTTTTAGTAATGAATATGGTTTGATCCTATGTGTTGACCAAGTAAGTAAGAGTTATAACCAAAACGCAGAAATTTAGACTTTTTAAAATCTTTATGATTATGCGTACATGAATGCACATATTTAGAACTCTTTGATGATCAAATTCCTCCTAACCTGCTCTTCAAGTTGCAGCTCCAAGTTTTGAATTATGTCATCTTTTTCCTGTATGAGAGTCTCCAGATCTTGACACTTTTTATACAACCTCATCTCTGATTCACTGGTTTGGATATTAGCCGCTTTTAATTTCTCTTCCATAACTTGTACCTATATTCAGAGGATAAAATATTAAAATTATGCATGTATTTAATTTATCAAAGTATTTTAAAACTGAATTAAAATACTTAGTAAATTTTATCAGTTTAACCATAGTATTAAATTCACAATTTTACTTTAACGTTAAATAGATTCCTAAAAAAGTATCATCACAAAAGAAAAATACCAAGCAGCAGTTTTAATGCATTTAATAATCACAAAGTCTAAAGACTATTTTGCCAAGGGTTAATAAATTTGAGGTACATAATAATATATAAAAGACTCTCAGAATACTGCTATCATAAAAGCAATGTATGCGTACTCCAAGGCAATGATAATATGTAAAGTACTTCATACAAGCATAGAGCCAGAGTTTCCAGCCCTCTTTTTTTCCCATATTTTAAACAAAGAAGGAATAGAAAGTAAAGGGGACTGGTGAGATAAGTCTTAGATTGGATGAGCTGGTATTGAAACACACTTTGGGAAAAAAAACCTTGAATTTACATGAAAAAGAAACACATGCAATAAGGAAAGAAAAAAGGAAAGCAAAACAACCTTAATGTTTATACTTTTTTAAAAAAGATTTATTTATTTATGCATATAAGAACTGGGGTACCGGCCAGAGGTGTGGGGGTGCGAGGATTCACCAGAGACAGAGGGGGAACAGAACAGGCAGACTGACTGAAATACACTGCTGAGGGGAGCAGTGGGCGAGTCAGGAGAGGTCTGCTGTGCCATGTGGGTGGCTCCCTGGCCAGGGCTTGAACTCGTACTGCAGTGGCTGCGGGTAGCTTCGTAGGTTGCATCTTAACCCCTTGCGCTACCATGGAGGCCCATGTTTATACTTCTTTTAAGTGATGTAGTCATAAAAAATAAAGTACGAGAGTCAAAATTTAGGTAGAATGCATGTAATAAGAATTTATTAATTCACTCATTTAATAAATATTCAATGAATGGCTGTTTCAGGGCATGGGAAAACACTCATTTTCTGCCTGCATAGAAATGACTACTTAGTGAGCAAGAGAGGTCTCAAATACTACAAACATGTAAAAATCATGCCGCATGTGGCATAAGGTGGTAAGGAAATTGGAAAAAAACAGAACAAGATAAAAGGGAGCTGAGTGGTTCCTCAATTTTAACACCTAAGATATATTGACTCTGTTTAGATTTTCTGCATAATGCATCTGTTCATACAAAATCTTAGACAGGATTGTGAGACATTAACGATAGTAAGAAAGAAAATACTCAGAAATCTATACAATATTAATGTTTATTCTGTAGACTCCAAATAGGTAACAAGGTAATTTTAGCAATGTTTTAGGTTCTAGGAGGCAAAGAAGAAAAATATGTGAAAATATGAGAAGTTAAAGATGACAATTACAATGAAAAATCTTTTTTTTTGTTAAAGATTTATTTATTTATTCATATAAGCACTGGGTACAGTCAGAAGCGCGGGAGGGTGAGAAAATTCACCAGAGCCAGAGCGGGGAGCAGAACAGGCAGAGTGACGAAGTACACTGCTGAGGGGAGCAGCGGGCGGCAGGAGAGGTCTGCGCACCATGTGGGACCCTCGCCCGGCGACCGGGGATTGAACCGGTGCTGCTGAGGCTGTGCGCAGCTTCACAGCCCAGCGCTCAACCGCTGCGCCACCAGGGGAGGCCGTACAATGAAAAATCTTAAACTATTAATAGTACCTCTGAAAAATTATAACGAACCCTTACTTAAAATTCAAAAATACTTGACTAAGAGGGTTTCCAGAAGGAAGTGTTTTGGTTAGTTTTTTTTTTTTTTTTAATCATGAATACAAGGTTTCATCTGTGGGCTCACTACATAAATGAAAACTCAACTAGGATGCCAAAAATGCCCCATTTGAATAATTCCCATGAGGCTGAAAACTGTAAAAACAAGAGTAAACAAGAAAAATAGGAGAAAAACATTCTATCCAGAGGATAATTTTAAGTCATCTTAAGATTTAGATTTTTAACATGAGACAGTCTTTCTGCGAGAACTGAGAACAAGAAGTGCAGGGCCAAGGTCAACATCAAGATGCTGTCACAAACAACAGCTGGAGCAGGACAGAGAGGTGGACAGTAAATACTAAGGGTCAGTTTTAAGATGGTATAGCCAGTTCCACACAGGGTGTTCTGTTACCATGGAAACAGGGAGAGAAGAGCAGAGACTAAGTCCAAAACCATAGTTCACCTCCAGGACAGAGCAAAGGTGATAAACTAAAAAACAAACAAACCCAAATTAACTGAATAAGAACAGAAATAAAAATCACCAAGCCTATACCTACAGTCTTCTTTTATTAAGTCAGACACCTGACATTAAGTCACCCTACAGACTTTGGACTGTCATAAAATTTTGCTATTATTGCTTAAGAAAGGTCTACAGTTCTATGGACCTCCCCGGTGGCGCATAGGTTGAACGCTGGGTTGCGAAGCTGCCCGCAGCCTCTGCAGCGCCGGTTCAATCCCCGGCCACTGGAGGAGGGTTCCACATGGTGTGCAGACCTCTCCTGCCGCCTGCTGCTCCCCTCAGCAGTGTACTTCGGTCCTTCTGCCTGCTCTGCTCCCTGCTCCGGCTCTGGTGAATTCTCTCACCCTCCCGCGCTTCTGACTGTACCCAGTGCTTGTATAAATAAACAAACAAACAAACAAATAAATAAATAATACATGCCTCTTTAAAAAAAAAAAAAAGAAAGGTCTACAGTTCTGGAAAACTATGATTGGGAGTACTCTTCTCTGAAAAACATGTTCAACGTGAAAAAGTTCTCATTGTAAGTGGTATTACAGTCAGAGCTCTGTGGCTGCGTGTTTGCCACATGCAACTACTGAATGTGACCATTACTGCTTGATGAACCACTTTCCAGGCAAAAAATAAAATTGGCAAAAGTGGCAAAATCTCTTAAGGAGAGAGATTACAAAGGAGTTACAGGCAACTTATTTGCCAGCTGCTCCTGTTAGAACCAAGCTCCACAGGATTCACCAGCCTCCCTTGGTCATCACTATGGATATAAAGTCAACAGAAAAGCCCATAGAAGAACCAGGCAGACTTTTAAAACTTCTTACCACAAGTGCACAGAAAACAACCCAGTTCTTTTTCCATTTATTTAACCTCTGGAAGAGGATTTACCAGAGACAGAGTGGGAAACAGAACAGGCAGATTGACTGAATACACTTCTGAGGGGAGCAGCAGGTAAGACAGGAGAGGTCTATTGGACCATGTGGGTAGCTCCCTGGCCAGGGATCGAACTTGTGCTGCAGTGGCTATGGGTAGCTTCATAGTGCTGAGACTTAACTTCTTGTGCCACCAGGAAGGCCTGGAATTTTCTATTTTATATATATATATATATATATATATATATATATATATATATATGTTGCAATGGCATGGCAAAGATATCTGTTGTTCCAAAATACAATGAAGAAAGGAATTGTTAAAAGCATTTTGAATCCTAGATCATTTTCCAGTTAAACTCCACTGCAAGTTAATTAATCATTCTAATGTCTAGTGACGTTTTAAACACAATTATTTTGAAATAATTTTGGCATAATTTCCATAACTTATGTAGTAAGGCCAGAACCATTCTTATTGAAGCTATAAAGAAACAGCACCTCTTCCACTTGTTAGACTTCCACTAACAAAGCAAATTATTACAAGATCCTGGATGTTAGGATGACTAAGCAGAATCATATATTAAGAATCAAAATGACTAGGATAATAAGAACCAACTTAACAGAAAGGCAGATTAGTCTACATGAGTGGTCAGAGTGACAGTCAAATCCAGCTCCTAACAAGTCTGAATCAAATATAGGCAAGAGATCAACCCCAGAAGATAAAAGGAAAAGACAGACCTCTACAGGAGAAATGATATATTCCCTTTTGGTTAGCATAAATTACAGTGAATGATTGGCATATACACCTAATCAGGTATTTGAGAAAGATTCCTAGGTATCAGTATCTTCCAAGTGTGCTATTTGCTCTTTTTCTGCTTCACAAAAGTAAATCATAAGTAGTACTGAGCTGATGTGCACTTTGCTTTCAAAACTTGTGAACAACAACAATAAAAATATACTATAGCATTAAGTATATATAAAGATATCCAAATTTCTCTGGAAAATTGCGTGAAATTTTTACAGATAACTTATTTAACGGCTATGAAGGTTATGACACTCATTAATATAAAGGAGAAAAATGTAAAAAGCTAAAGTGTAATGTAGTGTCAGCTGACTACCACTTTTAGAGGTGAAACATTGTTTTTTGGTTAATACAGAGTTTAAGTCTTAGAATATGGCTCAAGGGCAAAGGACAAGTTGAATGTAAGCAACATAAAGGGCAGATAGGCCACAGTCCTATGTAAATTGTTAAAGACAGCAAAGGATTCAGTTACTCTAAGTTAACATTTACTTAGTCTGGTAAAAGCGAAAAAAAAGCAATATGATCAGTGCATGAGAATTCATCGCCTCTGTATTTATATTTCCTATTAACTCTTAGATTCATTATGAAGTATTTAAGGAAAAAAAAAAGTCCTTGTGAAGGATATTAAAATGTGGCAAAAAAAAAAAAATCTACAAATTTTGCTAGAATATATAGAAACTCTGGGAGATTTGTAATTCTCACTTTTTTTTTTTTTTTGGTAATGGCTCAAAGCAGTATGTCTAAAATAACCAATTATGCTGTCTTTTGCTTAAAAATGTAACATTGAGAATTAAATAATGTTACATCTGATAATCTCAGAGGACAACTTCAAATAATAAATTTTCCTGTTAACTTATGAGATCAGTGGTTGTCTCCTAATGGCTACAAACTGTTACCGTTTGCTTCCCCTAAATTAGGAATGAGGAATCTTTTATTCTCTTAAAATTCAGGGAATGGAGGGGGAGGATTAATTGGAAATCACAACTGAAAACTCTTAATTTAGTTGAATTTTCAGAGATATAGAAGAAAAAATCATTTTTAGTTCTACAAACTCAATTCTTGGGGTGTTTCCTAGCAGTCCTTTTTTAACTCTCAGGTTTTCTTTCCTGTAATTACTAATGCATTAAAGATACAAAATGTTGACCTTTTTTCCTAATATAACTCTAAGCATTTTCTATTTAAGCTCATATGCCTTGTAATAATTTTATTGGTTGTTTACTATTTCATGGAGTAGATAAAATTTCATCCTCTTGTAATTGCCATCCATATTATTTCCAACTCTTTATTATCATAAATACACTATAAAAATATTTACATATAAAATTTCATTATGGTTAGAATTGCCATAAGTCACATTTGATTTTCTCAGAAAGTAAAATTTCCTAATGAAAGCATTTTTATCCTTTTGAAAATTTGTTAGGAGGCAACATACAGTTAGATTCTTCATTTTTCTCTATAGATACAGGTCCTGAAAAAGTAAAATGGTAAGATGTAGGTTAAGACTAAGGACTATTGTGAAGGCTTTTTGGGACCAAAAATATTTACACTGAAAGTGGCGGGAAAAAAATTAAAATTATATACCCTACCTGTTGAAAAGCTTTCTCTGCTTGACGTTCAGCATCAATAACTTGTCGCTCAAGCTGTTGCATCTGTAAAGAGGGAAAAAATAGGAAAAATGTAAAATTCACCTTTCCCATTTACATCATCAAATTCTTAAAGTATATTAAAGTTGTTCACTAGATAGAAATTACAATTAGCACATTAAATGGCCCTTCAGAGCATATTAAAACCTTGATCAAACAAAATGTCACAGGTTTGATTTTTAAATTAATTTTATTTATTTCTTACATCGTTGCTACTTTTTGGACAGTATTTGATTTCTCCCCTCAAGTGTAGTCCCTGTAGTTTCCCCACCATCGTAGCACTCATAATCCATCTCAACTGTCTCTTGGTTTGATATTTTTAATACAATGTGAGATATACTACATGAGACAGAATTTTCTTCATTGGACCAGAAATTAGAAATGACTGGCCTAACAATCAATTAAATCTAAGAAAACAGTAAGACCTCAAATGTCACTTTGTTGATCACAAAGTCACTATGACGTCAAGGAAGTGATGCATTCTCTTAATTTCCACAGGCACTATGTTTAAGTGAGAACTCTGGGTAGTTTTATTTATTATTTATTTTTAAGATTTTTTTTTTTTTAATAGAGGCACGTTTTATTTATTTATTTGTTTGTTTGTTTGTTTTGTTTATACATGCACTGGGTACAGTCAGAAGCGCGGGAGGGTGAGAGAACCCACCAGAGCCAGAGCGGGGAGCAGAGCAGGCAGAAGGACCGAAGTACACTGCTGAGGGGAGCAGCGGGCGGCAGGAGAGGTCTGCGCGCCATGTGGGACCCTCCTCCGTTGTTGGCCTGGGAGCAGCCGGGGATCGAACCGGCGCCGCAGAGGCCGCGGGCAGCTTCGCAACCCAGCGCTCAACCGCTGCGCCAACTCTGGGTAGTTTTAAACCTTACAGATTTTGACAGAAAGAGTAGCCTCTGATTAAACACATACATCTGGGCCTCCCCGGTGGCGCAGCAGTTGAGCGCTGAGTTGCGAAGCTGCCTGCAGCCTCTGTAGAGCCGGTTCGATCCCCGGCTGCTCCCCGGCCACCGGAGGAGGGTCCCACATGGTGCGCAGACCTCTCCTGCCGCCCGCTGCTCCCCTCAGCAGTGTACTTCGGTCCTTCTGCCTGCTCTGCTCCCCGCTCTGGCTCTGGTGAATGCTCACACCCTCCCACGCTTCTGACTGTACCCAGTGCTTGTATAAATATAAATAAATAAACAAATAAATAAAAAATATTAAAAAAAAAAAAAAACACATACATCTACACACCCACACTCATCTACAAAAACATAGGGCACAGAAAATCTAAAATACCTAGTTATTTTTTTTAAGTTTTGTAGAGAACAAAAAGTTCAGAGATTAAAAGTAAAATATTGAAATAAACATTATCAGTAAAATAAACAAAAGTATTAAAAAGAACCCAATGCAAATGAACCTGAGATGACTATTAAGTATTGACTACACAACCATGACGTAAGATTCAATTTGAAATTGTTTTTTACTGAGGGTTGAGGTCTGATTAACACTAGAATTTGATGGGTGTTCATTTTGCAATTTCTTGTTGGTTGGTAGTCCACATGTTCACAACCTCAAGAGCACCTTGTTTCATCCCAGCCACCTCTCAGTTCCAGCTCCACCCACCTCCTAAACCACTGAGAAGCCCCATTGAGCTAAAACAGAGACCCGGAGGGGAAAGCAACCCCAGTTTGGGGGTGAGAGGGTGACAGTGACCCTGCCCTGAAGCTGCATTTGACCCTATGTTCTGACCCTAAGTTTGTATAAAACAGATTTCTCCCTTCGGAATCCTCTGTATTTTCTGCAAAAACTGGCAGGTAATTCAGGCAGCTTTCCAGCTTCAATTAATTTATCTTCAGTGAACTGAAGATAACACATCAGAAAAGGATTTCTGATTTCCACTGATTGCATCATTTCTCAATGGTATGCTGCTTGGGGGCGTTCACTGTGTTTTGCTAATTATGTTTAGGCAAATTAACATTCAACACCTAGGTGGCACCAGGATCATCATAGCTCACCAACCAGAAAAAGATTTTTTTTTGAAGATTTATTTATTTATGCATACAAGAACTGGGTACAGGTCAGAGGTGTGGGGTGGGGGAGTGAGAAGATACACCAGAAACAGAATGCGGAACAGAACAGGTGGATCAATTGACATACACTGCTGAGGGGAGTAGTGGGCAAGACAGGAGAGGTCTGCTGTGCCATGTGGGTCAGCTCCCTGGCTGGGGACCAAACTCATGCTACAGTGGCTGCTGATGGCTTCATAGTGCTGAGACTTAAGCCCCTGTGCCATCAGGGAGGCCCCCAGAAAAAGATTTCTTAAATATTTTACAAGTATAAGGCATGGAGCTTAGCAACAGTATCCGTGCTTCCTGCATCATCTTTACACTATCCAAACACAACCACGACTGGGCTGTACGTAAAGAATCTTGGTCCACCCTGTGACTATGCCCACCTCCACAGCACTAAAATAGTTTTCTAAAAGGAAATGACATGTCGGGGGGAAGTATGGCAGCAAGGACTGGTTCGCTCTTGCATATCCCACTCCATTTGCTGCCAGTGAAAATATCAAACACCTTTTCTTTGCGAGGATCGCACCACCACCTTTCTAGCAGGGCCACCCTATAACTTCTGGAGACCTGGAATAGTGACTAGGAAAGGAGGAAAGGGTCTGTGGAAACACTTGACAGCCTTCTCCATGAGTCTGAAAAGTGTACACATCAGTTTGGCTTGGAAGTTAACTGAAGATAAGTTAACTGAAGCTGGAAAGCTGCCTGAATTACCTGCCAGTTTTTGCAGAAAATACAGAGGATTCCGAAGGGAGAAATCTGTTTTACACAAAACCACTGCACATTGTATTCAAAGGACAATGTTTAACAACCCACAGCAAGCACTAGAAGGCTGCTGTTCAGGTCTGGCTATTACTTTCAGTGGAATGATTCCCAAAAAGATGATAGTAATGATGAATGGTGTGTACCGGCTCCGAGTATTTGGATGTAATTTCAACCACACACTGATTTTCTTTCCTCCAAACGATTCAGGAAATGACTGAGGGCTAGGGAATAATAGAATTATTATTATAGTCTGAGAGCACTTGAAAGGTGGCTAGTCCAAATTGTGATGTAAGTGTAAAATACACATTTCATTCAGTGATTTTATATATATATATATATATATATATATATATATATACACGTTCACACACTTGAAAATGTAGTATAAAAAAATGAAAAATATCTCAGTAATTTTTGATACTGACACACTGAAATGGTAATATTTTGGCTGTGTTGCATTAAATAATATATGCTATTAAAATTAATTTCACCTATTTTTCATTTATTTAAATTTTTAATTTACATGTTTCCCATTTCTATTGGATAACAAAAGTGTAAAACATTCCATTGTCACCACATATGGCAATTTATCTCCCTGTCCACTTGGCAGCATTTAAAAAATTATTTTTATTAAGGTAGCATTGGTTTAAATGCTGTATATGTTTTAGAGTTACAGGTTCACACCTCTACAAATGTTACCACACCACATCCCCTACCAAAGTACCAACAATCCTCCACCACAGTCCTCTGGGCCCCTTCCTCCTTTGCTCTCAACATCCCTATCACCACTATTCTGGCAGCCTCGTTTCTAAACTCAGATTTCAAGAATTTGTTTTGGTTTGTTTTTTCTGTTCCTCTGCTTTCTTCATATTCAGTATTTGTGATTCCCCTTCTTGTTTCACATTATAGCACAGTCTCCTCAAATGACAGGATTTCACCTTTTTTAATATCTCTATCTGAGCAGCATTTCATTGTGTTTACGTACTTCGGGATATTATGACCCACTCTACATACCTTACAGGAAGTTGGATAAAAATAAGAAAACATTTAAAAGTGACATGAGAAAGTTGCTGGTATTTCATTCATTAAAACTATGAAATAGTGCTTGAAGTGTTATAATTTTAAATGATAAAAACAGACATGTGGTCTGCTTTTTTCTCTCTGAAAGCTTGCAGATTCTTGTAGGTGTGTATATTCAGAACTTTCATGAAGATGTGCCGTGGGGTGAACCTACTATCTGTTGTGTTAGGTACAGGGTAGACCTTTTTAATCTGGAGTCTTGTCTCCTTCAATTCTGGGACATATAACCTTGCATTGTTTTACTGATTTTCTCCCCGAAGACCTCCGATTAGTAGAATTTTGGACATAACAGATTGGTCTTCCACATTTCTGATCTTTTCTCTCCTGTTTCCCATCTCTTCTAACTTTTTTTTTCTACTTCCTAGGAACCTAGCTTAAGTTTATATCCAACCTTTTCATTATATTTGCTGTTTTTATTACTATGGCTTTTTTTGTCAAGAGTTCATATTTGTTCTCTTCTACTTTCCTTTTTTTATAGAAGCAGTATCTTTTCTCTTGGTGAATATGAAATGATAGGGTTTTGCTTGTTTTATTTTATTTCCTTTTCCCTGAATAAGCGACATTGGGTTTTTTTTCTGATTGTTCTCTATCTTTCATGGAGAGGTTCTCTTTAGATGTCTGGTTATTCATGTGATGCCTATTTATGTCTTCAGTTAAAAGACTAAAAAGCTGATTTGAAGCTTAACTACAGAGATTAAGTTGTTGACCCATGAACTTTACCATTCAATGACCTGGCTAGGCTTTCCACTAGGGGACCACTGACCTTTCTCTTTCTGGGTTGACAAGATTCTCCAAGTGCTTTCAAATTCCTTCTATAGGATAAGAGTTTGGGAGTAAGTTGGGAAAAGACGACAAGTTCACCATTATAATACACATATATTCACTTAATCCCCTTGTTTTTGGAGAAGCAGAAAGATGGAAGTCACAGCCTAAAATATAGACTGGAGTGTTCTGGGAGCTAAATGCCCTGCAGAAGCCTCTGAAGAGTGAGTGGTGGGGCTGATAATAGTATTAGTGGAAAATGTGGCCCTTACAATAAACCAACCCTCTGAAACCTTCTCATTTATCTCCATGTGCCAAGCGTTCAAAGTGAAGAATTTACT